TTTGAATTACTTTAAATTAAATCTAGAATGTAAGTTTTATTTGTTCAGACTGAATTGTGTCATATTTGATTGATTCCGTAAAAATCGTTTGTAGAAGTAACATGTCTAGCTGTCTGACATAACTCTTGTATTTTATATAAATTTCATAATCATTACGTTTGGTCCAAAAATAAGTTAATCTGCCGTTCAAGAGGACCACCTTCCTTACTTACTACATAATTATGAGACCCAACTCTCTATGATAGTGCCATCTAACCATCTTTCCCCTGTGTAATTGCGAGGCCAACATCTACCTAATAAATTAGTCTTTCCGCTTTTTATAACATACAAGTCTAATACTTTTCTTTTAGTTTAAAATTTATGTTGACCTCCATCTTGCCCACAGGTGTCACTGTTTCGCCTGTATAATATCGTTATTCAAAAGCACTCGGCTTTAGTTTACAATGAACAAAATGGTTTTTATAACAAACTTATACATGAAATAGGACTGCCGGTATCGATCTCCATGTTTAATAAACAACTCTCATCTAGTCAATTTGATGACAGTGAATGGTCCAAGTAATTGTGATTGTGGTTTCTTTATAGTTAAAGAATAATTATTATAATACCTAATAATTATTATGTACCTCGTCACTGTCGCTGTCATGATTATACCTTCATGAATATTATGCAAGAATGTACCTTCTCGCAATTTGGTACACATCCTTTTTAGATGTCCATCCTTGTTGCACACTCTACGTACATTTTGAATTTGCACTTATATTCTTAGTGAATGTCACCACACGCCTTACACTTGTGATCCGTGCTCATTGCGCTAGTCCGACTGACGTTCGCCCGGTATTTACCGCTACCCGCTGCCGCTTGGACCACCACCGCTGCCACCGACTGGAAAGCGTGGCGCTTGTGTTACGTTCCCACCGCTCTTAAACATGTCTTTTTTGTTCCGTTTCATGAAATTGACTGTAGTGTCTAGATTTGGTAGGCAGACGACTGCATTTATGTCACTGGTACAACCTTCTTCCAATGCCGCATTTGTTTCAGCCGCTTTCATGGACAAAGCTATGGTAAAGGCTTTGTCAAACGATATGTTGTCATTCTCGATAAACAATTTCTGGCCAATTTCTTCATTACATAAGCCGCAGGTTTTTCAGGTGTGCACAAATTTACATTAGCTCATAAGTTTCACTGCCTATTACTGTGATCAATGTCGCCACTTTGATCTCGATCTTCACTTGGTTTGCAATAAAGTATTGTTCTAGTCGGTCAATATACGCCTCCCAGTTGTCCTTCTCAAGGTCAAACATTCCGAGAAATATGTAAGTGCTTGAGATATGAAGTCTCTCGCGCAGTAAAACACACGTCCGTTCCTTACTCGCTTTATTTGGAGACTACCGTTACAATAAAACTTATTCAAGTAATAGAGAGAGAATAGAGTAATGTATCTTCCTGCTCATTTCATTAATGTGATTGGTCCAAGAAAACTTGCTATAAAACCAGATGCCAAGGTTTATAGCACATAAAGAGTATTGAATACTAACACCATCGTAGTATATCGTTGAGAAGTTAATAGCGTTAATGAGATTGAGCATATTCGTGCGGCCAAATATAACCGCTTGGGATGTTGCTCGATTAACTAGAATTCCCAAATATTTTGCCCAATTATAAATTTTAGAGAGATCATCGTTTACTCCCGATATAGCATCATGCATCTCGCATACCTTAAAATGGCGGTAAAGCTGCAAGTCGTCTGCGTAGATGAAACTGAGAAGAGATTACATGAATGACAGCATAAATAAATATTGAAAATAAGAGAGGAGATAAGCTGCCACCTTAAGGAATGCCTGCAGCAAGATCACACCAGCGAGCGACCCCGCAGGTAAGAATAAAACCAGTTAAGTGCAGGTGGAGATACGTTATGAAATTTAAGTATACCTGAGGGAACATCGAAGTTAACAGAGTTAAAAGCGTTGCTGAAATTGAGTAGGATCAAAGCTGTCAACTATTTGCGGTCTATAGCCTGGCGAATGTCATCAGACACCTTGAGGAGAGCCGTAATCGTACTGTGACCAAGGCGGAAACCAGACTGAAAGTGACTCGGCAGACCATTGTAGTTTAAAAAGGAGGATACCTGTCACTTTAAAATTCTCTCCGGGATCTTCGACAAGGTGGGTAAAATAGAAATGAGACGATATTGTGAAAAGGTTGAAGGGATTGGAGGTTTCAGGCGGGGGGATGACTTGTGTTTTTTTCCATTTCGAGGGGGCCATCTGATGATGAACTCCATCAACGCCCACTGCCTTAGTAGAAATAGTGAAAGGATCTCTTAACGTCTCACTCTGATACCAGTGCAAAGGAGAAAGGTGTACACTTGAGTAGAGACTGAAGGAGAAGATGATTAAGGGTAATAGACTTAATGTTGTCACCCAATGTGACATGAGAGCGAGAAAAGTGAGTATTTAGTGAATCAAGATAAATTATCATGAGTTCATAATGAGAAGATTTCCCCACACCAAGGGACTTAAAAATTTCCAAACCTGTGTATTTGACGATATTACTGTGGATGTACCGTCTTTTCGCATCCATACAAATGATTACTGCTTTCGATGCTACGATTTCGTAGAGATTTGTATGCTGTTAAATTCTTTTCTGTGGGTTTCTTCCTTATGCGTCACTTGGCTTTGTCTCTTTTGGACATAACTTTTTTTTATATCAGATGTCACCCTTAGTCCTAATACATTTTATTGGAGCATATTGATCAAAAAGGGCTGTGAGTGTTTTATTGAAACCAACAATCCTTTCGTCAATTGAGTTGGAAAGATAATCACCCGACCAATCAGCACGAGTCGCGTCAACACGTCAATGCTCTTGAAGTTGCGAAGATAAAGGTTAGGATTTAGGAGGGCGTATTTTATACGAGAGATATACGAGGTCATGATAGGAAAAGCAAGTGGAGAGTTTTCGGACGTTTTAACGGAGCCTTTGAGCACGGGAATCAGATTTTAAAAGGTATGTATTAAAATCATCAAGCATAATGGTATGTTCAAATAGAGGAGAAAATAATTCTATCTTCGATTCAAAAGGAAAAAAGTAATCGATGTGAGAATTAGGGCTATAGAATACTCTCAAAAGTAGCTTGATATACTGGAAGATAACTTCGACAAACAAGTGCTAAGCAGAGTGTGAGTAACAACTAGGCGAAGAGTCCAATATTTTACAGGGGATACCAACTGTCAGATATATGACAACACTGTTGCCGCCCTTCTCCGCTCTATCATTGCGAATTAAGCGGTATCCAGGTAAAGAGTACTGAGTAGATGCAAGAGAGGGCTTGAGGAAAGTTTCGGAAACGAGTATCGCATCAACCTATAGAGTAGTAGGACCAAGCAACAGTATTCGCTGTTGCACGAATGGGCAGGTCCGGGTTTGTACCACAACCTCACAGAAGACCGGCGTAAAGTAGACGTTTTACACCTTTGCGTTTCGTCTGGTAAGTGAGGTAGCCGTGACCCACATTATTAAAAGGTGGAAACACATCTGCAACCGGTGTTGCAAATGGCCGTGGGCGGCGGATAGCACTTAACATCAGGTGAACCGCTAGCTCGTTTGTCACTTTTTAACATTTTATAAAAATCAGTAGTATTGACCCTTCTCGGTCTTTTAGAAAAGCGCTCTGATCTAGTTAAATAAATTGGCAGAATAATCTAAACGATCAGGATGATCAATTCAAAGAGTTTTACCATCCTTTTGACAACTTTAATGACATTTGAAAAGCCATTTGAGAGCTGATTACTTAATTTCTATGTTGATCAGTGTTTCACAAAATCGGACGTAACTGATCAGTCGCGTTCGTTCGGTACCGATAACTAGTGTTGGTAGATGTATGGAAAGAAAGAAAGAGCTATTAGACCGATTAACAGTATTATTCGGAGACGTTTCTTATAGTAAATTACAAAGATACGTTTTATAATCGTTCATCGTCCGCGAACTACACAAGATTAAGATCAAGACTAAAAGGATTAAAATGTACTATTTTAAGATATTTTCTATAAACGCTAAGCCGCAATTTTAAGAGATCACAAAGCTGAACAGAAGAAACATCAGAAAAAGTGCTGGCATATATATATATATATATATATATATATATATATATATATATATATATATGTATAATCCGGATATCCGTATCCGCGGATATCCGTCGGATCCGTATCCGCTACATTTTTGACGGATCTTTTTCGGATCTTTACCCTTATAATCGTAATAAAATGAAAATTCTAATTAAGTAAATTAATAAACTATGGCACTCAAAGTGTTAACTTTTGATTAAAAGCTTGGTTGGTTTGTCCTTAGTACTTATTGTAGTTGCTGTGAGATTTACTTCATTTTCCAAAGTTGTAAGCCATTTTTTATTTCTTTGACCCGTGGGTGTAAAAATGTGGCTACTTGAAACAATTTTTTTTATCAATTTCTGAAACACTAAAATGTAATTTATCCTCCAAATCAGACACAAAATCAAGGACGGTGGATGCACTAATATTGAGATTTTCCTGGATATTAAGCTAAGATCCGTATCCGTATCCGCGGATATTCACGCCAATGATCCGTATCCGGATCCGTATTCGCGGATCTACAATTTTAATGACCCGGTACATCACTAATATTAATATATAATATTGCAGTTTATACGGCAACATTATTTTGTCTATAGTTGGGTTTTTTCCTTAAGTTTACGTTAATCGTTAACAATAGTTTACATTATGGTACTAATGCCACCTATACATTGCAATAGTACACTAGAATACAATAGCTCAGGCTCACGATACCAATTGTTTTGTCAGTGTTTTTACTTTAGCTTTTCTAAAGTTCTATTCAAATCATAGTTACATTTTGGTTATATTGCTATTATTGACCGTTCAGCCAATTGACGCTGCTTTTTATAAATCTTCTATCAGATTCAGTATAAAAGTAGTGTTGTGAAAATTTTAAGAAAACGATTAACGATGGGTAATGAACAATCTATAGAAAAAGAATGTAGAAAAAGGTAAGATAAGATAAAATATAATATTCGTATTCGTACATATTGCTCTAAAATATAATTTTTATATACCTACTTAAAACTACTTACTTATAGCGTGGGTAACTGACCCTGCGCAGATATTTTTGATGTCGTTCATGCAGCACCCTGATATTAATTTATTATATAAATATTAGCGGATACGGCTGAAGTTGTCATGTACACACATCTTAAATCTAACAACAAATTATAATAAAAAAAAATAAAAAAAATAATAGTAGTGGTCGATTCTCGAATCGACTTGAAAACACACAAAAACTTACACGGTCCACTCCTCATGGTCCATTCGACCAACATCAAACGGCTGGACCGTTTAGGAGGGATCTCCTCCTACATATGACATACATTGTTCCATAATAAAGATTTAATTTATTAACTTTAGACTAAATTAAAATCAAACGTTTTTTATACAGTTTGTTACAATCGCAGCAATAAAAGAAACACACTTTGAACGCTACTTGCCCAATAATTATAAAAAAATATAAACCTTAAAAAATCCATAAATAAAAAAAATAATTTTCAAACAATCTAATTAAAAAACAAAATTTGTAACAGCCTATACAACAACAACTGACTGATTCATACATTCAGAGACTTCTTCACTCAATGTCGCATTACAAGTCTCTCCTTCTAACTTAATTTTTATCTCTTAAATTCAATCGACCAATTCATATGCTTTGTGACTTTTAGATCAATGGCAAAACAAAGTATCTTAGAGCACAGAAGGGAATCTTTCTGTGCTCTAAGATATTTTTCTTGTTCGTTCATTTGCCTGTAACCTGGATGGTTCAGCATGACAATGACCCATAAAAGGAAAAGAAAATAAGGGATATGCCACTTAATATTAATTATTACTATTGGCAGGCTGTGGATAGTAGCTATTTCATAAATAACAATACTAATTACTTATACTTAAAAAAAACACTGTTTTCTTTATACTTTTTTGTTGTTGTTTCTAATTAGTTGACCATTATTGTGACCATACCTTAAAAATGATTTAATTATTTGTCCATAATGTAATATTGAAACTGCACTTGTGTAATGAAATTTATATTGTTTTTCTAATAAATGATAAATTGGTGAAAATATTGTTGTCCTATTTTTTTCATTAGAAGTATCTTTTTTATGATTTGTTTAATTTGATGAATCAAAAAATTTAGATGTAATACGTATGAAGTAAGATGAAAAATATTCATTTTTCATATGCACATAAATGTACATGTAAGTGAAGGATATGTTTAATTGATTAACAACCACTTATATGTAAATGACATAATATTTCTCATAAATATACTATAGAACTAGATAGCTCTGCATCATTTAACATCTTTATTATTTCTTCCTTCCTTTACTCTCATTAACTATAGTAATTTTTTAAAAAATATGTATTTTAATACTATATTATAAACATATTCTTTTGTTATATATAGCTAGTATATAACAAATGAATATGTTACATTAAAAAAATAACAATAATAAACAAAGTCAGACAAACTTTAAAATAATGTTACATGTTAAGGGTTCGAAGGATTTGGAGAGAAAGACCTTCTGACTTTTTTGAAGACTTTATTCAATAGCACTAGGTCCAACACAAAGCACTAAAAGCACTTTGTGTATTCATAACATTAATAAGCATTTATTATCACACAGATCCATTTAAACAAGAACTCATTAAGTATTTATAGTTTTCTTGTAATTGTTATGAAGTATAAATATAATTAATAAATAAATAATTTTGTTTAAGTAATAATTGAGCAGTGTTTACTCAATTTTGTCCCTCTATTTTCATTATTACAAATTTATTACTGAGGATGATATTATACTTATAAATTTAATCCATGTATGAAACATTATGGGCATTTAAGGTATGGTAAGCTATTTCACTTGCAGAACTATGCTTTTTATTATTATATATGATTAAAGTGACTTAGGATAAACTAATTCATTCAACTAAGTCTATTGAACAAATACACAGACTAGTGGAACATATAGACAAAGCTCTTGAATCAAAACAATACAGTGTTGCAGCATTCTTGGATATATCACAGGCATTTGGTCGAGTGTGGCATGATGGAATCCTTTTCAAAATAAAAAAGACCTACAAATAAACTTCTACAACCTAATAAAGTCATATCTAAGCGACAGACACTTTTTTGTAAAACAAGGAGAAGAGTTGACGTCTTTATATGCTATCAAAGCTACTCCATCTCTTCCTGTATTGATTGCTCGCACCATCTATATGCCGAAGATTTGCATATTTACGTACAAACCGATAATGACGGTCTTTAACGCGATTGCTCGATAATATTCAAACTTTTTGCTATTTATGAGTGGTCGTCGCGATTTGGAGTGTCAGTTTAATCCCACGAAGTGTCAAGCTACGCCAGCTCTAGATTGTTGTCCAAAATTGAAAATACAAGTCTGCCTGCTGCTTATTACAACAATAAAATAATTGCACTCTCGCAATCTGTAAAAAACCTACGTCGTTATATGGACAGTACAATGAGCTTTGAGTACATGTCACTAAAGTCAGCCGTAAAATCTATTCAATCTTGATAATTCTTTACCGTCTGAAAAATTTTCTTCCCTTTAAGACCAAGATAATCGTTGTACAGACGCTTGTATTACCTACTATTAATTATGCAGTCTTATTCAAAGTACTTCTCAACAAGCTACAGCGCTTTTACAACAACTACAGTCTTCATTTTATCAGTCATTATCGCACACGTCTTATGTGGCTTACTATTCAACAAAGGCGTAGCTCTACAATTTTCCTTATACTTTTTTTCCATTTTAAACAATTGAGCTTCTCCGTCTTATCTAAAGGATATATTTTATTTATATACCTCTCGTTGAATTGTATTTGTATAACTTATGTTACGCTTTCAGTCCTTAGACTATTAAAGCTTCATCGAACGCAGAACCTGTGGGCTAGCCAGAACCCGTGAGTTTGAGGCCGTCCTCAGCGGTTAGGGCCGCGTAAGTACTCATACGTGTGTTAATTATGGCATGTCGCCTATAGGCCATCGAGGTTCGGTGTGGGACGTGACCCCGATGGCCGTTGACTGTGCTTGGTTAGTCGGTGCCTGGGGGCGGTATGAACCGCCCTGGAACGGGGGTTTACCTAGTACTCATACGTGTGTTAATTATGGCATGTCGCCTATAGGGCATAGAATGTATTTATCTTTTTTTATACAACATTATTTATTTCTAGAATTTAATTTAAAAAATGGATACACTTAGAAAAGCCTCCCTATATAATAATAATTTGTGCCTTAAGGGCTATTTTACTTGACGCATTGGTTAGGTAATAGAGACGGCTGGAGACGAACGCGGCTCTGTTTCTAATGTCGTTAATAGGCGATGTGAACGTCATGCGCGAGTCGAAGTGACTCCTAGATATTTGACCTTTTTCCCCCAGGGGAGTGGTTGGCCATAGAGAAATATTTGCCCTAGCTTTCTGCATTTGCGAGGGCCTGTATAAAGATGTGACGGGTAAGTACTTCATGTGAAGTGAATCGCCACGCTCTTTTCGGGATTTACTTCTATTCTCCATTTGCGGAACCAATGGCCGAGGCGGTCGGCGGCGCTTTGGAGACGATTAGTGAGTTGATTAAGATTTTTATCTGTGTAAAAGAGCGCTGTATTATCCGCGAAAAGCGCTTGGTATGTCGCTCGTGCAGAGCGTAAAAAGCAAGGGTGAGAGGCACGGCTGGCGTTCCTTGTGTCCGTAGTCAACGGACATGCCACACCAAGCGAGTAGTAATATTTTTTATTAATTGCGTTATATGTGTCTAGTATATAAGTCTATAAAAAATAAATAAAAATAAAATATTAAGTATACATATTGATACCACAACGTTTTAATCATAAACATAGGTAAGCACACAATATACATATTATTATGGCGTGCACGATCCTATCTGAGACGTTAAGTGCGTACAGCTTTTAAAACAAGCATATAGCTTGAATAATGTTTCCCTAAGAGGCGTATCTGAGGTTAAAGATTTAGGTGTATATGTTGTTTCCAAGTTAACTTTCAGCTTTCACATCAGTTACATAATTGATAAAGCATTCCGTAATCTTGGTTTTATTCTAAGGGTTGGACGTAATTTCGAAAACATCACTACTCTCGTATTACTCTACAACACATTCGTAAGATCTGGTCTAGAATATGCCTTAAAGGTATCGATTCCTCAAAGCAAAAAACACATAGATGCACTTGATTTAATTCCAAAGAAATTTATAAAGCTGTCTTTTAGATTTGGATTTGAAACAGGTGAGATCATGTTTCTGCAATTGGTTCTATGGTTGATCGACGAATGGAAAAGGATCAAATTCATTTATATAAAACTAGCTGTTAAATGCGACTTCGCCCGTGCGGTCAAAAGCAATTAACAATGAGTTTTTTATTATACACCACAATAGCTCGCAGATGGCAGCATTTTTTCCTACTTACTTGACACTTATTTTTATATTTTGGATAATTCAAATAATATCTATACTAATTATAGCCTATGTGTTATTCTGATGAAATTAGCTATATAATTGTAAAGTTTCATTAAAATCCATTCAGTAGTTTTTGTGTGAAATAGAAACAAACATCCATCCATACATACAAACTTTCGAGTTTATAATATTAGTAAGGATAAAAAGAAATTTTGTTGACTCGATATTTGTTAGGGGAAGATGGGGCAATGAGAGTCAATCGGTAATGGTGGTACCTCACATATATACAAAACTTCAACCCCTAGAGACGCGTAAATGGCCTCCCTACTCTGATATGTGCCCCTCACAATCGTTGCGAGCCGGCTACGCCTGTGTGGCAACGGCATCGGGAACTAGAGTTCATTTTTGTTTTTACGGCTCACCGATATAAATTTCCACTGACGCTAAATAAACGGTAATTATCACATTTATTGATCTACTTATTTGTAACTTTCGTATGCCTTTATTCGGACATTCATTGTAACGATTTCAAGCAATGTAATTATTGCAATGTTATTGCATGCAATGTAATTGGCGTATACCTACTATATTTTTTGACTTCATAAAGAAGATGGCCAATATTTTTATGGATTTATGCACAGTTAATTAAATTAGCAAAATGGCATTTGAATACGGTGGAAACTTAAACTTAAAACACAATTTTAATCAGTTTTCGAAAATGCCTGGACTGGTTGTTGTCTTTTACCTTGCAGAGAAGATCACGGCTTACGAAGGAGCATCCCTATTATGGAAGGCACTTAATTACGTTTTATCTACTAGTAAAGGGGAATCGGGATTTAGGGCTACTGGTATTTACCCAATAAACCCCCGAAGTGTTTTCTGAAGAAGATTTCTGCCAGCCGAATTGCTCCAATCGTAGAATGCTGCCAGTAAAAACTATGATGAGTCAGATGCTATTGATGAGTCATCAATATCATCTGACTCAAGCGTCAAACTCAGCACCAGGTCAAGGAGAATCTTCAATAACTGGCACCCACCAACCACCAACTTCTAGCGCATTTGATTGTCTAGCTCATCAGTCTGCGAGCGATTTGTGTTAGATTTTTGTTTGACCCTCATTGCCCACAAGGTGACCACAATTACCCTTACCTCGGTGCAATTGGAGTCAAAACTGTTTTTTTTCCTATAACTCTTTTATTTGCCTTAGATATTTTTTTTTATTTAATTAGGATCGCAAACCAAACATTACACTCACATTACAGAATAATGGACACAGATAAAGTTGATACGGAACTTAACACACAAGTGAATGTCTACTTTACTACACTTCTATGAGCGAACACAACATGCACAAAAAACACTCTCAACAATAAATAATTGTACAATGAAAGAAAAAAAAATAACTTCAAACAAAATAAAAATGAAAAACAAAAGAAACTAAAGCTAAATTAAAAATATTAGATAAAACAACATTTAAACTTGACTTTAAATTACGAATAATACAAAACTATTGAAATAAATTTTAAATTATATATAGTATAACCCTTACATATTTTTTAATGTTACTACACCGTACACTAAATATGTCGAAATCCTGGCATATAGCATTGTAGCTCGAACACAGCCGGTACAAAGGAGAGTGCTGACAGTAACGGGTGCGTCGGAATGGCGGCAAACACATTTCGCCTCTGCAAACGGACACCATGTCGTGGCAGACTGATATTTAATCTCTCGAGAAGATCGGGACTTTCTATTTTACCAACCAAGTTATTAATGTGAATTATGCAAAAAATCTTGTTGAGATCCTGCAGAACCTTTAACTCAAAATTAAGTGCTGACATTTTAAACATCCGTACAAAAAATAATTTCAAAATTACTTAAATTAAATCAGTTTCATTTTGAAAAAAAAAGTATTTATTGTTTTTTTTTTCAAACTTTTACTAACTATTGCTGTTTTTATTCTTTATTACTTTTTTATATTGTTTAAATTGTAACTGCTTTTTCTTTATTTTTTAATTTCTGTTCATTTATGATTTTTCTGTTAGAGTAAACTTAACTGGTATATGTACAAGCTATTGTGTGTAAACAATTATAAGTGAGGTGTATACTTTATATTTCCCAAATAAATAAATAATAAATAATTATTCGAAACCGCAGAGGTGAAGATCATTTGATTCCATCCAAAACACGATTAATTTATGTGTAACATTGTTGCATGTATCGTTTTGTTAAAATAAATGAAAAAAATAGGAAGTTCCCTCCCACAAATCAGTTAAACATAGATCATACCATGCTTCACTTACAATATGCGTGGCGCGGATTCCTGTTATTTCTCTAGTCTGTTATTAAATCAAAACCTCTTCCAGTATATACGGGTTACCTCTAGTTGGCAGATGTTACAGATTTTTAAAACGCGTGACCTTTGCCTTTTCCAGATTTATGCATCTACTTTTCCATCCATGTTCGACGAATTTGGATCGATTTTACATTACCCATGGTATATGTTTAGGCTGGTAGATATACATCCGTCCGTATATAAGAATATAGGATTCAACCTGCATTCTAAAACTATGTAAATGAAATTTTTTTCAGACAGGCGCACGTGGAAGAAGTTTTGGAAAGGCAACGAAAACTCTATGAAGAAAAATGCAAAATCTTATTACAGCAAGCGCACTCAGCCCAACAAACGCGTGTGTATGTTCCAATATTTATAACCTCATTATCAGTATAAGATCACCGCAACAAAGTGAGGTATGACTTTGGACAGGGCAAGGAAAGGCAGGCAAACCTTTATGCAACATCGTGCATTTCCAAACACTTGCACAATATGGCCATCAAACTACCCCATTCGCCCGCTTTCCGCTCATTACCGACTTAACCTTTGTAATCTGTGGTGTTTTTGCAGCACCCATAAACCATTTTTAAACGGTTTTATTTAGCTCGACCCGTACGGAATTTTTAATTTAATTATTTGTTTGTTTGGGTCAAAATTAGAAATTGAAATTTAAGCACCTTCCCGTTGTCAGATTGATCTGAAATTTGGTACACACATTTAATTTAGATGACAATACAATATTCTAGTTTTCAGTGCACATAAAATAAAACCGTTTAACTTAAAAGTTTTTAAACGGTTTTATTATTGACACAGATGTAAACTAAGTAATAAAATATGTACGTTAATAATTCAATTTCTAAAAATTGCGCAGGTTGCATGCCCAAATTTTTCATTCGTTGGTTAGCCAACCCGGACTTAGTCATTTCCCAGCACTTGTACGTGAAGTTCATAATGTTGTATTATTGCCATAAAGTGGTATTGCTTCAGTAAATTTCGCAGAAATGCCATCATGTTTAATGATTCTTGTAACTGTTTTATTTCCATGCAGCGCGTATGTGCATCAAGAGAGACGTAATACTAACACAAGGCCTTAATGTCAGTCTACAACTCTTTGTCTACGAGTTTGTCTGTAGCGAATACCACGCCAAAACCTTACACTTCAGTACTGACCACATACAGGATCTGAAATATTTCTGAGTAAATACTTATACTTATATATAATATTCACCAGCATCATCATCATTATCATCAGCCGTAAGATGTCCACAGGCCGATGAACATAGCCCTCCCCCTTATAACGCCACAACGAACGACACTATGCCAATTGCATTCACCGGTTGCGCACGACTCTTACGATTTCATCGGTCCGATTACCAGGGTAGCAATCTCTACGGCCTCCTGCCGGGTGATTACGTCTTCGCTATATGCTAGGGCAGCACCCCACCACCTCTCGCTTTCAACCATAGCGCGAATCACGGCAGGCAACGAGAGATCGTGCACCACGATAGCACATAGCTCTCCGCGCTGCTCCGTCGTGGTCGCCACAGAGAACTTATTCCCCATCAGTCGTCAGTTCTTCGAGCTATATGGCCTGCCCATTGCCATTTTAGCTTGCAAATCCGGAGAGCTATATCGGTTACTGTGGTTCTTCGGCGAAAGCATAAATAATGGTTCTGGTTTTTGAATGAATGAATGAAGCGGCCTGTCGGGCAAAACAAATTTTTAAATACAGATTGAAATATTGTCTACTGAATGCCATCGACGACCATATTTAGTTTTATTAATTTTATTAATCTTAATTTTTTTTATTTATCTTTATTCATTATTAATTTAGTTTAAGTTATTCGTTTTCTGTCTTTTATAGCTTTATTATCTTGTATTTTATCTACTTAGTTTTTTTAGTTTTTAATTACTTTTTAATTTTTTTTAAAATATATTTTAGAGAAAATAGTAGTATTAAAATACACTTGTAAACCTCAATGACTGCAGTTTCGCCAATAAACTGTATTCTCAGCTTGGCACTTAATGTTTTTTGAAACAATAGTATTTACTCTGTTAATAAATAATTTAAAAAAAAAGACTGCGAGTAAGTCTTATAATTTCGCGTTTGGTTTGGTGAGTAAAGTTACCGGGGCCTACTTTTCAAAGGTTAGCAACACATCTACAACGCCTCAGTTTTGTAGATGAGTGACAGTAATAATTTAAAATAAGGCGAACTGTCAGCTCTCTTGCCAACTTTTCAAATTAAAACAAAATCACTTGGCCGTCCTCAACTTATTGCATATATTTTACATAATATCTTACAATTATAATGTAATAGATTACTTAATAATGATTCATACATTGCACCTACAACAAACAACATTCTTATAGCGCAATAGCGGAGGAAGTCAGTGCTGATAATTCAAGCAATCAACGCCTCAATACGTTATACCCGAATCTTCACCCTTCTCCTGCACCGCAACCATGTTCATCTACCACAAACGTCAGAAATTCACCTTCGAGTTTTGCTGCAAATAACAACTGCATACCAAACAACGTCGTTTCAACGTCTGCGATTAATCCGAACCTACAGTCTGCTAGCGGCTTAACAACCAGGTGAGTATTTTTATTTCTCTAATTGGAACGTTTCCTATTTAGAGAATTAAAAATTTGTCACGAGAAAGACCGGTGCCATGGATTTCTCCTTATTCGTATTTCTCCTAGTTTCCTCATGGACATCATGGCTTTTTTAAACGTAATTATTACAAAAATTAATAATAAATATATTTTAGTGTATACTTTATCATTAACATACTAAATATATTTTTATTTAAAACTAGCTGACACGGCAAACGTTGTTTTGTCATATAAATGATTTCTAGAGGAATCTGAACGCACGCTGAGAGTGTTTGACAGGTTACACAGACAGTTGACAGGTTAACAGGTACAGTTTGTATGGGAAAATAAAATTGTTGCTATTTCGATACATGCAGAAATAGTGACTGAGATGCTGTACATTCTATAATTGTTTTTCATTTGTTCTGAAAAAGGTCTTTTCTTGAATTTTTTATAATTTATTTAAACAGGCTTACTAAGTAAATACATAAAAAAAACAATTATTATTCCGATGTGACAATGCACTTAAAATTAAGTTTAACATTGTATATATATGCATTTAAATTAGAGATTAACACAACATCGAATAAAATACTACATTTAAGAAGAATGGTAACCTAAAAACCTAGTAATAAAAATATGAAAATTAGAACAAAAATACAACTTATTTATAAATATAAGAAAAGAGAAAATAAACTTATAAATGAAATTTTTATTGGGCTGTGAAATATGCTCTTTCTCTTTATAAATCTATTTTTAAGATATCAAAATGGATATCCATGTCATAATTTTGAAAAATTCAATTGACTGAATTCAACAAGGATGATTGATGTGTCTTTCTGCCTACGTTTTTAAATTCGTTACGGACTCTTTTTAATATGAAAAGTTTTGTAATTATCTGGTGCACTTATTCTTGGAACAGCGATATCAATATCAATTATTAGGAGAGTCATTTTAGTAAAAATTTCTTGCCGTTTTAAATAATCACTAACTAGGGATTGAAATATTTTTGACAAAGTGGAAAGTATGCTGATAGGACGATAGTTACAGATATCATTGGTACTTCCAGATTTATGGATTGGTAAACGATAGCCTCTTTCAATACGTTTGGAAAAGTTTCCTCTGAGATAGATTGGTTGTAAATTACATGGAGCGATACTGACAACATTAATATTATTATCTTACTATTAAATCCTACCAATCCTAACAGGTTTACGCCAAGTCCATCAGCCCCTCCAGAACATTCCGGATACATCCAACGAGAGAGAACAAAAGAGGGGGAAGAGTATGTTATTAATCTTTTAAATATTAATTAATTTTAGGGAATTGGAACTTTTAAATATATTTAATTGATATTCACCTATTGATTTTTTGTTTTTACGCTCATATTTTACATTGTGTAATGAAACTATTTTACGGATTTCTGACCCTTTCCAGCGTACATGGTCATAGGACAGACTGAATTGTTTCACGTCTTAGTACTTAAACACGTTGACTCGCGGGCGCGGTAGCGGAAGCGGTCACGAAATATCAAATATATGACTTAGTATCCAAGTGTTCACGTACGAAATTCACGCGCGGTCTAAATAGCGGGCAAACTAGCGGCTGGCGCGCGCGCGCTCGTGGCATTATCAAACACTCGACACGTTTGTGCGTGTTATTGTGTTCACGTTGAACTAGCGTCGGAGCGCGCTATTCACTCGCGACGTTTTTTATGTCTTCTTTTGAAATGACACTCCTTATTGAATCCAGTATGTAATCAAAACAGTTTACAGTCATTCTGGTATATCCAAAAAAATCTTGAAGGATGTTCTCTCAAATTACTGTATTAATTTGTTGCACACCAATTATTCTAATTTTTAGTATCTTTAATTTTTAGCGACTTTAGTTATGAATTTTCGGTTAAAAATATAAGATCGTCGTGTTCGTTGATGACGTGTTTTCAGAGGTTGAATACTCGCGCAAACGCCTGGCGGCTAACGTGAACACGAGATCGCGACGTCTACCGCGCCCACACTCGCCACCGCGCCCGCGTGATCCTACGTGAACTAGCACTTAATGTCAGAGTTAACTCGGGCGAACGTCAATTATTTTATTTATTTTATATACATGTGTAGGTGGTAGTATTTTGTCTATCAATAGGAGAGTGTAATACTCCTATTTTGAATAAAAATATTTGATTTTGATATATTAGGTCTTTATCTAAGAAATTGCCGTATTGTATGAAATAAGTTAGTCTTTTTTTTTTAAACTTTTTTATTTCAGTTATTCAAAGTAATCGATCACCAATGCAATCGATGCATCTTTGCCAACGCATTGGTAATTTCTTGATGCCCTTCTTGTAAAAATCAGCTGGACGGGAGACAACAAACTCTTCAAAGGCATTTTGTTGCAAAAAGTTGTTCAAATTTTGTAAAAAACATGCAAATAATCTCCTAACGTAATTAATGAATGCTGCCTAAAGCATAGACAACATTCTTATAGGGTAATAGCGGAGGAAGCTGCGGGCGAAAGGCTAGTTTAATATAATTTTATCTATCTATTCAGAAGGAATTTTTCCAAACTTTGAAAATAATACGTTATGGATTGACAAAACGATAGCCGAACGATTTTGTTATTAAATCCCATCCGTCCTCACAGGCTTACGCCAAGTCCGTCAGCCCCTCCAGAACCCTTCGGACCCAACAAACAAAAAGATAGAACAAAAAAGGGAAAACGGTATGTTGTTTATCTTTTAAATCTTGATTATTTTTAGACAACAGGAATTTTTAATTTCATTTAAGTGATATTCTTCTGCTTTCCCAGGGCTTTAGAGCTAGCTCAGTTAGTACCTACTTGGCGATAAATATTTGCACATCGACCTTTGGGCTTCGTAGAGCTTTACCACAGTATATCAACACTGATAGAGAAACAAACAGTGACAGATAATGCTCTACAAAACCGATATTAGTAGATTGTCCCTTTCCAAAGGCCGGTGTGAAATATATATTGTCGAGTACACTGTATCTATTTATTAGTTACTGACACATCACATTGAAGTAGATTGAAGAGGCTGAAGCTGACTAAGGAGAACAAAACATTATAATTATTGTTTTTAAACAGCTTTCGCAATAGATCGTAGACGTTATTGTTTTATTTAAATCAATTTTGACAACCCATTAGATAGAGTGGCGACCTCAGTAAGTGTTCGGGAAGTCGATGGATGCAAGTGGCGCAGGATAATGCTTACAAACGATTTTTGAGGAAGACCTATGTTCAATGGATTCAAATGGGCCGAAATGATGATTATGGTTTTGTTTGTTTTAGTTTTACACGAATTATGGTTTAGTTTTACACGAGCACCACTTTGGCCATGTTGTGTTCTTAACGAAGCCTCACGACCGCACAGAATGCATCCACATTCGACGCGTTTTCAGGCCCCGACCGAACAAGAATAATAAGCTCAGCGTCGGGCGGGAGTTCGATTGCGTGACGTGCGGCAGAAAGTTGGGCCTGAACATATACCAATGCGGCAACGGGCACAGCTCATGTCGCGAATGCAAAATGGCGCGCCGCGTTTGTGGCGCGCCGAACTGCGGCGGGGCGATAACGGACATGAGGAACAGGGCTGTCGAGGCTCTGGTCGCTGATGTGATGCTCGCCAACCGGACTTCGGCCCTATCAATCGGGAACAGCGAAGCCGAGGTGGCTACTGGGGCTACGGGAGCAAATGAAACTGTGCGTTGAACTGAACTCTAGTGTGGTAGGGCCGCGCAACAGTGTTCCCTGTTGCACGAATGTGCAGGTCCGTCTGGGTATGTGCCACGACCTCACAGAAGACCGGCGTAAAGTAGAAGATAGATCCCGTGCAAATGCGTTGCCCCTTTATTTAAAGGGGCAACGCATTTGCAACCCTACGAGTGCAACCCTAAGAATGTCCATGGCGGCGGTAATCACTTAATATCAGGTGAACCGCCAGCTCGTTTACCACTTTATCACAAAAAAAATTGAAAAGTAGGGCCCTTATATGTCCGACTTTACGGTATTGTTCGCCACAACCCGTGACAAAGGCCCCTCTGTTCAGAATATTCACCTTTTATAGCTTACGTCTTATCGTGAAATGTCCCGTTCGCACTCAATCAAGCAAGTTTCTCTGACTGTGGTTCAATATTGATTTTTTACTTAAGATTAAAAATTGAATCAGGTGAACTGGTATTAAAATGAAACTCTCCTCGGTCACGAAATTAAGCAACTCGATGAGATTCGAATTACGCGGACAAGTAAAAAAGTAACCAGTAAAACAATGTAAAGATAATAATTAATTAATATTTCAATCGAATAACTACGATTGGAGTAGTTCAAAACACGGGCAATAAGAAAAAGTAACCTAGTTAATTCTCGGTGATAGACGTTTGTCGAAACAAGGAACATTAGTTTTCAAAGTCAAAATTTCTCTAATCAAAATAGGCTTATTTTGAGCTGTTATTAAACGTCAAAATAACAGGCCACAGTACAATTTGTCAGCGTGACAAAGAAAAAAAATTAACCCAATCTCTAACCATTTGTCACACAATGCAAAATTTCTCATCTGAGTTCGATCATCAAGGAAACTGGTAATTTTAAGTGCTGATTTATCGCGGTGAAGGAAAACCATCGAGATGAAAACTATATTTTCGAAATAATAATAAAAAAAGTCGAAGATATATGAAGTCCGCCGCGTGGTGGAGTTTGCCCTGATACCCACTGTACAGAGGAGGCCTTTGCCCAGCCGTGGACCATGTACAGGCTGCAACATACTTAAAGTTATTTACATTTACCAAATTTACTTATGGATAAGTTATTTAAAACGAGTTAACTTGTTTCAGCTTCTAACTAACTAAGGTGATCCGTATGTAATAATTATTTATTATCAAGAACGTGACAGTCCCGTAAACATTGTATATTGAACTAAACTTTGCGATAAGAGCATTGTTACGTTTAGAAAAGTTAAACAGCCTTACTAATCATACTAATATTAGATTAAAAATGTTTTTTAGAGTAATATTAACTATGGTATTTACGTTAATATTGATCTCTTAACCAAATGGTGGTAACATTAGATATAAAAACTTACATATAAAGAAAAGATTACACATTGAATACGATAGAATGCAATAGAATAGAGTATAAATACTTAATGTAATTATTATGTAAAATGATGTAATTACATTTTATATACACGATGAAATTCGCTTAGTAAAAGAAATAGAGAAAACCGAACTATTTAACTCTGCTTAACTGTTTTTAATTTCTTTTAGCCGTCAATTTTCGATCGCGAGTGCAAACTAGAATGCCCAAATAAATATGATGGATGCCAATTAAGTTTAAGCAGCAAGGAAATAAATAAGCATTTGAGTGAGTGTCCATTCAGTGAATTGGCATGTCCGCTTGCTTCTATATTTGGCCGGTGCTCTTGGCGGGGTAAGTTTTTACGAATAAGAACAAACATGTGCTTCGTGTCAATATTTTGTTCACGTTGTATGGAAATAGAATAAACTTAATTCGATAAAATTAAACTATTGAGATATATGCAGACATTAATTTAACTGGCTACGCAACAGTCTTTTCTGTAGCACAAATAGGCAGGTCCGCTTTGGTAAGTACCATGACCTAACAGAAGAGCGGCGTGAAGTGGAAGTGTTACACTTCTGCGTTGCGTTTGGTGAGTGAGGTAGCTGGGGCTCACTTTTATAAAAGGTGGCAACCTATGTGCAATCCTACAGGTGTTGCAAATATCCATGGGCGACGGGTATCACTTAGCATCAGGTGAACTTACTTACTACTTACTTAAAAAAGACAATCAAATGTTTATTATGCATACTCTGTATTTTATTTAATCATTCTGAATACCAACGAGTTGAGAACAACCATTCCGGTTATGAGAAATAACTAAATTACTGATTATCTTCTACTTTTGATACATTCAGACATTCATTCCAATACTTATCTCGCTGCTAACTCCTGTATATAACAAAAAAAGATATTATATAGTATAAATTCACAGGCAAAATCAATCAGTTGGTCAGCCACTTCATCGATGTTCATCCCGAACACCGTCAAGCTAACGTGGACACCGAATTGAAAATCTTGGATGTAAAGTACAACAACAGGATCGTTTATTTGGTCGCAATCGGAAATTTTAACTTTTTGGTAAACATAAAAGTGCAAACCGCAACGCAAATGGTGTACATGGCGGTCCAATTTTTCGGCACCAGCATCAGTGCCGCGAAGTGGTGTTACGAATTTCACATTTACGACAAATCACAGCCGAGGAGAAAATATCAGTATATGGACTTTTGCCTCTCGCATAGTACGTCTGTTGACGATGCTTTTGATAAGAATAACTGTGCTGTTATACCTGCATCGTATATAAGAACATTCGAGAATAATGGTTCAATAAACTATAAATTTTATATAAAGAAGCTGGAATGAGAAATGTAGAAAAAATATTTTGATACGAGTTTTAGGTTACTAATATGTTTAATTTTTATGGCGATTAATGCTATGTATAGTGATGGATTGTTTCTCAAGGATGGTTGACGTCAGGCAGGCGGCCGGTCAAAAAGTCAAAACAAAGCCAAGACCGCTTACAACGTGATTCACATGGATTTAAACCGTTGGTCGCCTCCGTGCTCGCTGTAAAATACGAAATCTTTAATTAATTATAGGAATAAAAAAGGAAAATGATATCTACTCATCATGGCCGCTTGATTTATTTCTATTTTTTACGGAATATCGTCTACGCGAGAGGCGAAAGGATAGACTGATAAAAAAAATTCCACCTAGGCCTCGGCCTACTTGGCCTACAAAGAGATCCGGCCCTCACTATGCATAATTAATATCTTCAATGTAAACAAATTAAACTTAAAATGTAAACGTAAACAAATTTCGGCATTATTTACGATTTAAGTATTATAATCCGTTCGCTTTATCGTCACACACTAATATTGATTTAAGTAGTCTTATAAAAGCCTTTTTGTTCGTTTCTGTTTTAGTATGTTCGTGCGACGTCAATATTTCATTAATTTCTTAGCCAGTTTTCTTTTATTTCATCTCTCGATGTATGCACATCTATGTTAACTAACGACATAACATTTTCCTCGTTTTAGTCTTTAGTATGAATAACTTACCTCCCTGCTGTTTTAATTTCAAATTGGAACCTTTTTTTTCTTGTTACCCTTGGCCTTTGTAAATAATAACGAACAATACAATAGTAATGTAATTATAAAACGATATAATAACAAAAAAAATTGAACATAAAGTATCGAAACAAATATTGTAACAATGTCTTTTACCTTCGATATTTTGACATATCATGGCATATAAATAATACAAAATTTGATTGTGCAGTAACGAAACCTGGTTCGCACGAAAGTTAGAAATCTGATTATTCATTAAATAAATAAATGTAAGTAATGTGATATGGAATCTGGTTTTCTTTCGAAAGAAGTACCAATATCTCATATTTTAATAGTGCTACGCGTAATGAAAATCAATCAATATTCTTGATTTGTTTGATTCCTTTTTTTTATGAGCATTTATAATATTATTAAAGTGCTTCTTTGTCGAATATAATAATTGTATACCTATCATGGCCGATTGGGTCATAAAATAAAACAATATTAAAAGAAACCATAATGTATTATTTTAAAGCAAGTTCATCTAACACTACAGGGTGAGGGTAACACTACATTATAAGTTTTTAAATTATATTTTCTAAACAACACGTGTTACACAAAAAATCACATTGCGTGTAAATCACAAAAACAAACATTTAAATAGTGAACACACAGTAGTTCGTATTTAAGACTTTACGTTAAAGCAAGGACACTTGTCAAAGAAACAAGTTGGACGGCATTAAAATGAGATTTTTAGGATTTAAAATTGATTTAAGTCACACAATAGCAAGTACCGCCACTTTAAATTTTATGTCAATCCCTTTTATAACTATCAAAATAAAAGATACAATTTTATTTTAACTTTACAATACAATTTTTTTTTTAACTTATTTCCTTAAATAAGTTAAAAGTAATAATGATTTTGCAGACATTAAATGCGGTTTATGCGGCCTTTTAACATTACGAAAGCTTTAAAAACTTTAAGGTTAGCTTTCTCGCAAACACGGAGCTCGTAGATATTATGACAAACCGCAAGTAAATAGTACTTACAGGAAACATTAAGTTAAAAAAATGTATGATTTATTTTAGCGACATATTTGTTAACTGCTTTTTTTTCATGTTACATGGCAGACGATTACGTACTCCAGAAAGTCATACGTTATACTTGAACGCCCCTAAGTATATTTTTAATATATTTATGTTAACTGTTTTCATACATAACACCGAAACTAATCATTATTACAATTACAAGAAATGGAACTGAAAAATAAAGTTTTAGAAACAAATTTTCATTCCAATGTTTTATGTCAAACTTTCCTTTTTGGAGCAATGAGCTTCTGGCAATCGCAAACGGCAGGAGACAAGTTTGTAAGTCGAATTCGTAACCACATTCTCTCGGACCTTAACTAAATGACACTGCGTGATGATTTATCAGATTGCATTATAAAATAACCAATTAGTTATGTTTAATTTACACACGGTTGACAGTAATTAAAAATATAATTATTTTTATATTTAGTGCTAATCTGCACTCAAGATGAAATTTAGGCATACCTAAAACTAAAATACAATGTTATTGTTATTATATTCAACCCAATGTATAAATAGACGAAACAAAACATTGATTTTAAAGAGAGAGAGATAGTTATTCATCTCTGTATTTTCTATCTCGTTTTATTAAGGAATCCTTAATTTGTTGCATGTCTTTTTTTTTTCATTTTTATTTAAAATCTTGTTTCACACCAACTTATTTTATTCTATGAGATTGTTGTACATAAATATTGTTTACTTTTCTATATGACTAGATTATTATAATGAAAAATACCATAAAAAAAACTCATGTACATATAAAATAAGTCTAAAATGTGTTTTGCACAATTTTTTTGTAATAGGTAGTTATGATTTTATTGCGCCCCTTGAATGGGAATATATAAGTGATAAAATATTTGCTTTCACACACTTAGAAACACCTTACAGCTACATCGACAAAGTTGTTGTAAGAGTAATAACAAGCCTAATTTTTTAAATTACTTTAGTGTAGTAGAATCAAGATTATTTAAGCAAGAGAAGAGAAAAATATATGGCAACAAGAGAATCAATAATATGACTTTCTTTTATTTGTATTATTATTTTATTTCAAAGGCTTTATTAAACTGAATTATTTAACTAAATTGAAATTATAAAGTACTCTTATTATTGTGCTTGATAAAAAAATTGAACACATACATGTAACATTTGAATATTTTAATTATTTGAATACAAAACATTGTTATACTTACCTCATATACTCTATTTCTAAAAATTGGAATGCAACACATATTATTTCTTGGAATTGTCTGGAATGCTAAAAAAACTTTAGACGCTTTGCTTTCAATTGCTTTTAAAATATCTCATACACATAAGAAGCAAGAGTTGTAACTGAATTTTTCAATTTCAAAATTTGTTTTATTCATTTCAATTTCGGATAAATGCACACAAATCTTGTGTAGACAATAACTTTGTTAATAATTCTGTGCCAATTAATATAACTTATTACGATTCATTTGCTTATTCCTCCATTATATGCATAATCTGCTTTATTATGCATCACAAGGTGGTTATCCACAAAATAGAAACTGTCAGAGCATGTTTCAAATGGTGCTGCTATCATTTCTTCAACTGAAAAAAGATGTGATTAGTTATTTCCTGATAGTCTTTTAACACAAATTAGCAAAAAAAAAGAATGTTATATACCTAAATCAGGTGGCAATGTAGGAAATTCATAAATATGTTCACATGTGTTTCTTGAAAATGGAATACAGAAGCCAAATTCAAAGTCAAAAGTTTTCAGCAATGTGTCCCTGAAGAAATGTTTCTCAATCATTCTGAAGTGGTTTACAGGACGAGCGCCAACCGTAAATTCTACCCTGGGTATAGTAGAAATGGTATGCTATTAATATCTTTTCCAATTTTGAATAGTTAAAACTAAATTATGGTAAAATTTTGAATAAGTTTCCTTATTATGAGAAAGAACAGGAATGACAGGAAGCCCTGCCATTTCTTGCCTAAATGCCCTGCCTATATACAAACATAGTTTAACTCTGTAGTTAAAGATCAAGTCTAGAGTGTATGTAAACTATAACAATTTTTAATTTCATATTCAAGGAAGTTAGGATTTCGTTTATACATTGCTGTCCAGTACTTTGCATACACTTACGTTGCTCCAACAGTTTTTAATTTCAAAAATTGAGGTGTGAATTGGTATCTAACAAATCTTCCAGCATTTGGATCAAGAGGATCCTCTGATGCTTCTTCTGTACCATCATTATCAACCCCAAAATCTGTGGGGGGTTTCGCGATCTCAAATAATACGGTACCGGTTTCTAGGTCACGAATTTTAAACCTTGTGAAATCAATATCATAAATATTAGCTTCCGGACTACATAAATATGTATCAGTTATCTTATCTAGCCTTAGAACGTCTTCCGGTGTTATTACACTTTGTATTAATTCATCGTTATTCGGTTCAGAAAGAGATATTGATTCGCACTTTTTCCCTACTAAACTCATTATATCGATTTGAGGGAGATTTCACGATTGAAAAACTTGCGCAAGCCAATTATAAAATTAAAGGCATAAACTTTACAGGGTTAAGAAACCGTTCAAAGCATGTTGGATTTTCCTAATCAAAGGTAAAAAAACTAAATTCTAATAGCAATATTCATAGCATTTTAACAAATTATTACTGGTCTTGACAAGACTATTGACACTTGTCAAACTGACAGACAAACTACAAAGAAGGACGAAGGACGATATATGGGTTACCATATAACTTATGCACGTACTGTTTGCTGTACAAACGTTCAATTTTTTGTGGCGTATTTTACTGTAACCCCAGCAGCTATCATAGCTTCATTAGAAGAGGTCCATAGACAGAGTACACGTTGTCACAGAATAATAATGTGGCTTGAGCACAAGGACACTACAGCAACGCCATCCGCTCTATTGCATCTCCACGATCCTTGTTCAAGAATAATTTACAAAACAAATAACAACCATGTACCCAATGAATAAAGAAAAGATGGAAGTGGCTCTCACAATCCGTCGTTGCCTTAGTATCGGATCCGCTGTTGCCAAACTTACCCAAGTAATACTCACTCACGTCTTATCGTGAATCTCAAATATATCTTAGCTGCTATTAGCATTACATATCTATTCACATTATTTAAACTTAAATATTAATTGCTAATTAAGACTAAAGTCTTCAATCAATGTGTGTTGCCAGTGATGACCTACGGAACCGAGACGTGGTCCTTCACTGCTGGCCGTATGAGGAAGCTCAAAGTCGCTCAGCGAGCTATGGAGCGGGCTATGCTCGGTATTTCTCTGCGTGATAGAGTTCGTAACGAAGACATCCGCAGTAGAACCAAGGTAACCGACATAGCTCAGAGAAGTGCATTAGCAAGCTGAAGTGGCAATGGGCCGGCCATATAGCTCGTAGAACCGATAACCGTTGGGGAAGAAAGGTTCTCGAGTGGCAGCCTCGTACTGGTCATCGCAGTGTGGGACGACCCCCCACTAGATGTAGTGACGACCTGTGCAAATGTGCGGGAAATCGATGGATGCAGGTGGCTCAGGATCGTACTTCGTGGCAGTATATAGGGGAGGCCTATGTTCAGCAGTGGACTCAAACAGGCTGAAATGATGATTAATTGCTATTAATTAAAAAATACGCTTTAAAGTCTAGATATTCATTCATTCTTTTTATGAATGGCTTCATTTTATGAATGAGGTACAATGTATTCGTGACTTTTCGTTTCAAACTCTTATAAGAAAAAATATCAAGAGAGTACTGTCACTTGATTCTAGATGTCACGAACGTAATATGTGCTCACCAACGTCCTTATCTGGAGTTAAAAATATGTATAATAGTTGCACAGCGCCGGCCCAAAGGTAGAGCAAGATGAATGGTCGCTCTAGGTGCTGGATATCAATGGGCACTAAAACTGAAATGCAAAAAACAATTTTCACAAAGTAAATTATGATCGCGCCTTTTAAATCTTTAGTCAATTTAATTTAAAGGACATAGTGACTGATTGAAAATAGTAACAAATCCCAATTAATTTATATTACTAGGTTTTTAAGTTTGAAATAAAACCTCAGTTTAGTTAGACAAATAGTTGTAAGCCAACATGTAAAACGTTCACAATAATCGGACACATCTTTTTATTTTTACACGCTCAACACATTTTACAACAAATTTTAAAACATTTTATTTATGGTAAGAAAAAGAAAGCTTAAAGGAAATTAACAAATATCATCTAAATAATTTGTAAACTTTTTCTAAATTGGAACGCGACTAAAATCGTTGACGTAATATCCGTTGCATCATGAACTGAAGCATGCGCCTTGTCATTTTCAGTCATTGGTTGATTAAAGATTTTAAAATTACTTTATTCTGATAATCAAGACATTGCTCAAGTGTTGTATTGTGATAAGACTTTTAGCTTGTTCTAGTGAAATACCTGATGTGCATTTAAGTGAAAAAATACATAGTCAATATGCTTATTAAAGAATAGTAAGTAAAGGTTATTTTGTGCCCAATTCAGAATAGGAATCGATTTTTTGCCTCCGCCAATATTACTCTAAGCGTTAGTTTGAAACGACTTTGGATTTTGTGGATTCTAAATATATTGTTCATCATTCTTTGTCATAATTTGTAAATGTTGAAAGAATTAATCTGACAATGACAGAACTTTAGGTCAAGGTAGACACTAGCGCATTGTAGTTTATATCATTAAATCTCATATCTCTATTATGGGACATATTAAAATTATATTATTTTTTTTACAGTCGCGTAACTCTTCCTTTAACAGTTGAAGAGGTAAGATGTTTTTGGAGTTTTGTTATTTTATAATACTTAGGCTATAGTTAACAATATGTTTATCATTATTTCTTTATCATTTATATTTAATAGTTAGAAAATAAATTATATAGTCTATGACCAGATAACTGCTGTATTTATTAATACAAAGAAATGAGAATTTCATTAAATTTTAAATCTTACAGTTTGGAAATTATATTATTATAATCATCAACTGTATAAAATTATTTTGTACTTTGAATTATCTTATCAATGTCATATATTTTCAGTGATTATTTCTATGCCCACTATATCTTTGTAGATGAATAGAAATCTGTCTTCTATTCTGTTTCATTTATCATATTTATTTAAATTATTTAAACTTAATAATAATTTATTAGGTTTTGTTTCTATAAAAAAAGTTACCTGACCGAAAACACTTGAAAAGGTTAATGATTATTTGTAAATCATACATTAAAAAGTTGCAAGCATAAATATTGTGAATTTATACTTCATTTTATCATCATTTCTAAGTATACAAATGAGCACAGTTAATTTGTAGCTATATGCTGATACACATTTTTTAGAAGTACCTATATTGTATAAAGTAAAGTAAAGTAAAGTAACAGCCTATACATATCCCACTGCTGGGAAAAGGCCTCCTCTATACAGATGGTATCAAGGCATAGTCCACCACGCAGCCCCACTGCGGATTGGCAGACTATATTGTATATTTGTATTATATTAGTGGTCCCCTAGTAGCTTTAACTCAACCCTAAATTATTGTATGGGATAGTGTGTGCATTTTTTTTTTATTTATTTAATGTATTTATGGCATAATTTAAAAAAATATTACCATTCTACACTCCTCTATATAAACTACAAGTATGGGAAATTTCATACACAGTACAATTTTTTTAAAAATGGATACAAAGTTTTTGCTTCACATATTAATATATAAATTCAGTATCAAACATAATGTATTACTGCACATATCCCATGTGTTTTGGTCTATTTGTGCAAACACCATCATCAAAAATGCATCATAAATGGGACATACATAGAATTAATGCTTAAAGGTCATTCCAACTATACATACACATATTAATCCTCTGATTTATTGCTAGTTGAAAGAAAAGGGTAAGAGAGCAATCTCTTACCATTTTCAATGAAACTAAACTAAATTAAGTAAAGATAATCTTTTATGTTATAGTAAACATCATGATGTTTAATATAACATTTAAAAATTATGTATTTTGGTTCAGGGTCTTCTGTTTTATTTTTTATTTTTATATGCTAATAATCCTGTTATCACATCATACTTTACCTTGTTGAATAATTTATAACTGTACAGATTTTTTTAATTGCCTGTTTATATCTATTCAAGGTTGGATTTTAAATCTTTACAGCCCTGAATTCAATTCATTTATTTATGACTTGAATACATACATTTTATATCATTTCATAAAATATTATTTATTTATTTAGTTTTTATAGAAAGTTAAGTTATATTTGAAATAACAAGCTGTAAAATTGTAGATATTTCTATCTAATAAAAAGGGGCTTTTTCTTTTGTAAAACTGTATTACATTAATATTAATGTAATTTTTTATTAATTGACATATTTAATACACAATATTTTATAGCAACAATATCTTGAACATAAAATAACACATGTAAATGTTTTATTTATTGCACACAGTATAGAAATATTGGACTCCATATATTGTGTGTATTAAATAAATCATATTCTTCAAAATTTTGTAACGCTTCAGTACACATTTACAACAGTATTTGCTTTTGTTATTCAGTACCAAGTGGCACAGTTATACTGTGTGGCAGAGGTGTCAAAAAATGAGACTGGAGGCGGTGAAGGAATCGAGGTTGTTAAAAATGAACCCTTCAAAGATTTCCCCTTGCTTGGTAAGTACTTGGCCTAGTGTTTATGTTGTGTGTGGATATACTTGCAATATTATAGATGTTTATACAAATGTATGATGGAGATGCATAATGTTATCTTGTACAATAGATTACTATGGTATTCATCAACCAATTTTGCTACTTCATTTCTCTTATAACAGAAGAGACTTTATTGAGTTAAAAACATTAAAGTGTTTCAAAACGGCTATTACATGTTTAAGACTATTAAAGGTTATAGGGGTATTAAAGGCATATTTTACCCCTGATTATAACCAGTCAACAAATCTTCGGATGCACAACCAATTAATTATGTCAAATTATCTTATGGATGAGACATTTTTAAATTTTTTTAAAGTATGTATTACTAAAAATTTCGGCAAATAGAAATATTGGGTACTTGTTTCGATAGGACCTGCACTTTACTATACACTGTAATTATAATTACTACCATACACACATGTTACACTATTATACTATTACATACATTACACTATTACACACATCTAGTGACTATAACATTGTAGTTGCCTCACAATGTTTTCTTCAATGCTGTGTACTTCTAAAATCATCAATTGAAAATGAAGAAAAGTTATTTTATTTGTGGCGGCACTGGGATTTGAATTCCGGCAGCTTGAGTTAAAGGCGAACACCCAAACAATGATATCACTTTACTTTTTTTATTAAAATGGAGGAGATAAAAATTAATATTAATATTATGAACACTGACATTCAGAAAACTTTTAAGGGGATTTGTCAAATTCTCCATCAAATGAGTAAAATGTGATGAACTAATAATAGTACAGTAAAGCTGTTACTGTTTTCCTATATATATCCCACTGATGGGCAGAGGCCGCCTCTGTACCTACAGAGGTAAGGTTAAGGTTTGAGTGTGGTAGGGCCACGCAGCAGCCACGGCTGTTGCACGACTGGGCAGGCACGTCCGGGTTTGTACCACGACCTCACAGAAGACCGGCGTGAAGTGGAAGTATAATAATACTTTCGCGTTTCGTCTGGTGAGTGAGGAAGCCGGAGCCCAATTAGGTAGGCTGTCGACGCATCTGCAAACCCTCGGGTATAACAAATGTCCATGGGCGATGGTATTCACTTAACATCAGGTGAACCGCCTGCTCGCTTAACAACTTTTCACGTAAAAAAATTATCCACCACGCGAGCCCACTGTAGATTGAATTCACATGTCTTCGAAAATATTTATTTTTATTATTTCGAAAACATGCAGGTTTCCTCATAATTTTTTTCCTTCGCCGCTGAGCACGTGATAAGTCAGCACATGCCGTCACAGGGAATCGAACTCGGGTTGCTCGAGTATATTGAATTAAAATTTCGCCCGGACAAAGAGCTATCACGGCTAAACTAACTTATAATAATTTATCTATAAATAAGCAGCGGGCATTGTTCCCCAAAAGATATGTTTAAACTCTATATTATTTATTTCTTTCATCACGTTCTTTTCGTGATTTATGGCGTTAGCACTACGACAGGCTTGCCGCTTGGAAATAAAAATATTTGTGCTTTTTCAAAGATCGCTCAGATATTGTACGCTATGTGATGGAAGGTAGTGCAGATATACTGCAGATTAATTTTAAGTCGATACACATCGTTGAAGAAAATGTGTGGGCGCATTTCACGAGAAGTTTCCCTATTCTTCGGCCTCGGCTTCACTTGAACTCTTGACCTACAGTCAGGGTCTGGCACTTGATTATGAAGACAGTTTTAGGAGAAACATAACTTTCTTCATAATCGGTATACAGCGTGTCGTTACCATCGCGACAATAAATGAACACACATATAGGGGATAACTTTTTAAAGTAGTATTAAACATTTAAATTCTTTAAAAATCAATATTTACAGAGTTATTAAATTTTCCAAAACAAAGAATTTTATAACACCCTTACCTATAAAGGCGTGACGTAAAGTTCATTTGTAAAGGTCACAAAACATATGAATGGTTTGAATGAATTTAAAAGAGACAAAACATACTGTTAGAAGGAGAGGCTTGTAATACGACGCTGTGGCGCGAGTTGTATAGGATGTTACAAATTTTGTTTCTTTTTTACTTAATTAGTTTGTTTGAAAAATATTTTTTTTTAATTATGGATTTTGTTTAACGTTAATATTTTTTTATGATTATTGGTAAGTAGAGTTCGACGTGTGTTCATTTATTGTCGTGATGGTAACGACACGCTGTATAACTTATGGTCTTCATACAAAAATTCTTTGAATTTACCGTATCACATGGCGTGTAGGAAAATTGAAATGAAATCAGATATAATTTTGCAGCGAACTAAAAAAGTACACATTATTTTAACTTAAAATAGTAGTAGAGCACGTAATTCATCGATATGCCTTAGAACAATTATTTATTACTGAATATCTCATATGAAAAATTTACTTCATTTTTCACGTCCCTTTGAAAAGCCGATGTTTAATTAGTGATCCATTGTTAAATTAAACTTTATTTACGGTTTTTAAATCGTAATTCATACAGACGTTTTGAACAATGAACTCGTTGTTGCCCATGTCACAGGATTTAAAATGATTTAATTGTTTAAATCTGATGGATGATTAAATCTAAATGGATAATTTTGATTTAAAGTGATTGGAAAACAAACAGGTATCGTTGTGGGCCAAATATATGAATAGTAATTTATCCAATCAGCGTACGGAAACGTCTGCGGTCCAGGCGAATCGACTGTCGTATTGTTGCAATATGACGTCACGGTCGACGTTTACTCAGATGTTTCACTGTTTACATAAGTGCTCCAAATACGTAATAGTTTTATCAAACGCGCCAGCCTCTAAAGTTTAAAATTCGTACGAATAGAACACTGTTATTCGCAAATTGTTATAACAAAAATCTACGATGTGTGTACTGATGCGTTTAATGAAATTTTCCTGCACCACCAACCTTATCCAAATTATCCACCAATAAGTGTGCGCCTTGAAGCCTTAATTTCATACGAAACTAAAGAGACTAGCACATCTACTAACTTATTGCTAGATAAAACTTAAACGGATTTTATCGCGTGTATTTGACTTCGTCCCCCTTTCAACTAAAGTCTGTTTCTTGAGTATACTGCCTTAGTCTGAAATATCCTGAATCTGTCTAGACATATTTATTAAATTTTTTTATGTGAAAAGTTTTCAAGCGAGCAGGCGGTTCACCTGGTATTAAATGAATACGCGTCGACAACCTTCAAAAAAGTAGGCCCAGTAGTGGTTACCTCGCTTATCAGATGAAACGCGAAAGTCTAAAACATCGACTTTACGCCCGTCCTCTGTGAGGCAGTGAAACTTCCCCAGACGCCTTCAGATTTGTGAAACAGCAGAAGTACTAACATTCGTGTCAGCGTTGTCTAAGTGGTGATATACTTTATACCGAAGAAACATTGTTCGTCCACAAACTGGCATATTTACACAGTTACCTATTAATGTCCCGACATTGCCCTATAAAGAGATATAGTGTTGGTTATCTTTTGTAGGCCGATTTCCAACATGACGAAAGAAACGGACCTTGCCACCATAAGGATAAATTATTATTATATAATCGTTTCCGTTAATGCCCCCTCGTAAGAGACTTCTCCGTAAGCCGTTGAACCGGTTCTTTTATTGCGTTAACAGTTTGCACTCATTAACGGCTCGTGTTACAAATAAAATTATTCAGTAAATCGCTGGATGCAACTGTTAAATGAATTTTCTTCTCTCTTATATCGAGATCCGGAACAATTATTAGAAATTAATATACTGTTGAAAAATATATAACATTAAAATCTTAAATTGAGGATATTCTTACTTATCTTCTCCTAAGATCTTCGACCCACATTGCAAAATGCGTGAGGATCGAACCAAAATCACGACGCGTAATTAGCATTTGTCTAGGCAACCACTAAGTCCCCATAACATCAATGCAGTCAAAGTTTACCCCTAACAATTCCAATTAGCAGGACCTGAACCATTTAATTGGAGAATTTTCACTCGCCTGTTATGCGATCGTTTGGATCGAAACATAACGCGCCAGTTTCCGAGTTTCATTACTAACATAACTCGTATTCCAAAAATTTTATACCGGTTGGTTGAGATTTTAGATCTATAGAATCCTTTTCGCCATGAGCGATAACGCATAGTCGGAAGTTATGATAAAATAACTCCTTCAAAGTAATCGGCGTTTTATTTTATCACTAATCATCCGTGATGCGTCAACTTAACTGAAGCGGTCGTGCCCAAAATTACGCCGCGTCCACCGATAAGCTAAATCCAAATACGGCTGCTACGTTTTTTTTTATATAAAAAAAAAATAAAAACCTTTTTACCGTTTTGTTGTGCGGTCATAAATATATTTCTTTGCCAATATTCAAAAGAGCCGTAAGCTCATTATCCGCTCGCTTTTAATTCCATATACTCGAGCAAACTTAAAATATTTCGATGATATGTGAAGTCCGCCAATCCGCAGTGGGGCCGCCTGGTGGACCTTAACGAGCAAGCGGGTCACCTAATGGTAAGCGATCACCGCGCCCATGGACACTTGCAACATCGTTTGAGTGTCATTTGCGTTAGGGACCTAATTAATATCCCCTGTATAGAGGCCTTTGCCCAGCAGTCGAACATGTTATAGGCTGCTACTTTGATTCACAATATTCGAAAAGTGAAATTCGTTGCCTAACCGTGCCAGAAGCTAACGAATGTACCAAATGTAATGAATTCAAACACTGCCCGTTCAGGCGGGTTTATTGCAAAGCCGAGCGGAGTGTTTGCCAAATTGTTTTTTAAAATTGAAATTTTGGTACCTACTTCAATGGTATCTACGTCGAGTAATTAAATCGAAACGAATACAAAAAGTATTTAAACCAGCGTGTTGCTGTCCATAAAAAATATTAACTAAATGCGTACATTTTCGCACATTTCTACTAAAAGCTATAGTCATATACATAAATCTAAGGGAACTTTAATGATAACCTTATTAATGTCGGATTGCCCATCAATTGTTCGAACAAGCTCAGTTCTAATTGTGATATACAGAAATTTTTATTTTTGCGAATCATGGTATCAGTGATACAGATTCTATTTGGACGGACCGTGTTTGTAATGATCGATTGTAAAAGAGACGAGAAAGCTTTAGAAATATAACACAGGCAATTCAGCCCGAGTTATGCGCTATAAAGTAATGGTACATTTAAATTGGCTCATAGAGATCGTGTTCGCGGCGGGAGATTTCTAAATATCGCCACGCATTCGGGGAATCCCACGTTCAAGTGCATATGAAGTGCGGGAGAATTCGCAAAAACGTAACCATGCTATTTATCGGTCAAATTCTCGCCCGATTAAAGTGTGCAACTCCCCAATAGTATGGTACGCATAAAGCCATACGATATAATGGTAATCTGATTGTCTTAGGGGGTAAATATTCATCGGGGCAGTACACATACAAGATCTACCACCTGGCCTCCAAGGTGCCGGCCTTCATCCGACTCCTGGCTCCCAAGGGCTCTCTCGAGGTCCACGAGGAGGCGTGGAACGCCTACCCATACTGCCGGACTGTGCTAACTGTAAGCCTACTGCATGATACCGACGTTGATGAGATTTAGTCTTTGTTGTGGTATACTTGTTAGCAAAGTTTATTTGCCCCCATACATTCATTCGGGGAGGAGAATGTTTAAATGAAAATGTCTATACACCCACCTCTTGATCTTCGCCCGGTCTTACTGAACTCTAGTGTTTAATTTTAACGCCAGGATAATAATCGGGCATCTGCAATTGATATAAAATCGAGTATACATACCCACAAATTATCGATTACACTAAAAGTGCATATAGTAATCCTGTACATATAACATAAGCTTTTAAAAAAAATGTTAATCAGATGGGCAATGGCTCTTGATTTTTATTAAACTGTATTTCTTAAACACCCGAGGTCTTGATTATCCAAAGTCAATCTGTGTAAATCGATACGCATCAGGACTGGAGTGATTGATATTTTATTTTTATTGCACGTTCAATTTTTGTAACAGGATACTAAATATTAATAAAAACTATGTAGTGGATTGTATTCGCTTCCAAAAGCAATGGAGGCAATTTATTAAAACTAGTTTTTTTTTTTTATTAACTTATGTAATCTTAACTATATATTATAATGCTTGTTGTTAATTTTTTTTTTGGTATTGATTTATATAGAGGTTTTGGATGGTAAGTATAGTAAAGGTGGACTTTATTATAAAATAGATAATTGTACTAATAAAGCGTGGCATACATTTTTGTCGAGCTAGGACAACAATAGGAAATAGATATAAAATGGAAATAAGTGTAACTAAGAAACACTAACGCCCATTTACGCCCATTTTCATCTTGTTATCGTAACGGTGGTACTTTGTAAAATAACAATATTATTAGCAAAGCGGCATCGAGATTAAATTTCTTGGTTTGGTTCGACTCATGGTTTTAATTCGACGAGTACGTTTCCGAATACATACTGTCTGGTAAGAGTAAAAGTCTAGTTTCCTTTAGTAGAACACAACACCATTAATTATGCACTTGTCCACAGAACCCCGGCTACATGAAGGAGAACTTCGTCATTTGCATAGAGTCCCTACATTTGCCTGACGTCGGCGACCAGCAAAATGTAAGTGACATATCTAAGTACAAAATATAGACGTGTGCATAATTATATTACTCCATGGCGCAGTTGCCAAGGTAGTGGCTTCGGCGTCGGGGGTCGTGGGTTTGATTCCCACACGGGACAACTAGTTGTGCGACCCACAGATAGTTGTTTCGGATCTGGGTGTTTGTCCACGTGAAATTTATGTTTGTAAAACGTCGTTACAACGCAGGATAATGTTATCCTAAAGTAAGGGCAATGTTTTTTAAACAAAAAAAATATAAAGAGTGAACTTTTGAACCGGGAGAAGTTCGAAATTCGAAACTTTCAAAATACCCGTCCATTATCCCTTTTAAATTTAACCTGTATACAAGACTACTCCAGAAATCAACAGACGAAATTAATTTTTGTTTTCTTGTAGCTTCTTTACGGTGACACAAAATAAGTTTATAAGTTTTAATGTATTTCCTAATTTAAGTTTCTGTTAGCAACACGGCCCTTGTAGACAAAATTGACCTGTTTAAGCGGACTTTTTTATTTATACGGGAAATAAGATCGACGATCCATGACACTGACGCCAACAAACAGTTTTTATTAGTTACAAGCTAATGTTTTGTACAAAGTATCATTTCAAACGGATGATACACAAAGAATAATATACTTCTCGCGCGCCACTTCTAATATGCTTAAGAATCCTCAACTATTTCTTATCATCAGATACGAAGGGGCGGGTTATGGGCATATATACACACATTTTCACATAAAAAATTAAGACACGTGAGGTCAACATATAAAAATCGACGTTATTATAAAACACATTCTACACCCGAAAAGTAATTTTACCTCCAGAGATAGTTTTCTAGTATCTAATATTCAAATTATCTCGTTAATATAATGGTATCTAATAACGTAATGTAATATTAACGTAACGTAATAATAGTATCTAACTAGATATACCCTCTAGATCTGATCATAGATCTCTTTAGCTGAGGCCTATGTTCAGTAGAAATTGTTATTTCAAATATTTTGAAGACTGAAATTGGGAAGATGATTAAACAGGTTAATTTCAATGGAACTTTTGGATCCGTAAATTATTTGACTTAATTAAAACAGTTATACACATTTATTTACTTGTGAATAGAATTATAATTCGACGTCTTGAAAAACAAGGAGTACCTTTTTTTTATAATCATGAAACTGCTTAAATATATAAAATACATTATAAGCTATTTATAACATTCACGAGCGATGGGACACGATTCGGGTTTGAACATGTTCAATGCTTCGAAGGGAAAACCATCGAAATACTAGGCTGTTAGCTTCACTTTATCTTGTTATTTTCGGTGTAATACCTTTAGCAAATGCGTGGGTATGTGACTGTAATTTCTATCTTCTAGTTTAGTAATTGGCTTTACGTGTAAATCGCTTGAGTCAATCTTAGCTGTGAAATTATTTTTTCGGCCCAACATGTGCGTTGTAATCGTCTTGTTAACGTAATTTTAATTTTATTATGTGTATTTTTTTTTTTTCTAAATGTTCGCAAGAATATTTTTAACGTAAAGTCAGCCTATATAGTCTCACTGCTGGACAATGGCTCTCTCTCTACAGAGGGTATTAGGGCAATGTCTACCACGCCCCACTGCGGATTTGCAGACTTCATATAAAAATATGCAAGTTTCGTCACGATGTGACCTGACAGGATGTCCCTCCTTTACCGCGCATGTGATAAATTAGCGCCTAAAATTGCAATTAACAATTTCATTGATGTAGACACCGAGATATTCAGGTTACTCGAAGTATATTAAACGAACGCTTAGATTACTGGACTATTGAGATTTGAAAATATTTTGGGACACAACTTGGACGTGTTATTTTTAGTTTTGGCAATATTCTGAATTTGATAAATCCAACACAGTCTTTGTCATAGGAATACACCTTAACGTCTCTGTTTTAGGTTCATACTTCGTTACCGTAATATAGCGCATATAACAACAGACGATTGGAAGTACCCAGATGGTTATCTTTGCTACAATGTTAATTAGCACACATTCATGACGTTACCTTTCAAACGTGAGTTACATCATAGTTAGTGTTTACGTGAATTACGCGTGAAAATATTCCTATTATTTAGTGTAGTTTTATGGGATTGGGCGTCGATAAAAACGTATATTGTTTAACTGTTTTTATATAAACAGGGAACGTTGTAATCCACTAGCTATGTAAATAATTATTTAAAAATTACGGCTAACTCCACGGTTAACTGATTTAATTTACTGAAGTCAAAGTTATTTTCGGAAGTGTATCATCGTGTTCATTGTATCGTGTGTGTATCATCGTTATTTTTCTCTTCAAAATCTGTAAAGCGGTAATCTCGAACCAATTTTAAAAGTAAAATCGAATGTTTCGTTTCGGTCTAGCAGAAGGAACGTGCGCCTATACGGCGTATTAACAATGAATTTCCCGATAAGATTGATACGAGCCCCGCGCGATAGGAAATCATAAACGGGCGACGCGTTAAATTATAGCGTTTCCGTTAAGTATTAACCGTAGTTGGCTTTCGTGCGACATTCAAAACTTTTTAAACCACTCATACGGTAGAAATTAACTCCCAGTTCGCAGGACTCAGTTCCCCTGCGAATCGGGTTTCACCTCGCACAGAGTGAACCCAGCCTTAGATCAAATTTTTATAGATCCTAAAATTCCTTAATTTCATTACGTCGCAATATACTACGTTCATAAAGCAGGTCTCTGTATATGACTCTCCTCCATTGTCGACGTTTCCAATTTGTCTCCTATGAACGCTGCGAAGGAAAGAGCACTTTGAATTATTTTATTGTTTTATTTAGAAATTTGGTGAAGTCGCTGTTAAACTCTGTTTAAACCTTTGTGTCTTCATCATAGATAATATTCTATATATTCGCTCAAAGACGCTAACTTTTCCTCTATGAGTCGGTGGCTTAGTTGCGAAGGCATTGGCTTCGATGCCGGGGGTCGTGGGTTCAATTCCCACACGGGACAATTAGTGTTTGTGTGACCCACAGATAATTGCTCCGGATCTGGGTCTTTGCTCCCAAGGTTGACGTAAGGCAGGTCGTCTGTTGTGTATTCACATGTTGGGCCGACTACACGTAGCTGGGATAAGGGCAGGGGGTTGATGATGATGAGTCGCGAACTTTTCCGAGAATGCAATCAAATAAATTGTGAGTAAAAGTGATACTGCTCACGTAAGTGACACCCAAAACTTTTAAAACCATTCCTGCAGTAGAAAGTGACTCCTGGTTCGAAGGTCAACGAGTACAGAGTGAACGAACCTAAGATCAAGTATTTAGGATCTTAAAAATGAATATCCCTTTTGGTGATGGAGCCCACAACATTCATGTCACGTTCGATCCAGTTGCGACTGTTCTTTCGCCGCCGGGCTAATTTAACGTCGCAGTTACGTCCAATAATATAGCCCAGTTGCTCGGCGGTCTGGAGCAATATTTCTAAACGACAGGTATCATTAACGCTAATAATAAGACACAGGCATATGTTGTCTTTTCTTTTTTTATGTGAGGTTGTCAAGCGAGCGGGCGGTTTACTTGATGTAAAGTAACTATCGTCGCCCATGAATATCTGAAACACCTGAGGCCGTAGATGCGTTGAAAACCTTCAAAGTGGGCCCAGGTTACCTCGCTCGCTAGGCGAAACGCGAAAGCATTACGCTTCCATTTCACGCCGGTCTCCTACGAGGCCGTGGTACGTACCCGGACGGACCTGCCCATTCGTGCAACAGCCGAAGCTGTTGCGTTTGATACGTCGTTGAAAAATCTTTAATTTTTGAAGCAAGAGCTGATTATGACCACAGTTAGGTACTAAACAGATTTAACTCAAGAATAAATAACGCTAACTTATTCTGGAACATCTCAGTTGAGTAATAATAACAGTATTAGGTTGCGAATGTTGGCGATACGGTTGTTCGTAAAATTAAACGCCATTATCGGTGACAAGGCATAAATAACGCCAGCGTTGTCGACCTCGCCACTGATCTTCAGATAACATAATCTTTCTCTACCTCAGTGGTTTAAAAAACGGAACACCACACGAAGAGATACAGTATTGGAAAGAATTATAGGTGAAATTTTAGTCTGTGCAAGAGTGTTCTGCGACAATAGAAGCAAAATTCTTTTTTTTTATTCATGAAAACTTCGTTCAGAGCTTTTTTGAAGAAGCTTGGCAGGTTGTTTAGGCCCTAACCTATTGGATATTAGTAATCTCAGTACTTTCCTGCAACTTAACATTTAGAAAGTCTGATGAAAATAGAACAATGGTCGAGTTGAAAAAAGTAACACGCACCGCGCCTCAGTTCAATCACTAATAAAAGTCAAGCGATACTCTAAAACGCTTTATCGGGTTCGAGTAAAATTGTTTATTTTCTTTTGTCTCAATCGTCAGTCCCTATAAGTGAGTTTGTATCACCAAAAATTATTTATGTTTCGTAACATTGGCTCGACCGGTTTGACAGATGACCTGCTGCGCTGACGTGTATTCGAGTTTATCCGATCGTCGTCCGTTTGTCTTATTCATTGCATAACTCTTGTTTCCCAAAAAATGAAGCGGGGTACAATCTTGACCCATCACACTCGATGTGGTGTGCCCCACTGATACATTTCTTTCCAAGGCACAAGTAACCTTCGTATCTCGCGGGCCGAGACTCAATTGAGATGCAACCTTGCTAACGAGCATGTCTGTCTTCAAACCAGATCCCTAACGATTTTTCTTTTGTTATTCGAGAATTAGTTACTAATATTGCTCGCGTAACATGTAAGATTCTTTAATGTGAAACAATGTTGGTCTTAATGAAAAATCATGAATTTTCTTAATCTTCAGCGATCGGATAAGATAATTGTATCGATTTTACCGATTCCAAGAATATCGGTAATAAAACTGGCCTCTTTGTGATTACATATATAATTTAAAAATAATATTATGTTTCATTTATTGTGCAAGCGAATATGGATGATGTCATTTGCAACAGTTGGCTTATTAAAGAAATCGCGGTCAAATGAAAATACTGTCCTTGCAGTATTTTACCCAGTGTTAGAAGTGGGAAAGTGCAATTCGTCGACAAACATTGTTTATTTTGTACAGATTTTAAAAGACGCTAGTGTCAATATGGCATTATCATGCATTTCAACACACAACTTGTATTAATATGTTTTTATACGATTTCGACATAATGAATAGTTCACAATTCAGTGTTCCTTGGCACTTATTAAAAATACCTTTAATAATTTTCAAGATCACATTGTGTATGTATCTATATAAGCTTAAAACTCGATTTAATTGTGATAAAGCAATTTTCTAACATGGCCGGATTGACCGGATTGTAGGTACAAAAAAAAATCAAATCAAAATTAACCACTAAAGCTGCGAATCTCCCAAAAGCCACGACTTTTGTCATAGTTGGTTGATGGTAAAATGCAATGTGCATATTCATATATGGATAGACACTAAATATTTATGTAGGTTCTGTCCATTTGGATTATTTTATCTTATAAATGAAAAACGAAGGAAGGAAACATTTTTGCGAAAGAACAAATTTTCGACAAATTACCGGATGCACACAATCTCATAAAGTTAGCACTCTTTTCTTTATCTTTTTGGCATAGATTGTTATTTATTTAGCCTTTTAAAAATATCATCCCTTTATTGATTTACTAGCTGCTGCCCGCGACTACGTCTGCGTAGAATAGGCTGAAGGCGTAACATTCAGACAGAAAGACAGATGTACATACAATATGTATATAAATTATAGCCTATGTCTTAATCTGATGTATGCCTAAGCTATATTATTGTATAGTTTCCTTAAAATCCATTCAATAGTATTTTCGTGAAAGAGTAACAAACATCCATACATACATACAAACTGTCGTCTTTATAATATTAGTAAGAATTTATCAATCTTCTAGAAAAGGCTACTCACTTGTTTCAACACCACAGGTGTATATGTTTTAGTATAGCTATAACTTCCTTGTTTTGACATTGACTGATATGTAGAAGAACGTTTAAATACATTTTTTTTATCGCGCCCCCTTAAGTGTCATGTCGTGTTCTGTGTAATTATTTTCGATTACACTTAGTTATTTGCGTAACAGGATACGTGACAACGCATTGAATAAACGGTTATGATATCGTTTTCTATAGATGTTTCAAAATACTATGAGCGCCAATAATAAGAGGCAGACGGAAACTCTAATTAAAGCGATCCCTTTAGGCCTATAAATTTTACGAAAATTATATCTTATTCTCTGACAGCTTTTTACAGGACTTATTTCCGATAATGTATTCGGTTAAGTTTATATGTACGAATGCGTGCGATTTTTGTAAGCTCTTGTGTATGTGGAATCTTATCTTAGGAACCACTGGCATTTATTTGAAAGATACATAGATCCCGATGTCTATGGCTATATTTTATCGTCGACTAAATGTAATAGGAAACTAAATTGGGCCTATTCAAAAATCGAGACGGATCCAAACTTAGTCTGTTATGAAATTTAAGCAAATTTTACACAATTATTGTTAACCAATGGAATCCTTAATACTTTATTCAAGTCGACATCAACCTGCCGATCAACATCACGCGAATTTGATTTAGCCTGTGTGTTTTATATTTAGACTTGAGGAATAACATAAATGCTCGGCACTAAAAATCGCGGTAACACCACATCAGTTTTAAAATAACCCACTGTTGTATGGGAATCTTCGTGCGAAAGCGATTGAAATTTAATTAATTCAAAAAGCTGACACGGGGTCAATTGCTGGAATAAACAGGGCAACCCAAACACGTTGATTGGAAGCAATTTGCCTGCATTAACTTCATGCTAAATATCAGGCAATTGTTTACCGTATTGTGCATGTACTTCGATTCATAAAATCTAATACTTTATTTGACCTGCTATGAGTTTAATGACTATGTATAAACTATAACTTTGGAATAATAGTATACACAAGTTGTAAAGATATCGTCATATTATATTTGTCGATTGCTCACGGGCGTATTGAATAGTCCAAATGCCTCCTTTATGAACTATGTTTTTTTGTAACTTTTTTTGCGCCTTCTATGTGTATTAAGGTGTCTGGACCATTGAGAGTTCCTCTATAGTTTGGCTTTCAAAGCCAATTTGTTTAATATTTTCGATTGAACATTCCGTTTCTTGCGAAGTCTGTATAATTTACAGTAGAAAGGCGATGAGAAGAATTTGCAAACCGTACCAGGTATCACACGCCATCAATTATTATCACAATAAAATATGGAACTTATATCAATCACAGTAAAAATAATTTCTGATTGTCATTTAATCTATAACAGCTAGCAAAAAAATGCTAATAAAAGGAAGCGGTGCCTTTAATACCGGATCTATATTTATGATTCAGGCAGATAAACTTTCGCCCAAAGTTTGAACGGAATTTCACAAATCATGTAATCCCAGGCTTTGATTCTATTAAATATTGAAAGTCACACTAATCCGCGTATAAAAATGAAGTGTCACTAGCCTAAATAGCTAAAATTACCGCTTAAAAGCAGTGATAAACAGCTGTGTGTCGTTTAGGCGTTCAGAAGGTAGAGCGACGCAGCAGCCCTGGCTGTTGCACGGACCTGCAGGCTCATCTGGTTAAGTACCGCGACCTCACAGAAAACCGGTGTATATGGAAGTATAATAAATACTTTCGCGTTTCGTCTGGTGAGTGCGGTAGCCGGAGCCCAATTTTCAAAAAGCTGTCAACGCATCTGCAACCCTCGGGTGAAGCAGATTTCCATGGGCGACGGGATTCATTCAAAATCAGGTGAACCGCCTGCTCGCTTGGCAACGTTTCACATAAAAAAAAAAGATTGACTGTTGCTCACCAGGTCCACGAGCTGTCGCCCGAGAAGCTCAAGACTCGCGACGTGGTCCACATCGACATCGCCAACGACCCGCTGCCCGCCGCCGACTACAAGCCGGAGACGGACCCGACGAAGTTCAAGTCGACGAAGACCGGCCGCGGCCCCCTGGTCGGGCCCAACTGGAAGAGCGACGTCAAGCCGGTGATGACATGCTACAAGCTCGTCACCGCCGAGTTCAAGTGGTTCGGCCTCCAGGTGAGAACGCCCTCGATAATACAACCCACACACACACACAAACAACCTGTTAGACTTTGTAACCCCTGGCACTGTAGACAGGCAATTCATGTTTATCCATTTACTGAAAAAAAAATTCAATAAATCTCAATAAGAGGGTTGTCTGCTTTATCCAACCATGTAAATTAACTACCTAAATAGTAGTTCATACATATTATGTCCCACTGCTGGACAGTGGTCGCTTCTGTACAGAGTATTAGAGCATAGTCCAACACGGACCCCACTGCAGATTGGCAGACTTCACATTTATGTTGGAAATATTTTTTTGAATGAACAAAATCATGTATTTAACATTAGTTTCAGTTTCGTCGCCGTACAATATGCATAAATATGAGATAGTTTTGCACCCAAAGGACAACTCAATCATGCACGCCAATACAATCAAACCGATTTGTAACGAAATTAAATATAAAATTCGATGTCCTAACCGCTATAACATTACTGGCCGCCCTTATTGATGCTAACTTCGCTTTAGAATACGCTAGTCTGCGAAGAGTTATATCAAATCGTATCTAGTTAGCGTAAATTAGTTCGGTCTCGTTGAGGAGTTTCATTTCCGCTTCCATCTCAAGAACGAAATGATGTCAGCGATGTATTTTGCTTCAAATAGCTATATTAATGTCATAGTTCGATAAGAATTTTGACTGTCTGAAAAATCATCTAGTACTTTACCTAGTTCCTTTGATAGATGAAACATGAAATTCAAGAATTATATGCTGTTACGGACTTCTCCATAACCTTCTGATAACTGGAAATAGACAAACATGACCATATTCGGAATACTATGGAAAAAAGTACAGACTTTAATTTAATGCACAAAGGCTTCACAAATTCACTTTCAGATTCGGAATATGTAGGCCAGAGAACATTATATACTCGACATGATATCATTTACACAATTATGATACACAATTAAGAAGCTCGCGCAGACATGTTGTTAAAATGCATAGTATATATATATATATATATATATATATATCTTTAAATCGTTTAAAACAAGTTTTTATATCAAATTGAACACTATTATTGTTTGATCTACGCTCAGTTACAAACGACTTTTATTTTGATCATGGTTTTTGACCTAGTAGTTGTACCGATGTTTTACTATGATCGTCGCTTCTATCATTATTGTCATTGACTTTAAAAATCTGCCAATAGGGTTCGAAATTCAGAAAGGCTCTCGCAGGTTTGATTTCAGGCGTGCCCATGAAATATTCCTCTCTTCGGAATTCTCGCCTGAAAACGTGGGAAAAACACGATCTGATCCGTTTTACTATGGAAAACTATCTCTTACGTTTTAGTACTTAATAAGATTGGAGAAAAGTAGGCAGTGTTAATGTTACCCAATAAGCTATAGAATGACGTCAGAACCGCTCACGACATTAAGATACAAAACATCAGACAGCCTTTTCTGATACCTAATAACTGGTTATAAATTTATTAAATAAGTACATAGGAAAAAACGCAATTCCACATAGCCTCTGTAAAAAAAGGTTAGTTTGTTTTTTCATCAACTATATCTCGTACTAAATATACCGAAATTAATGAGAGGCCAGTTAAAACAATACTGTAATATAAGCATTGTTTTTTGCATACATTTTCCATAAAACGCGTTTTTATCAGACATTTGATACTAGTTATGCCTATTTCATTATTGTCATAACGCTAACTATTAATTCGTCATGTATACTGCTTGCTTGCTTTGCTTTATTTATATGTATTTTTTCTTCTTCTTCAGAGTAAAGTTGAAAACGTGATCCAGAAGTCGGAGCGGCGGCTTTTCACTATATTCCATAGGTAAGACACTGTCTGTCTACAATAAAAAAAATTACGATGTTACAACTCTAATGCAATTTATAAACATACTTTCCAATGCTGGGCTAAGTATACAGACATTTATGGAGTATAGTACCGCCAACGCGGTAAAAATAAGTTAATTTTAAAAACATTTCTAATTGACTGTCTGTACTTAATTTACACGCGTAAGTATTTCAGTGTAGTATTTAATGAGTCGGTTATTAAGTGTAATTAAAGCTTGAATCCACTACTTACGTATAATAATGGTTAATTCATAAAAAATAATAAGGTCCTTCAATAGGGTACTCTGAAGTTGAGCTTAATGTTAACGTTTATCTTAATTATCAAGAATGAAACAATGCCGATTCTCTATTCCTTCTACCGTTATTGTGTAACCGGAAACTTAATGTATTAATCAATTTTGATATTCCCAATTGCTATGGCCCTCCTGATAGAAGTAAATAAAATAATTCTGAGAGTCGCAGAATTAGATGGGATTCGTAGTATATGAATGGTTGTGGTTCATAGGTTAAAAGACGATGGAGTTTAGTAAAAGATTTCGCCTAAACGTGCGTACGTAAGTATACATGTACGCAGTAAGAAGTAAATGTAACGTAAGAAGTTATACTTTAGCTTACACAGTACTTGTTTGTGAAAAGACACATTAAATGCAATTGATAACGGTTTAACTAACTAAATAACTTGAAATTCTTGGTTAATGTCAGAAAGTTGGTATCAGACGGTATGGTAACATCATGTTGGTGTTGCGCATCGTAAAAATTCCCTCTCACCATTTTCCCCAAACGCGCCAAATTAAGTATAACTTCGTGAAACATCCGCAGGCAAGTGTTTTGCTCGATGGACGACTGGTACGGGATGACGATGGCGGACATCCGCGCCATCGAGGATCGCACCAAGGAGGAGCTGGAGAAGCTACGGCGCGAGGGCGAGGTGCGCGGAATGCGCGCTGACAACGAGTAAATGCGTCTGTGTGCGTGCGTGCGTGTGTGCTCGTGCGTATGCGTGCGTGCGTGCGTGTGCGTGCGTGACGCCGGGCGCAGGAGCACGCGAACGACCCCGAGGCAGACACGTTTCACGCTTCCGATGTCGCGATTATGGATTCCCGGACGCAGTCGATGTTTCGAACCGCGCCACAAGGTTGCCGATTGTAGTTTGTCTCGGTCCGACGCCGCCAAGCGAAAGAACACCCTAAAACGTAACGCGCAGAGTTCCAAATATCACGGCCACGTGAATATTAAAACGGCGCTCCGTCCGAGGCCGTTAAGTGAACTTAAATCTTAAGTACATCAGGCTACTAATGAAAGTTGAATATAAAACATCACGGATATAAAATCGCCGACAGATTCGCAGATATGCCGTTTTTTTTTTAACGGCACAAGAGCTACTTTGATATAGCTCTGCCTCGCGTGTAAGTTCACGTCCTGCGCTCGACTGTTGCCCGCGATCGTACATTGCCCGCGCCTCGACATCCTAGATTGCTTCCACAGACTGCTGGCAGTCGTCTGCTCACTTTAATTAGGACCTTAACTTTAACTTAAAAGTAATCGAGCGGCGTTACGATGTAATATGTCCTTTCCTATTTATGAAATTTTAGAATCCAACGTGACGTTGCGCTTTAGTAGTTGAATTTGGATTCATTTTTTTCCGTTTTACCTAAATTGTCGACTATGTTCCTAACATAACGCCTGGTGACGTTTCTCGTTTAAATGATTCCAGTGCTGCGTTTCGTGAGATTTCAATTTAAATATCGAATTTCTTTCGAATGTATTCGGGACGTGATCTCAGTCGAGGCGGGGGCATATGTTTAGCAAAATAGTTTCAATGAGATATGGTATTTAAATAATTAAGTCAATGTAGTCAGTGGTTACAGGTAGTGTTGTCGTTACCTTATGAATTACATTCGAAATACATTTTGGACAAATTCTTAATATTTAGCATCGAGAATTGATGGAGTATTTACTTCGTTTTAGAAATCAGATTTTTCGCTGTTCGATTATGAGAAATATGAAGTTATTTTAGGTAAACAACCCTGTCAAGGGCAGGCATTACTTGGCTGTTGTGTATAATTAATTATCATAGATATATAATGGCATCTTGCTAGTAATTTCTGGTAGTTCGGTTCAAGTATTGCATAAAAAGATGTAGGTGCAATATGTTATATATAAACGGCAACCTTAACTCTAATGGTAGCTCGGATAACTAATTTATTTCAGGGGTGTTGCAAGGTGAATTTATACTTTAAATCAGAATGGGTGTCAGCCATAGTGGGAAACACGGGATTTTTTGCAAGTGTGACTTTGCAAACATGCTTATGTTCAAGTTGCAACATCCGCCAATAACTGCATGTATGTTACTATTTAAGTTTGTTGTTTAACAAATCAGTATTTTAATATTTGTGTGACATTCCAGATTCTATCACAATGTAAAATTTATGAAAGGTTATTGTCTGCCAATTTAATAATTACCTATATTTATAGCTCTCTGTCTTTAAAAAAGTTGTTCCATATTAAAATTCTATGCAGATATGCATAACAATATGAATCTATGATCTATGTCATTTGTAAAATGTTATATTGAAATATTCCTGTTTACTTAAAATATCTATGGTGTCTTAATAATGTTCCTTTTATTTTTGTATCTATTAAAAAATGTCATTAGGCTTGTAATTTTTGTTTTTTTTTTTTGTTACTTGACTCAGTGCTCACATAACAATATAAGTGATTATTTTTTTAAAGCTAAAACTGGTCTATGTGAGCTCTGAACCAAGGCGTTATTGCTGAAACTGCTGCGCTTTATTTATTTTTAATGTTTATTTTACTATACTGTTTACATATTTGACTTATTACTAAATATTAGATGTTAGCAGCACCTGCTTTTAATATTGCATAGTGCTTTTCCCTTCACTTTGGATTTGATTTTTATATTTTTCTAAACAATATATATAGAGTACTTAATTTTCCATTTGCTTAATTAACTCGTAAAATCTCATCCATTAGTAAAAAAATGGCACGTGTATTATGCATAGCAAGAACCTTCAACATTTGCACGAAGATATATAACATGCTTCTAGAAATAATTCTCAAATCCAATCACACAATATTAGACAAGTTCCCTTAACTATACAAGAATACAAATTCAGCTTATTAATAAGTAGTAATAATGAAAATAAGAAAAAGCTTCCCGCATTGTATTGTTAAAGCTTGTTTGTTGCAGTTACCAAATAAAATTAAGTACACATCGACTTTTTTTTTCATTTTCACGCTTGTAGAATTTCCCATTTTTTTAAACGCTTTACTTTTTCTCCCTAGCACAAATTTCATTTAGCATCTTGCTTTGTATCAAAATCGAATTATGTTCCGGCAACAATTTAGTGCGATTTTTCGATGGTGTTGTCGTATTTTTGTGAAGACAGCGACGCTAAAACAATGAACACTAACGGTCGCTTTACAACTTTTGAAGTCACATGACTTTTTATGCATTTAGAACGAGATGACTATATATGTATGTAGTAGATCCGAAAATATCTTACCTAAATGACTGAGGGTCATATTGACTTTCTGCAGTACCCGAAATACAGTTTCTTCGTTGCACAGATAAATACAGTGTGTACACAGATAAAGCTAATATTGTCAATTTTAAATGTTTAGCCAATTAAAAGATTTTGACGAGTTCTCGCATTGGTATGTAAGTATTAAAGGTAATATTAACATTTGTTGTAAAATGTACTATGGAGATTTAAAGGCCAACATAATAAAATAAATTAATCCATATACCGTCTTTGAATTGAACCAAGCATTATTTAATTGTAAGTCCAAATACGGATATGCTAAAGATGGGACAGTTTGCAAGATAAAAAATTAGAAGCTCTGTAAAAAAATTTCACCACCACAAACATTCCTTACATGCTAAGATATATCGTCAACGTCGCTATAGTTAAAATTCAGGCTTATATTGCAATAAACAGTCCATGCGAAAACAAATTCGAGGTGTTGTTCAAAGACACATTGGGCCATTTAAAAAAAAGCAATAAATTTATAAATGGTTTTACTTTACATTATACAAAGTAGATGTCGTTTTTTAAAATAAAATTAAAAATACATGTATCAATGCTTATATAATATCAATCTTTATTTTCGAAATAAATAATAAAATCATCACAACAGCTAGCTAACTTAAGACTAGTTGCCTTAATCTTCATAAACTCTGCAACATGATTCCAATCATTATAATGTAAAATCTTTGGATACCATTCACAACTAATAACATACTGAAAAACCAGAATCGAAAAAAGTCCTGCGGCGACTCCATTCCGAGTTACTGAAGAAGTAATATTATATATTTCGATGGTTTGAATTAAATTACTTGTCAATAAGTTTAAAATATTTACAATCACATAACTTGTTATAAACTCTAGAAGAAATTCTGAAAAAATCTCAATTCAATTGAATAAATGGGAAAGAATGCTAACGATAATCTTTACATATCTGAATAGTACATTCATCAAATTTTATTTATTTATTATTGAATAAATTCTAGTGGGTCAACAACGTCGCCAACCAACTGGTCATAGAATTCATGAAGAAGCTGTCACAACTTCTCTATGGGTATGCATATTAAAAAGAAAAATTAAGTCGTTTTATTTAACAAACAAGTGTAAGAGCGGACGGTTTACTGCAGTGTAGAAGACCTCTGCGAGCGTTTTTCCCAAATTTTCGATAGGTACGGTACTACTCTGGCCCAATCTTCACAGCCACCATTAACTTTGAACAACCTAAACCTATGACACCAATCGTTCTAAATAAGTCACCGCTCTCGTTTAGAACCACACTTCTGTATTTACTGTCCACCATCCAGTTTGATCTGTTGATCTGTAATTACGATTGTCCTAATTGACTCGCTAGAAGACTAGCTTAAAGATTTCCAAAGATAACAGACAAGTATTATACATTTAAATAGCAAATAAATCTATCATATCTTTACGTACTGTGCACTCTGAATATAAATGAATAAGATAAATTGTTATAATATAAATGAATAAGATAAATTGTTATAATTTTTTTAATTGAATGAATATATTTTTTTTTTTTTTAGCCAATGATGTAATATTCGGCAGCCCTGATAATGTAGACCAGTGATTCTCAACCTTTTTTTTTTCTTGCGGCACATATTAAACGATTTCAAAATTTGGCGGCACACAAAGAAAAAGATAAAAATTATTTACTTACTACAACACACTGCACAACTAGTTTATGATAAAAATTTTAAATATACGAAATAAACTAATATATATTACAATAATAACTAAACGTTTATTAAGGGATTAATTACTAGCTAATAATAAAAATATTTTTAATACGAAATTTGAGCTTGATGTTTTTTGATAATTTCATTAATTATATTTGGTCGTAAAAATGACAATGCTACTCTCATATCGTCTTCTACATTTAACAATCTTGATCTTTTTTTAGTTTTAATGTTGGCTAATGCCAAAAAATAGTTTTCTTTTTAAATTATATAATTTAATACTATTAACATTATTATATATTTGCAAAATTTGGCGGCACACAAAAGTGTCGCGGCACAGTGGTTGAGAATCACTGATGTAGACAAAGACGTTGTCGACATAAAATTTCAGCCAAAAATTTATGCTAGCAGTGTTACAAAGAAAGACAAACTTGGACGAAATCGATAGTTAGTTATCTAAAATAATGTATACTACGCCTAATTTTATTTTAACAATGCATTGAAAGTAAAGTAGGAATTAAAATGGTTAATGCACATAAAGTAAAACCTGATCAATAAAACGGATTTTTTGATATGTCACAATTAACCTACATATTAAATAAACACCTGTACAAAATCAGCTTTAAAAAAGCGTGAAAACTCCATTAAACGCAGAAAAAAATAAAAAATATTATACATAATATGTCCTTTTTCAATCATCAACTTCGAGTTCCAACTCTATATCAGCCAAGTTTATTTTTCGTAGAGTGTTTATGACCATGTAACGTGAAAATATAACATATAAGTATCGAAACCACACCATTTGAGATCTATGTTGCTTCATAGCGCGTGTCACGCGCCGACTTTCCGTCCACCGAAGAAAATATCTAAAAAATATCAACCGCAATATAAATTAACAAAATAAAAACAGCTTCCACAAGTAATCGATTCCAAATTAAACCGATAGTTTAATATTTATAAAATTTTTGATACTTATGTATTAAATAACATAACCTATTTGTTAAGGAACCCTTAAAAGATCACACTCTTGTCCGATTTTCGATTTTCTCAGGAGCGGGTGGACCCAGCAAGTTGAAATTTATACCATATAATGAGGTCTATAGTCTCTTTTAGGTGCATAAAAATAGTCAACAATAAAAAGATATAGGCACATTTAGATTTTTCGCAAATTTAAATTTAGCTTTTTTTAACCAAAATTGACAATTATATATCAACCGTAGTTTTTGGGTTGGCAAAAACCTATATAGTAGTACCCGTTGACCTAGAATCACGAAATTTGGCAAAAATCAAGGTTACACCACAAAGAGCTGTCCGAGCAATCTATAATATCGGAGCCCGGAATTCACTCAGAGATCTTTTTAAAGAGATTAATATGTTGCTCCTCAATACATTTATTGTAATATTTTGTATATACGTCATAACCTTAATTATTACGTAAAGAATAGTGAGAGACATAAAATAAACACTAGAAATTAGGACAAACTTACTACGCCATTGTTTCGTCTACAAAAAGTAAATAGGTCGTTCATGGGGCAAAGTGTGCACATGCATAATAAAATTCCACAGTCGATATTAAGTCTGCCGCTTGACCAATTTAAACGTAAAACTAGAAGTCAACTTATGGTTAAAGCATGTTATACCATTACGGAATATCTCGACGACGCCAATGTGTGGAGTTAATACTGTTGATATCACGTAGGCTAGAATAAGATATGTATATACCTGTATGTTATATTGTAAAGTGATACTTTTGAAAAAGAGAAACTGTTGAGTTTTTTGCTGGTCTCTTCTCAACAGAAACTGCTTTCCAAACCGGTGGTACCTTACGAACCTATATACGTAATTTATGATGTAAAATTTGACGATTTATAAGAGCGCGCAAGCGTCTATTTGAATATTTTTCATTTGATTTTGAATAAAGGAAAAATTCCGAAAAATAAAAAAGTTGAAGATTAAGGTATATTTTCTTTTTCTTTTTTTTTTAACAAAACATTGCTCTTCTTTTAGGATAACAATATCCTGTGTTGTAAGGATCATTTACAAACATAAATTTCACGTGGACAAACACTCAGATGCGAAACAACTATCTGTGGGTCACACAAATAGTTGTCCCGTGTGGGAATCGAATCCACGACCCCTGACGCCGAAGCAAATACCTTGGCAACTGCGCCACGGAGTCATCAAGTAGTACAAGTTTTCGCGAAAATATTGCCCATATATTTTTAAGGTGTTGACTCAGGACCTTGATTTTTATACATCTAAGAGGGTTTATAGACCAGATACTGTCTGGTATGAATTTCAATTTGCTAGGTCCACCCGTATCTGATAAAATCGCGGTATAATGGGCAGGTACGGTACCCTCAGCGTACGAGCTCGACTCACAACTTGACCTTTTTTTTGTGACAAGGTGACAAGCGAGTTGGGGGTAATGGTAGGGTTGCAGATACATTGCTTCCTACCCTACCACACCATGGCCTTACCAGAGTCATAAAATAATATATACATACATCATCATCATCCTCCTACCCTTATCCCACCTAGATGGGCTTGGCACAACACGTGAATCATGTTGTAAGTGGTTTTCGCTATTTTTTTACGACCGGCCACCTGCCTGTCATCAATCCTTGGCAGACAAACACACAAATCCGGAACAATTATCCGTGGGCTTACTAATACTAGGCTGGCAAATACTTGTCCCGTGTGGGACCCACGACTCGCGACGACGAAGCCAATAGCTTAATAATGGCGTCACCGAGTGATTATATTATATACATACATATTTCAATAAATGGAATTATTTTTGTAAAACTGTAGTAGTTCCATGCAGTAGCTTCTGCTGTTGTATGAAGACATGCTTGTCCAGGGAAAGACTGTGGGCTCACAGAAGACCAGCTTGAAGTTAATGTATTATACTTTTGAGTTTCTTTTGGTAAGTAAGGTAGACAAAAAGTATTTTTTAAAGTCGTAAATGTATCTGCAACCCGTCAGTTGAAGTAGATGTATGTGCATAGGTAGCAGTAATCTCTTAACATCATGTGGACCACTTGATCACTTAATAACTTTTATATAAAAAATTATAAATAATTTTGACAAACCTTTTAGAAGATAGTACAAAACTAAATGGCAAATCTAAAAAACTGATGTACTTCCTTATTATATTTACAGAGTCCAATGTATAAACAGTGCATCCTATAACAAGAAAATATTAATTAACTTAACCTATGCAAATATAAATATAGCTTTATATATTTTATCAAGTTATAAAACAAGACCATGCATTATACACATATGTGCAGATGAGATTAACCTAGAATTTAAGTTCAACATCAGAATATAAATATATATCATTATTGACATGTTACTATGTACAAAAAGGAAGACAAACTTAGTTACAAAAACCCAACAACCATCATAAATCTTAAATTCTGACCCCATGCTGGTTAATGACACTATTTCAAAAGTCAAAAATTTTATTCAACATTACTTAAATTTATTAACGTTACTTACGTTTTGGCATATCCTTTTCAACAAACATATAGGCCACTGCATAAAAGACGGCTGAATGGTTTGGATGAGAGGAGATTCCTCCTCTATCAAATGTAACTAGAGTATCCACTTCCAGTACTTCTAAATGATGATGAATAAGTTTTGCTATAACTTGCACTGGCCATTGAACATTAGGATTATCCTGCAGTCTTGTATCATTGATAAGACAAATATTACCCTCCGGAACCCCTAGTGTTTTGCATGCATTCCAAAGCTCTTCTAGTCGAATATTGCCTATGCCCTCATAATTACCTTAAAATGTACAAATGATGAGTTGAATAATTTTGTCAAAATGATAACTATACATGTTCAAGGAAGAAATGGTCAAATGATATTAAGATTATCAGTATTCATCCCAGTTGTGCATTCTGTGGTACTTTTCTGTTAGCTGTAATGCAAGCGAAAAATTGACAATTCATGTGGAATTCTGTCAAGTTTCTTACAACCATAAGGAGAATGTACATTTGGGGCCATGCACTCTATTCTCTGAATTCAAATTTTTTATTGTTTTATGGAAAAAAACATAAAGAATATATACTACTGCATTATCAAATTTGACTCTATTATGAACTTTCATCAGAACGTTTGCTAAGTAAGCACCCTAAGTGTCGCTTCACCCACTTGACCTTTGCTTGCTCCGCTAAAAATATCTGGCAAGATTCTGGCTTTGCATTTTTATACTAACTCTAGGAGAAGGGAGCAGAAGACCACATGCGATTGAGGTGTTGGGTCTAATCTGTGACTCATTCTAAACCTAACCTAATTTATCAATAACCTAGGTCTGACAAGGCTCCTTGATATATAAAAATGAGCAACCACAAATGTAACATATCAGTTTGAGAAAAATAAATGTTGTCCTGAAAAAATAGTTGACACAGATGAGCTTATTTACAAAACAAAGGAACTATACAGGTCAAATTCTTCCACAACAGTGGATATTTGATGGAGTTTGCTGCGAAATGGACAAATTTTTTCCACATAAAATTGCAAGCCTGCCTTTACCAGTACTGTTAGATGTGATAACAAATCACATTGAAGAAGGTGACTATTGTCTGTTACCATTCCTTGAAGGGCTACTGCACAACTACTAAACTGTTTTGTCATTCACTTCGCTTGGCAACATTTGCGCCCCGCAATTAGGAAAAGTACCCACTCAGTAACAAGTGAAATAGTAATTACAGTAGTTCAAGTATTAAATAAAGTATTAAATAAATAGTAATAAAGCTTCAAAAAATAATGAAGATTTGCAACTGACCATTTGATAAACATAAAATAAAAACATCAGCACCCTGTTCACATAATCTAAAGATTGTAGGTCCGAAGAACATACATTCATCATCGGGGTGAGCTATTACTAACAGAACTCTTTTAGCTCCGAGAGCACCGCGAATTCGGGTAGGTAATTTTCTTGCATATCGCCGATAAACAACACAACAAATAAAAAAATAACCCACAATCCATAAGCTTATGTACAATACAAAATTTCTTAAATATATCAAACTTTCAGCCACAATTTTTAAGTAAAAACTGTACACAATTTCGAAGCTAAAGGACCAGTCAATAAATGACATTTCTGACTAGAAAGGAAATATTTTTTTGTAGGAACGAATAAAAATTATTTATCTTCATTAGTTAAAACAAACTACAGGTATTTATTGTATAAAATAAAATATTTTATAGCTTTTTGAATTGTACTGAAATGAAACATTAAGGGCAAGTTTTGACTTTTTGACTTGAGTTTTGACGTGTTTTTGACAGTATTGCCGCTACTAAAAAAAATGTCCCTAAAATCTTGATGAAATTCTCCTAAATAACCTTCAATGCTAATAATATCAAAAGCCCCAAAAAAACCCTGTAATAAATTCAAAGATATTATTCACATGTATTTCATGTTTTTTCAAGGCAAATAAAATATAACTTGGTTTTAATTACTTTTCATTACAAATAGTTGTAATATTTAATAAAACTTTACATTGTAATAATTAATAAAACAACATTATATTAACTATCATACCATATTTTCAATATTTACTTTAATTAATAGATATTTTGCTTTTCTTACTCGTTTTGACCAGTCAAAATAGTGATGCAAGAAATGTTATTCATAGCACTAAACTTTTTAGGACCCTAAAAAAGCTCGATATGCATATTTTCGCCCTAAAGGAGCTAAAAGCCCTAAATTGGCCAGCATGGTTTTTGACAACGTGAAATGACTTTCTTATTTTTTTTTTTACTTTAGGAGCAACAGCATTTAGCTTTCTATTTGTGTTAAAACCTATATAGACCTCCCCCCAGCGTTGGATTTAGGTATGATGAAAAAGATAGTCCAAAAAATTGAAAAGGCTAGTATTTGTATTCGTATTTAAAAAATTATACTACACATTATAATTTTCATTTTAACAGGCATTAATTTACTCCCCTTCCAAGTTTATCAATTCTTCAATATTGGTTTTATCCTTCGAATTTAATCTTTTTAACTTATCCTCAGTACGAATAAAATCAGTAGAATGACCACTTTTGTTACAATCTTTGGTAGCGTCACAGTCACAAGCATAAGACAACAAATGTCGTCTATGGATTATATTTATTTCTTATCATAATATATGAAATAATAAATTAGTCGTACTATACATATCTATGAACTCTATTACCTACATCATAGTGCTATATGCACAGTTACTCTTCAACAAGCTAAGTATAAAAAGAAAAAACTATTTTAAGGGAAGTCGTAAACAGTTCATTGATTAAGTTTATTTATAATCCGTGGTAATAATTGACAATGACACGTGGTTTTATCCAATTTGTTTTGTTTAAAAACATTACGTTATTACAACCCAATAAATCTTTGTTGGATTGGACCAATATAAATAGGTCATTTATGTAAATTAACGAAATTATAGTATATTTCCGTACTATCGTTAAATATGGATAGTAAGCAATTATAGAACAAATACTGTAAGTATAGTACAAAATCCTAAAATATTCAATATCGAAATCGTATCAAAAACGTAATTTTTTTCAAATTCGAATCCGGGAAAGTGTACATCCAAATATTTAATACTTGGCATACTTTTTTTTTGGACCTGTCGTCCTAAAAAGAAAATATTGATGTTTTGAGATATATCGAGGCCGATATTGATATTTTCATAAATATCGATATATTTTTTCACTTTCGGCATCGGAGTAGGGATGTACACTAATTACGTAACCTACTTAAAAGTGTGTCGCCTGCTTAAAAACGCACACGGCGGAGCCGCATGTCACGAAGCACCGAGTCGGCAGGCCCGACGCCCTTGCAAGAATCACGTAGTTCCAACCTACTTAAAGACGGAATCGGAATCGGAATTGATTATTCTTCGGTCCCACATCGACCGAGATAATCACTTTAGTTTATTTTAGTTGTAGAATTATTGTAATTTTTCTTTTTTATTAAATTTATATTTTAAGAATTGGTTTTCATCAAGTCCTGCGGCTGCAGCTAACGTAATTCACTATACATCGATTTTTGTAAACATCGATATAACTTTCATAAGCATCGATGTTTTAACATCAAAGTTGAAGCCTAAAACAACCAAGATAGATCGCTACGTGTGGGCGGATATTTGCAAAATATTTTTTATTTTATTTATTCCTTTCTTATTTGCTATAGCAAGTCGGTTTTTAACGCGCATCAAAGTGAGCAAACAGTATAAACATTTGTGAATGAGCATTGCATATTTGATGAAGCTTCCGTTGAGCTTGTTAATAGAATAGAAAGTTAAAACGAGCCCTTTTCAAAAGTCACCCCGGCTAAATAATACTCGCGGGTTGGACGGATCCAGTGCGGCAACGCAAGAGCCAATCACGGCTCAGAGTCAGGACGCGCCGCGTGGGAATGACCGATTGGAAATACGTTCAGTGTTCGAGATACCAGAATCTCAAACTACAACATAGTCCGCCACGACCGGTTATCAAACCGTCTGGGAGGCACCTTAATTTATTACAAACGGTCCTTGCACTGTAGCCCGCTCGACATTCCAGCCTACCTCTCAGGGAACAAAACCTTATTACAAAGCGACCTAAATACTAGAGATGGGTCGTATCGCTTTTTCTGAGAACCGTATCCGAATCAGATTTCGATTTCAAATATCAAATTTCGAAACTATGTATTATAATATCTAGATATTTTACGTTCGCGTTGTACCAATTCATTAATAAAAAAAAAATAAAAAAAAAAGATTGTAAAGGTTTGTTATCACCAAAGAGTCCTACAAGGTCCGGCGTACGTTTAAATTTTTTTAAGTTTTTTTTCGTTTTTTTGCAAACTGGAATAAAATTTAACTCTTAAAAATCTTCCCAAAAAATTTACCTCCTAAAAATTTCCATTGTATTTTCTTCCTTCATTTAGGAAAAAAATTCCTAAGTTGGCATCCCTTATTATTACGTGCCTATTTACCAATGCACTCCAGCTCAAGGCTCAACAAAATTTAAAGACATCGTTAATACTATGATTCGTATTTAAATGAAACAGAGTTTTTTTCCATGCTGTTAAGATTGAAAATTACCTAACTTATTCATAAAATCTGTTTGAAAATCTGATATTGTGTATGATTTGCCGTATCCCTCTAACTAGTGTAATATTTGTATCTCACGCGCTTTGTCTAAAAATCTGATATTGTGGCAAACGCGTATGATATCGCGATTCGTGTTGGTAAAGCGAGTGAGCGAGTATTCGGTACATCAGATTTCGGAAATATCAGATATTGTAAAATACATAGATTTTGAACGAGCCAGTAAGCGCAACCTGGCGCGCCCTGTGTCAGTCCGATATTGATCGAAAGCTCAGGTTTCCCTTATTTGCAACCACAATTGGATCGGAACTTTTTTTTGGGTTCCGTACCCAAAGGGTAAAAAAAAAAAAGGGTCGTATTACTAAAACTCCGCTATTTCTCCGTCTGTCACCAGGTTGTATCTCATAAACCGTGATAGTTAGATATTTGAAATTTTCACAGATCATCTATTTCTAAAATTAATAAAAAAATATATAGATGCGGCTCCCATACAACACACATGATTTTTTTGCCGTTTTTATAGATAATTGTACGGAACCTTTCGTGCGCAAGTCCGACTCGCACTTGGCCAATTTTTATCTAAGTGCTGTGCGCTCTTGGGAATAGAGGTTTAAACCACTCCATAGACTAAGATTTTTAAGTGATGTATTATTTTCATACTCTTTGGTAATTGGTATAACGAGATGATCTTAACTATTACATATATATTAAGGATATCGAAAGTGAAGAAATATATCAAATTCAAATTCAAAATAATCTATTCACATAGATGCTTGCGCGTTCTTATGAAAGGTCAAAATTTTACATAAAATTAATACGTTCGTAAATAAATTACCACTGGTTCGATAATCAGTTTCTGTTGAGAAGAAACCGGCAAGAAACTCAACAGGCAACATAATGGTGCCGGTATAAGTCTCATTTTAGCCTACTTGAGTATTAACAGTATTAACTCCACACATTGGCGTCGTGAAGATATTCCACAATGGTATAATTAGCCTTAGACATAAGTTTACTTTAAATTTTGCGTTTAAATTGAGCAAGTTGCAGACATAATATTGACTGTGGGATTTTATTATACATGCTTAAACTTTGCCCCATGAACGACCTATCGACGTATCAAATATCATACACTGCTAGGAACCTTTGTCTATTTCAAATATTTGACACCTAAGGATTGTATGCCGGGTGCCGGATTCGAATTTGAAATAATATTGTATATCGATACCTTAATTGGCAAACCAGCTAACTCCACCTTTGGTCAAAAATATTTTTTGGTTTTGTTTGTACGCAATAATAATTCCGCTTGATTTGCAAAAACAATAACTCCGATATAATCAATATTTCTTTCTATAAATCGCTATTCGCAAATCAGCCAACTCCGCATGACACGGAACATTACAATTTTAACAGCGAACTCCACCAAGTCGGCTATTTCGTATGGCGTCCGAGTCATGTACGGTTACCGCCCTACGTTATTTGGAAAAAAAATATATAAAAACAACAAAAGGAAAGGTAGTGTTGAAAAACAATTGAACATTAATACACAGTATGGATACTTATTTTAGTTCTTACAAAACATTGCTAGGTAATTGAGCAATTCTAAAATTTAATATTGGCTTTGAGTTGGCCGGCTTGCTTCTTACTTTATTACGCTACGGTTGGATGTTATACATTTTAAAGTTTATTAAAAATTTAAATTAAATTTGATGATACCAATAAATCTGACTCTTTTCTGGTTCTTAATAACCAATTTTCAAAACCCTACGACGCTTTGGTTGGGCATGCATGATAGCGTAGCTTCTAATTCATAGGAAGAACGGGAAGTCGATGGATGCAGGTGGCTCATGATCTTGCTTCGTGGCAATCTATGGGGGAGGCCTGTGTTCAGCAGTGGACTCAAACAGGGTGAAATGATGATGATGATGATTTAATAACAACATTTATTGTATTGGAAATGAACTGTCTGCCATGGAGTATACGCAAACATATGAAATTGTTGTTAATGAAGACATATTTCCATTTGAAAAAGATCAATTCAGTCCAAGTTTGCTATCGGGTCACCTTACACCATCACTTAAATACAATCTTGAAAATGCCTCTAAGTTTTAAGCCAGCTCACCTCTCTACAAGTAATGATAAATCGGATAGCGATTAGGCCGTTCCTTTGATACAGAAACTACTAAAAAATCATGAAACTAGACTACTGTAAGTAAAAGAGAAATAGTGTTATCCAATGTCATAATATTTCTGAAGATGACGGAAAAATTTGATTTGGTAAATTTTTAAATATGACGGCATAAAAAACGAATTTACATTGATAGTTTAATAAAAATTTTAGGTACAATTAGGCAGAGATAGGAAAGACCCTTAAAAGTTAATGCTTTTATATACCACCCTTCAAAACGTGTGTATTTATGATATGAAAACTAGAGATGGGTGTTCCTTTCTATGGAATGAAGGCAAAGGCTGAGTTCTGATTAGTTTGCAACGATTTTAACCAATTTTTTAGTTGATTAATTAATTCTAGCAATAGAATTGCTATTAATAAGAAGATGACAACAGATATTAAAAAAATTAAGTTAAATTTGATGATACCAATAAACCTGACTCTTTTCTGGTAGTTAATAACCAATTTTTTAAAACCCTACAACGCTTTGGTTGTACACTTAAAAGAAAAAGAAAGTTTTTTTTTTTTTTTTTTTTTTTTTTAAAACATTGCCCTTACTTTAGGATAACATTATCCTGTGTTGTAGGGACGTTTTACAAACATAAATTTCACGTTAGACAAACACCCAGATGCGAAACAACTATCTGTGGGTCGCACAAATAGTTGTCCCGTGTGGGAATCGAACCCACGACCCCCGACGCTGAAGCCAATACCTTGGCAACTGCGCCACGGAGTCATCAAATTTTTATTTAAAATAAATCTATCAAGAAAACCAGCTAACTTCCAGATCACATACTTTTGCACGAAAGAAAAAACGGATAACTTATAAAAAAACGCTATAGTATGGTAATGAAAATGTATAATGGATTTTATAATATCAAAAATGACAATTTACGATAATATCAACCAACTATATTTTAGATTCTCTCATAAGTAGTCTAAAAAAAATATTATACAGTTTTAAGTGCCTCCTGTAAAACTTGCCTATATGGAGTTAGCTTGTTTGCCAATTAAGGTATCGATATATGTTTTTGATACAATTTTCGATATTAAATATTTTGTATCGATATATCGTATCCAAATAAATTGACTGAATATATCGATATATAGAATCAAAAATATATATTGATACGTTTTCGACATCCCTAAGCCCTAAAGATTATAGATGCAAAGTTAAAAAAATATATCGATATATATTTATATTATCGTATTTACATTTTAAAAAAGTACCAATAATTATCTATAGAAAATTATCGTTGTATTGTCATTTTTCGGATGATTATTTATACGTATCTTCAAACCATCCAAAATTCGTAAAATAGAATAGACATGAAGAAAATAGTTTAATAGTCTTTAAAGTTAAGAGGAGCATGCAGAGTATCTGTTAGCCTTAAACAAGAAACCAGAGTTGCGTTAAAACTATATTGTAATTGACATGAATTCGATAGTCTAAAATAAACATCGATAAAAAATTTCGACGAAATATAACCGTGACAACACGTGCAGATGGCGTATACTTACCCTTATTTCTATTCTGTTTAAGGCCTAAAATATTATTCCGGGCTAAAAGTATGTGCTGATTGCGTAAACTGACTTGGAATAAGATGTGAGTACAGCCCTAAGTTTATAGATTTCTGGTGAGGCTATAAATAAAATACAAATCGTTTAATTATGCTTTATTCATGCTTAGTCTAATTTTTTTAGATTCACTTGCAGTTGCATTGGACTGTACAAACTTAAGGTGTGGTATTTATAGCTGATTTTTCATTAGTTGTACAGAAGTTGTTCCCGTTCTTTTCAAGCCAGATTTTACTTACACACAGGATTGATGTAACCGTTTCATTATCCAGCCTATTGAGTTTATCTGTTTTGATATTTTTTAGATCACTTATAATAAAGACCTTTTTTTATTTACTACACTAGGGTCAAAAGTAAAAACTATAGCAGAAAAATGTTGAGGGGAAAAAAGCCCTGAAAAGGGGAAATTTGAATTGAGGTGTGGGGAAAGGAAATCATTAAAGTGGAAACACTGCTAACATAATATTGGAGGTACTAAGAATAGGAAATGAATGATGATTTTGTGATTGTCAAGCAATAACAATTCTTAGCTAATTGTTATTTATTGAATAAAATAACCAGTTCTACAGTCGCAACTTTTTTGTAAGTTTAATTGCTAGATCGTTATAATTCAAAGTGATATATTACTAAGACTGAATTTAGTTGTTACTATTTTAAGGAAGCAAAGTACAATAGACCAGGATGATTCAACCGGACTTTTCAACCGCTATTGGGTTTCTTGATCATTTAAATTCAGATGAACTAAAAGAAATATTAAATGATGATGCAAAATTTGATGCAGTGTTAAAAGACGTTAAACAGGTATTGTAAATATTTTATTTTCTTGTATAGAAATTGAGTTTTGTGAACTATTCTAAAGTGCAAATAACGTTTCCCGGCCATAATTAATAAATAAATACATATTTTAGAACACATTTTTACACAACGTTCTCTAGTCCCAAACTAAGCAACGCTTGAACTATGGGTACTAGATAACTGATATACATACTTAAACCCCTTTTGTAAATAAATACATATTATACATATAAAAACACCCAGACTCTAGAAAAACACCATGTTCATCACTCAATATTTTTCCAGTAGTGGGGATTGAACCCACTAGTAGCCCCATAATTAATTATTGTATCTTGTTTAAATATTTCGAATTATATTAATGGTTCTTATTTTTTGTAATTTAGGAGGTTTTATATCATGCAAAAGCAAGAATGCACAAGAAATTTTTATAAATTAATTGCAGGTGAAAGATTGGGAAACAGAAAAGGAAATGATGATAGCTAGCAACAGGTCACTGGCTGAGTTTAATCTTAAACAAGAACCCGACTTAGAAGAACTGAAGACTCAAGTTCAACAAAAATCCGAGGCTGGTGAACAACTATGTAATCATATTCAAGAACTCCTTGAAGAATATAGTAAGTCTGACATCACCTTGGTAATTTACCAGGAGCTTACGCTATCAATATTGAGTTTACATATATTTATTATGAATAGAAAAATAGAACATGAAATAATTAATAACTAAAAATCTGAAGTAACAGTCTTAGGCGATTGAAGTAGCTTATTCAACATTTTATTACTTAAAAAGTGAGTTTTGTGAACTATTCTAAAGTGCAATTAATGTTTTACAGCCATAATTATTTAGTATATCTTGTTATAAAAAATATATTTATGTTTCTTATTTATTGCAATTTGGGATATTTTATAACATGCAAAAGTGAGAAGGCAGAAGAAATTTCAAGAAAAACATTTGGTAAAATAAGTAATACTTTTATACAATTACAATTTATTAATTTCCAGAGACAAAATCAGCAGGAATATCTCCAGATACAACACTTGCTCTGCTCCAAACAGTTGCAGCTGAATCAGAAGAACAATCGGAGAACATAGCACAGGACTTCCTTTCAGGCAAATTAGATGTTGAAAAGTTTCTAGAAGACTTTGAACCTATTCGCAAAAAAATGCACCTTCAAAAGTTTAAAGTGGACAAAATGAGTGAGTTACTGAGAAGTAGTAGCCAAAACCTATATGGCAATGGTCTTGCAAAGCCATTCTTACCTTACCCAAGTTATCCACAAAATGTGCCAAGTGTACCATATCCAGTTGGACCATTGAATATGCCAATGCCTGGGATGTTTGGCAATCACTTTTGAATTCTTGTGTAGGGCCTTTCTTTAACTTAGTAATCAAAATTAAATGATTGTGACTTCATTTAATAAAAGTAAAAAAAGAGATTTACTATAATTTCTTTTATGATAGTTTTACAACAATGATACAATATGTGTAAGTTACATCACAACATGGTTTAGTTTATGTGAAATTAATTTGTTAAAAATTTGTGCACAAGTTTATACAAACTCAACTAGTATAATGATAGAAAAACCATGATATATGAGCACTTTTCAGATGAATTCACAATTATATTGTTTTAATGATGATACAGTAAACTTCAGTAAAGCAATTGCTTTACTGAAGTTTACTGTATCATCAATAGAAAAAAATATTTAGAAATTTTATACAATAAGTAGTTTGTAATTACAAACTAGTTATTGTATAAAATTTCTAAATATTTTATTTCAACATAGTAATTCCTACATTTTCTTCATATTAATAGTTGACTAAAATTGGGTTTGATTGATTGTTTGGAACATTACGATAAGGTAGTTTGAATCACCATTTATGTCAATTGTTATCAGTAAAAATTATTTTTATTTGTAATATAGACTCAACTGTCCGCTTTAAGTGGTGCTTAAGTAGATGGAATATAATTCTTGCTGTATTAAGTAGGTAGTAAAATGTAGTTCAGAAATATATTAATAAAAAATGCACTTTATAACAAAAACACAAATATCATACCTAAAAAAAATTAAAGAAACCTTCATAATTTAAATATACTGCGTGTCTTTACCACTGCGACGATAAATGAACACACATCTAACGCTACTTGCCAATAATTATAAAAAAATATTAACGTTAAAAAATTCCATAATTTAAAAAAATATTTTTCAAACAAACTAATTAAGTAAAAGAGAAACAAAATTTGTAAGATCCTATACAACTACAACTGACTGATTCATACATTCAGAGACTTTTTCATTCTTTGCCACAGCGCTGTTCCTCTCCTTCAAACAGTATGTTTTTTGTCTTTTAAATTCATTCAACCCATTCATATGCTTTGTGACCTTTACATTAATGTTTTATACATAATTTACAGTTATTACATAAGAGTGTTCTAAAATTCTTTGTTTTGGAAAATTTGATAACTATAAATATTGATGTTTAAAGAATGTAAATGTTTAATACAATTTTAAAAAGTTGTCCTCTATATGTGTGTTCATTTATTGTCATGATGGTAAAGACTCAAGAGACTCACTGTATAAGGTCATAAAAGTTTTTACATTTGGTTATCTCATAACCTTACACATATAACTGGTTTTAATGTGATATCTGTAAATATCTCTGTTTTCTCATATATTATTTGTAATAAGACTGAAATTGTTAATTTTGCAAGTGTTTCTTTATAGGGTTGTACAGTCAAGACGTAACAAAATCACTTTTGATAATGTGGCATTTAGCAAGGGATTTTTTTTCTGATAGGACATAATATTTCAGTTTTAGATAAGTAGATGTCTCAAAATATCTGGTTGAGGTATAGAAAAGATATAATTTATTTGTCTGAAAATACTTACAGATATTGTAATTGATCTTGCAAGGTTGATAAAGCCCTAAAGGTGAAATAGTAAATTGACTTAAATAAAGCAATCGAAAATGTATAGGTAAAAGAGAGTTTCATAATCAAGCTTGCCTTGATTTATGGATTAGAAGATTGAGTATAAAAGTTGATAAGAGACATTTTTTTTTATCTGAAAAATTGCCAAACGAGCAGAAGGTTCACCTGATGTTAAGTGAATACCGCCGCCCATGGACGTTTGCTGGTACACCCGAGAGTTACAGATGCGTTGACAACCTTTTGAAAATTGGGCTCCGGATACGTCACTCACCATACGAAACGCGAAAGTATTTGTCATACTTCCACTTTACGCTGGTCTTCTGTGTTGTGGTACTTACCCGGACGGGCCTGCCCATTCTTGCAACAGCCGAGGCTGCTGCGTGGCCCTACCACCGTTAGACGAGAAATATCATGTTTTCACTTTTCTATATAGTTAAAAAAATGCATGTCGGTAATTTTACATTTTTATTTCATTGATGAATTAAATCTGTTGGGTTAAATATCGATTTTGATGAACAAGATTGTACTTTATGGATGTTATGCTTTACAGAATATATTTCAACTATTTTGAAGAAGTTTTAAAATGCGACTCCAGTGTTTCTGTGCACTTATATTCGGAAGTTACATGATTATTATGGTTAAAATAAACATATTGAATGTCATATTTAAGATAATTGTATCAAATCTCGATCTTTGTAAATGGACGCTATTTGTAGATCGTGTAATTAAAATCTGCATTACTGTAAATGTTTAATTCAAATGTGTATTTTTATTAAAATATAACTTGAAATGAATAATCTGGTATTAATTAAAAATAGACAAAAGAAGTTTCAATACATTGAGTATGGTTAAGAGAGTAAATATTTGTGGTTTATAGCGTAGTGAATTATAAACTTTTCTCTTGCGCCCGTGTGCTGTGTCTAGATATGAGTGTGATCTAGATTCTGTTGAAATGATATTCAATTTTATAGTGCTATTCTTTGCGCTTAAGGTATGAAATATAGAATACGTAGAAAAATGAAGTTTGTCGCCACTGCCAGGATTTAAATCGGCGTCCTCCGGGTTACGTGCCCCACGTTCTAGCCACTGAGCCAAACGGTATTTCTTCACAGCGACGAAAATGTCAACGTATTTATCTAATTTGTTTTTATTGTATTGTAAGCGATGTTTGGCGCCATCTGTTGCGTTTCCTTTACGGCAAAATACCACTTTTTCATATTATGATATTTAACAATGAAATATTTGAACAGAACTAAAGATTTCGATTTGCTATTAAAATTATTTAAATGCTATTAATTTTTATAGTGCTCTCCTCTGCGCTTTGTTTGTTGATATGATGAGAACTTGCGATTAGAAAGATTTGGTTCTCCGGGTTAGGCGCACAAATGCGCAGAGCGGTTCGTTTCAAATCCACGCAGATGCGAAATAATTTTCGTCCGTTTTTCTATAAACTGTATATAAATTTATTTCTTTACAAAATTATATTTACCTTATGTTAATCAGTGAATCTGTCCTGAACTGAAATATTAGCATTGATTTTAATTATTAGCAATTTAATTCTACTTTAAATACTTCAGTTGTTTGTAATAGCTCGGTGCATTGATTTTGCTCATTTAGGACATCTTAATTAGCACCCTTAGTCTATCGACGCTAGACGCAAAACTTTTCACCTTACACTTAGGTGTAAAGAAAAAAATAGGATTACAAAATTTTTCAATTTATTTTCCTACAATTTTGTAGTTTATAAGGTAATGGTATTGCTCACAATGGACTTAATGACATGCTCTAGCACAAAATTTTTCGTGTTCATGAAAAATTTAGTGCTTTACAAAATTGTGGATCAAGCTATACTTTACTACTTTCAGTTCAGGGTGTGTGAAATAAGGCTTTGCAAAATTAGCTTAAATTAATTAATTTAAACAAGGCGACGTAACACTGCACAAAGAACAACCAGAGTATTAACAATGACCGATGTCTTACGCTTGTATGTTTTTTGCTGAGTAAGTGAGCTTTGAACCTGCATAAACTTGAGGTAAATAAGTTGGTCCGCCTCGTAACCGATGCCAGGTCATTTATATCCAGCGACTGCTTGCAGACTACCGACGCTTCACTAAAGTAAAAAAAAAATGGGAGCGTGAACTTATGTACGCGCGTGAGAAGTTAGACTTCCTTGGCATTATTAAAATTACTTTTTAATTGCATGCAAATAATTAATTACAATAAAATAAAAAAGAGACTGGAAAAGAATATAAATTATGAAAGCGCTATTTAAATTCTTTATTGTAACGGTCAAATGTGATTGAGAATAAGCTGCCATCTATAAAAAAATAAGCGGTTTAGCGGGCAGCTTCAGTGACTTACGTGTTACAGTAATGTACATCTTAAAATTTCACTCTCATCATTTTTTTCATAACACCTGAGTAAGAATAACTTCAAAAAAATCTTCAGCCAAATCATTCTTCATTCAAATCGCGGGATAGTAATGTGGATCATATTGAAAAAAAATAAAAAAAAATTGCTTCAATGCTTTTTAATATATACATTGCTATATTAAAAATATATTTACGCAGTAGCTATCTATTGTACAATATATACATGTTATCACTATGTGACAATAGTTACCACAGTTCATTCGTTTTCTCCGTATATAATTCTAACGAAAAAGTAGTAATCTATGATAAAATGGTCCTGTATTGATAGTTGACAAACAACAATTTATATTGAAGGTAAGGTAAATAGGTAATCACTGCGAAAATTCTAAAAGCAATGTCTAGCTGATGGAAAACATGAAGATGCTACGTGGGCAGTTAATAGAGGCCATATCAAATGTACCCAGTACAGTTTTCATATAGGTCGCAAAGACAAATTAACGGAAAGTGGAACAAATCAACAAATTACTCTCACAAGAATAAATATTGGTTAAAGTTGCAGCTACATAAAAATAATTTACTTCATAGTCATAGCGTAGAAATATTGACAATAACAGGCAAAGTAGGCTGCATCTTATTATTAAAAGTTCATCAACTGTGAAGTTTCTTGAAAAAAAAATTGTCTAGAACTATTTGATGGTGTCAAAGCTGTTGCTGTAAGAAATTTGTGTTGGGATACTACAAAAGTTTTTTTGTATTTTGTTATTTAAAAACAAGGAAGTATTAAATATCTTACAATTTTTTTACAAATTTTTCTACTTGTATTAAATGTTATCTAATTATTATTGACCTATTTTAAATTTGAAGATACTGGAACTTGTTCTTGTCTTGGAGACTCTTGTGGTTTACTTGTAGAATTTTGATCTCTTAATTTGTTTCTATCATAATCTGCTTCACCATGGGCAACCATTAATATAAACAAGCAGCCAATGATAAACATTATATAAATCAGCAATTCCTGATGATTAGACTGATTTACATCAACTTCCTTAGCTCTTTTGTTCTTAATGAATTCCTTTTCATAAATTGACTTTTGTAAAAGTCTTCCATAGTGTTCTTTCGACCTGAAAGATTATCTTGTTTATTGTCGAATTTAACATAGTGTGATATATACACAATAATAATGACTTGGTGGCTTAATTTTTATGTTATTGACCTTAGCGAGGGGTGTGGGGGTAAAGGGATACACATGTTGGCCATCCTTGGTGGGATAAAAGCTGGTTGATATTGATATTGTTCCGTGTTAGGGGTTCGAAGGATTTGGAGAGAAAGACCGGCTGACTCTTTTGAAGACTTTATTCACTAGCACTAGGTCCAACACAAAGCACTAGGTCCAAACACTAAGCACTGACGATGTCCTAGGTTGTAGCAAAGTCGTAGGTTTCACTGGTATCGCTCTTGATCACTAGTTTTCACTCCGAAGTCGTCTCGAAGGTAGCTGAAACTGAACTGAACACGCTCGCCTCCCTGGGGCTTTTTATATGGGCCGAGAAGATTCCCAGACTAATCCAGAAAGTCCCTTCCTGGAACGTACCCGACACGCGCTAACATGATCGTGATTCTGGAAAGTTCGCGAATGTACCCGGTTTTTGAGACTATTTTCCACAGTAGTTCCTCTAACGCCATCTATTATTGAATAGGGGTTTTTATGTTGTCTTTGTTCTTTGAGTGGTTTTACTGGTTGACGTTAGTTTCTTTGTGTGTTCGTAACACTACTCCCCTCTTAGAGATGCTCGTCCCGAGCATCATTGTTACTGCCATGGTAACGCGCCAGACGGTCTATGTGTACCACTTTGAATGTCCCTCTTGGTTGCTTTTGAATCCTTTAAGTCACATCATTTAGTCGGGTAACCACTTTGTATGGACCGTCCCACTTGGTCTGCAACTTTGGAGATTTCACTTTCCGGCGAGTTGGGTTATATAGCCACACCAGTGACCCTTCCTCGAAGCCGTATGTCATGGCGACCTCCAAAGCGTGCGCCAATGCCTTCTTTAGCGAGGTATGGTGACGAAGCCTCACTGCAGCTCTGATTATTTGTGGACGGAATCAAAGACCTCCGTCTTTGAATTCGTTCACAAATGCTTGAACAATATTCGTGTCTACCATCTTGGTGTCGGCTCCTGGGTGTGCCTTCCTGACGAGTTTTCAATTTCCAACGCCCATTGTTGTAGTCCTTCTCCTGAACGTTGGACTCGGTCACGCATTTGGGCACGGAACACGTGCTCCAGGTGTCGCTCCCCGTACCTGGATTCAAGTGCCTCCATCAGGTCTTGGAACCCATTTTCTGTATGTGGCAGTGCTTCCAGGACCGACAAAGCTTGCCCTCTAAGCGCAACGCTCGCCTCCCTGCGGCTTTTTATATGGGCCGAGAAGATTCCCAGACTAATCCAGATAGTTCCTTCCTGGAACGTACCCGACACGCGCGAACATGATCGTGATTCTGGAAAGTCCGCGAATGTACCCGGTTTTTGAAACTATAGTTCCACAGTAGTCCTCTAACGCCATCTAGTATTGAATAGGGGGTTTTATGTTGTCTTTGTTCTTTGAGTGGTTTTACTGGTTGACGCTAGATGGCGCTAGTTTCTTTGTGTGTTCGTAACAATATTGTATATTTCTTATTTCCATGAATAAATGATTTGATTTGATTTGACTCAGTAGTGATAAGATATTTTTTTAAAAATCAAAAATCATAATTTTTAGAAAATAATCAAATATAATAAATACCATACCAATATTTATAATTATAATTACCATAAAAAATAAAAGATTTTCTTCTAGGGGCACTGAAAGTTTAACTACATTTTTTGGATACAAGATTCTTCATACCTTCAGGTACAAAGTTTTCCAAATTGAGTTCTGCCAAAGCCCAAATTCTTGGATAAGGTAAAGCCACAACACATGGGTTATTTTGTATATTGTTGTTTAATTAAGTAATGTTTTCTGAAGACATTACAAGAATGCTGTTTACATTATTATTTATTTGTATTGGAACTTAACTGTAAGTTCATCCCTGAATCTTGCATCTAATTTGCATGTTTTCACATATGGTTGACTGATTGGAGATAGAATTTTGTAGTAATTAGTATGGAGGTCATGTCATATACCTACACTAGTAAAAAAAAATATCTGTCGATAAAATATTAAAACTGGTGGCCATTCAATGGATAATTTTTTAAACTTTACAAATGTTAAATTTATACAATTATGGGGCACTCAGTACTATCCACTTAATTTGAGAGCCCAATTGGGAAACCTTTTAGATATATAATTATTCTACATGCATTGTTGATAAAAAAAATCATTTAAAGATTGTTTGTGAGAAATGACAAAAACAATATCCATGAGAATGTTAATTGTTACAAATTTTCCCTACCTAATAGTAAATCATATTACAGTTAATTCTGAAATAACATACCATGTGTCAAAGTCATAAATGGGTGTTCTGCCATCCATAGTTGGTGTTACTTGACGGTTAGAGCGAGATTTATAAAACTTAAGTGTTGGGTCAACAGGTTCTGGTTCATAATGAACATCCATACGGGTGGTATTTTCCTTTCCTACTAGAAGACCTAGAAAACCAATATAAATTTTTAATTTGTCCTAGCAACTTGCCATGATGTTCATTGTTGAACACAAAATAAAACAATCTTTTTCTAAACCTGGTGGCATAGAGATGTATTTAAAAGATGAGGTCACGCACAGGATTGTATGCAACATTTCTATTACTTAGGTGGTCCTGCGGCACAGTTGCCAAAGTATTGGTTTTGGCCCCAGGGGTAGTGGGTTAGATTCCCATATGAGACAACTGTTTGTGTAATCCACAGATAACAGTTCTGATCAAGGTATTTATCCAAATTAATTGGAAGTATATAAAAACATCTTTACAGCAATGTTCTCGAAGGGAATACTACAATTGATATTCTAGATTGCAGTGGTCTTAGGGACCTACTATCCAACTCCTTCTATACAAAATACAATTACAATGAACAAAAGTAAATTATTTTTATTCACTTGTAGATTTCTTATTACCTTTGTCATACATCTTTTTTGATTTAACATTTCCTAAAATCTCATATGCCTCAGTGATAGCTCTGAACTTTCTAGCTGCAGTTTCATCCTGGAATAATATGATTTATTTAATTGAAAATAAAAAAAATATTAAAATGTTATTACACTCTTTCAATTTACTTAAACAATGAAACAATATAAATATAAAGTTTTATTGTAAAATAAAAATTTTATTAAATATAATGTTATTTTTTTATGTTATAGAAAAATATTATGAAAACACAATTATCAAACCAAGTATATACTTTAGTATCATTCAAATAATAAATAAAAAGGTGCATTTAACTCCAGGGCGAAAATAAAAATAGCCAAAGGTCATCAAATACAAGGTGTTAAAAACCAAGTCAAACTTACTAATATGGAAACTACCACATTTTCATAGGTGTGAGAAAAATTGCTACTTCTTAATAACTCTGACCACTGTTCCAGTGCCATAAAAATCACAGTGATTTATCACTGTGACTTTGTCAATTCAATCATACGACTACTAATACTTGTATCATGTAACAATGATTACAAGACACAACTTTTAAAAGTTGTGAGTTGATTAACATATTTTTAAAAATATTCAGTTTTGTAATAAAAGAGTTAATAAATATATATATACGTAGGCGGGATGATAAGTAACTAGCCATTGCTATTTAAAAAGTTAAAATTAAAAAAATATATGTGTCATTTTTAAATTCGTATCTCTGGCCACCTGTGTTCTAAATTTGAATTAGGTGGCGTGAAAATTTTATTGTTTTTTTGTCATTTGAAAATATATTTCGTCAACTATTTTCAAAATGGATAAAATTGAACAGAGAGCGGTGATAAAGTTTCTTCATATGAAGGGGATGAAGGCGAAAGATATCTATGACGAGTTAAAGAATGTTTTGGGTGAATGTGCTCTTTCTTATGCCACAGTAAAAAACTGGGTGGCTGAGTTTAAACGCGGTCGTGCATGTGTCCAAGATGAAGCCCGCCCCGGACTTCCAAAAAGCGTTACGACTCCGGAAATGGTCGTGAAAGTACATGATATGGTTTTAGCAGATCGACGATTATAGCTGACACTACAGGTATCTCAAAAGAACGGGTACATCATATCTTAAGTGAGGAATTAAATATGAAAAAGTTATCGGCCCGTTGGGTGCCGCGAATGCTTACGCACGATCAAAAAAGGATTCGGGTGCAAAACTCAAAAGAATGTCTGGACCGTTTTCAGAGTAATAAGGCCGATTTTTTACGTCGATTTGTAACAACAGATGAAACATGGGTTCATCATTACACGCCAGAATCAAAAATTCAATCAAAACAGTGGACTCAATCGGGATGCCCGGCTCCGAAAAAGCCATGGCTGTAAAGTCGGCTGGAAAAGTGATGGCTTCCGTCTTTTGGAATGCAGATGGGATTTTGATGATAGATTACCTTGCTAAAGGTCAAACAATTAATGGTGAATACTACGCTAATCTTATTGATAAGCTTCATCAATGTATTCAGCAAAAACGACCAGGTTTGGTGAAAAAAAAAATCATCTTCCACCAAGACAACGCTAGGGTTCACACATGTGTTAAAGCTATGGCAAAAATCAACGAATTGAAATATGATTTGCTGCCACACCCACCTTATTCGCCTGATCTAGCGCCATCAGACTTCCACTTATTCCCTAAGCTCAAAACTTTTTTGGGCGGAAAGAAATTTGCCACAAATGATGAAGTCATAGCCGCCGTAGAGGAGTATTTTGCAGGCCTCGAAAGAAATCATTTTCTAGAAGGCATTACTGCTTTAGAACGAAGATGGAATAAGTGTGTAGCGGTTCAAGGAGAGTATGTCGAAAAATAAAATTAATTTTATCACGGAAAGTTAAGTGTTTTCTTATTAGGCTAGTTACTTATCATCCCGCCCTCGTATATATAAAATATTGAAACTCCAAAATTTTAATCTTATTTTAAATTATGCATTACTTCACTGACATGTCTAAATTTATTACGCTTTGTACAAACTTTGTACATACAATATTAGGTAATTTGTTGTCACGGTTTACATTTGCCCCTGTTTGTGTCACCCAGTATTAAAGAAATGTCTTATTAATTTGTGTCTAACAACTCACTAAGAATGTATATAACTAAATTAAAGAGACTTCGAACTTACGCTTGATTTGTCTGGATGATATATTTTTGACAACTTGTAATAAGCTGATTTGATGTCATTCTGGGTCGCTTTTGGGGTAATGCCGAGGACATCGTAGTGGCTTGCACAAGACCGAGGACTGGTATAAATGTTGCGAATGAAGATTGCTAGTAAATTTGACCTCCTTTGTCTCAGCATCTAAATAACGAATAAAAACATAAGATCTTATTCAAAAGTTAACAAAATTTTGAACTTATAATGGTCACGTGTAGGTTTATATTTTTGCAAATTTTTAGTATCTTTATAAATAATCAAAACGTACTTGCCCCCAAGTCTTTTTCTTACTGTTTAACAGATGACAACATGCAAAGTTGTCTTATTTCATTTAATTGAAATTAAAACTAAATTATATGTACAAAATTGAGATTTTGTTTTGAAAACAAGGACCTTGAAATTTCAAGTGACATTGTTGACAAGTCGATATTACGCAATATTAACTCCTTGTCAGATATAGAAAAGTACTCTTTGCTCCTTGTGATAAAAGAAAAAAATTAAGCAACATCTATGTATAGGTATAGAGACCAGCACTGCTAATTTCATAGGGTCATAAGGTTGAAAATAAAAATATTTACACATGGTTGAAATATCCACTAACGCAGTCTGTATTATTCGACCTTTAGTGAATCTATTGAATAGCGGCCACTTTAGGAAGGACAAATTAAAAAAATAATGAAGGTAAGTTATCGTGCCACAAAAACCATGACTGCGCTTTCAGACCGAAGATTATTCATTTAAATTTTCATCGTACATTAAATTTATTAAAATGCAAATCTTACGTTGAAAACTCCTCTAAAACCGTTGAACTTGTGAGGGGAGTAGAGAACGCTGGTTCCTTATTCCACTCCAGCTCTGACGATGACGGCTTAATAACGGCATGGGTAAATAAGCCTGAGAGGGAGTGGGCGCAACCATGCCCACTCCCTTCAGGCTACATCTTACAGGCCGATAGCATTATCATCTGTAATAGGTAAGCTTAAAGAACATTTAGTGAAAAACCGGCTTGAATGGCTTGCTGAAAACCAAAAATATACTAGCAAGCAGTCAATTTGGTTTTAGGAAAGGAAGATGTACGATAGATAGCTTGAGTACATTAACTACAGATATAATAAGACTGGCGTTTACAAATAATAATTTCCTTGTATTTGCGTTTTTAGACATAAATTCTGCATAAGATAGTGTTCTTCCGCATCTGTTACGGCAGAAATTACTTGACTTAAAAGTTCCTAAAATATTTATTAACTTCATTGATAACATGTTATATGAGAGAACTATACATATTTTTTTAGAAAATGGACATAAAATATCCAGGACGACTTGGAACGGATTACCCCAGGGCTCTGTTCTTAGACCGTTGCTATAGAATATATACACTTATGATTTAGAACATTTCCTTAAGGGGTCTGCAAATATTCTGCAGTATGCAAATGATTTACTTTTGTATGTTTCGGATGAATCTGCTCATAAAGCTTGGAGTGCTTAAATTACTCTTTGCGTCTATTGAGTATTTGGACTAAATCAAATGGCCTTGAATTGTCTGCTTCTAAAAGCACCACTGTAATATTTTCCAGCAAACGTCTTCTTCCAAAAATCCTCATTTCTTATAAAAATAGTCCAATTCCAGTTAAGAATAGTGCAAAATTTTTAGGTTTAATATTGGACTCAATTTTACTGGCATTCCACATTTCGATTATGTTGTAGCAAAATGTGAACGTCAACTAAATCTGTTTAGATGCCTTTCTGGTGTATGGTGGGGTGCGCACCCCATCTCCTTAAAATTCGTTTACAACGCTATCATTAGAAGCATTGTAGACTATGGTACTTTTTTATTGGAACCCTGTAACGCATCTGGTCTTAAAAAATTTAATTCAATCAAAAGCTTTACGAATAATATCTGGTGCAATGAAATCCAGTCCTGTTAATGCCCTTCAAGTGGAATGAGGCGATCCGCCGCTCCACTTAAGAAGACAATATTTAGCTGATAGATTCCCGTTTTGTTGTTTACAAATTTTAAACCATCTTTTAATAACAAAACTACAAACCTTAAGTCATTAATTCATCTTCGTATTGGAAACACAAGGAATTACCAAGTCTTGTTAAAAGTTACCAAAAATATCTTGCTATTGAAGCCCCCATGTATCGTTCTAAAACTCTTCCACTGTTTGAAACCGATTATAAAATCTTGACTCATACGCCCTTCATAAAAATCAATATTGGAATTAAAGAAGATGAAATAGAAAGTCATACAGCTTTCAAATTCGTCATTGAAAATAACTGGGAGAATTGGCACTATATAAATATAGTGATGCTTCTAAACATACCAATAATAGTTGTGTTGGGGTTGGAGTATTTCATTCTCAGTTTAATATTGTACAAAAAATTAAATTACCTCCCGAATCAATAGTATTTACTGGGGAATGTTTCGGTCTATTTCGCGCAGTAGAATATACAGCGTGTCTTTATAATCGCGACAATAAATGAACACACATATAGAGGATAACTTTTTAAAATTGTATTAAACATTTACATCCTTTAACATCAATATTTACAGAGTTATTAAATTTTCCAAAAAATTTTAGAACACCCACGTTAATTAAAATTTATACGTAATATAAAACTGTAACGTAAAGTTGATTTGTAAATGTCACAAAGCATATGAATGGGTTGAATGAATGAATATTGCACACAAACAATAAAACAAACAAAAATTAAAACTTAATGTAGAAGTGAAGGGTACAATGGGCGGCTTATTACTAAGAGTAATTTCTTCCAGGCAACCTTTGGATGGACTAAAAGGAAATAATTTAGGAATAAAGGTGTGGGTTAACTAATTGAATGAAAAAAAGATACTTATCTACAATCATAATTCATAATAATAAGATATTTATAAATATTTAAGTAAATAAATAAATGTGTGTACAAAAGGCTAACAAAATATAGACATATAAATACACATACACATATATATACACATCAATATATACATATTATATTTATATATACATACCACATATCATTGTTATGAAATAACATTACAGAACAGATTTTACTTCGTATGTTTTAACTACAGACTTATAAAGAGACCTCTTTCCTTTATACGTCTGTGTTTTTTACGTGTTTAAAATCATTCTAAGATACGTTTAATAATTTAATAAATAAGTTTTTTTAAAAACGAAATTCCGAATTTTTTTTTAATTTTTAAACAATAGAAAATACCAAGCCCTGAGGATGAGGCCTAGCAAGCCTTCTATTAGAGAAAGCGTCGGGGCCAGCCTAAGAGTCTTTACGAGTGGGTTAGAAGGGTACGAGTGGACAGGACGAGGATGGTTAGGATGGAGGCTCTTTTCTTGTCCTCTGTAACAACGGTGGATTCGCAGGAAAATAAGAGCGATGCGGCGGCTGCACCGCAGATGTAGTAATGTCGGGATCAATCGGAACAGGAGTATCAGTATTGCGGTACGCCGTTCTCCCTACCGTGTCGAAACATCAGTGGTTGAGCTATTCTAAGCGTTTTCCTAAATTAAGCAATACCTCAATGCCCCCCTTACATTTAACAAGTGGTAACATTAGGCAATACTTTAGCGAAAGCCCATCTTAGGGCTTCTTACAAGCAGATTCTATTTTTCTAAACAAGGGTAATTTTTTTGTTATCTGCACGAGGTGTTAAAATTAATTTTTTGACTTGGCAGCACTGTGATGAGTTACGTCAACTCTATTTAGTTTACATCATAGGGATGCGAAATCAAAAAAATATAGATATGTCGATATTTGTAAAAATATCAGTATCGGCCTCGATATAACGAAAGAAAATATCGATATATCGGTAAAATTTTCAGTTTTAATAAATAATAAAAATAATGTATTTATTTCAGTCTGATTGTATAATAAGTAATATTAATTTATAATGTTTATTCCAAATTCACATTATTTAAGTGAATGAGAAATTTTTACACAACGTTAATTATTTATAAATTTTAATCAAATTTCTTTTATTAATTTAAATTTCTAGGTATGTTATTTATCAAGGCCTTCATTGGGAAAAAAAACAAACAGCTTATTTAGTAAGATAAATCAGTTTCTTTAGCCCTGAATCGCAACAAAAAATAACTAATAAAAAATCATGTAACTTTGTAAAAAAACACAAAGAATTGTTTAAAACGTAGTTAATACTGGGTCAAAGAGAAACCCGCAGACTTGTCCTAAAAGAAAGGTCTAGATCAACAGAATTTAGTAATAGTTGTTTGATTGACATGAAAGTGCTGAATGACAATTTAAAGAAGTTAGTTATGTGGTTAAATGATAATAATTCTTATGACGTCAAATAATTTTTTTATGAAAACTCGATATAATACTATGTGACATTTAGTCATTGAGAATTTGATTATAATTAAATGTTTGTTAACTTTATTTACATATTAAATTAAAGTAACTTTAGATGATGCTATTAATATTTTGCATGCTATTTATTAATTAACATAATATGTAGTTCATTATTAATGATTTGTAACACCTCTATACCATGTTGTACATAAGATATGGATAATATACAGTACGAAGCATCAAATTGTAATATAAATACCATAATTATGGTACAAAATACAACTCTTCATCTGCGACAATATTAGTAATGGACCACAGTTCTTTTACGTTCATTTTTATCTTTTACGGCTTTGAATCAGTTTGAATAAAAATATCGTTTTTGATACGATTTCAATATTAAATTTTTTATATCGATATATCGGATTAAAATATATCGGTGAAAAATATCGATATATGTAAAAAAATATGTCGATATATCGATATTTTTCGGCATCCCTATTACAACCTTCATTAATTACCTTATCTGTGTAACTGAGTGTCTTTGTATTTTAGAAGTATTTTGCTCGAATGAATTAGTCATTCTTTTTACGAAGTACGTGCATATTTCTCTTTGTAGTCGACGTAAAAGTTGTAAATTAATACGTAAGTATAAATATTTAAAAAATTTGAGAGTATTATTTGTTATTAACACCAACAGATGTTCGTCAAAAGTTCTATACATCAATCCTTGAAAAAACTAGGTTAAAATTCATTACCTTATAAGGCATTCTTGGGGTCTTACAGATTGAGATTGTGGCTCTATGTCCCAGATATTTTACCATTCCGCTTGGTAGATTAATGCAGTTCCTTGAAATGTTTTGGGTTATCGAGGGCGTGAGTCAGAGTTTGGCCAACGATAGCGGCGAAGTTATAGTACCTACCTTACTATCGTACGTGCTCGTATAAAAAATATTTTTAAATATGTCAAGATACTTAGGTTGACTTGGAATTTCTGGTTAAAACTTGCACTTGGGCTCTCCTTCTTAAACTTTACAGTTTTAAAAAAAAAAGCAAACTTCATTTTATGCCTTTTACTGGCAATTAATAAAATTTTCATATTTCTTTAAAATATCTCAGTTGAACATAGGTTTCTGGGTAAAGTTCGTTTTAAATGTATATTTTTCAAAAAATAATAATTTTTACGATGTAATAAGTTTATAATCTTTTTCGTTTTTTTTAAGATAATGTCGTCTCGCAAAACAGCTGGCCGTCGCGGCACTAACAAGAAGCGCGCGCAGCGTGCTACTTCAAATGTATTTGCTATGTTTGATCAGGCTCAAATTGCCGAATTTAAGGAAGCATTTAACATGATAGATCAAAATCGAGATGGCTTTGTTGATAAAGATGACCTCCATGACATGTTGGCATCCCTTGGTAAGTGTATAATTGTTTTATAAAAAATATTACTATATCTACCATATGCGATCTAATGTAACCCAAGCATATGAGCTTAGTAACTTGGTTATTATTTTATATAAAAGACATCTCACATTTTTAATTATGTTCATTCACATTATTTGCTGTTTATAAATGTCTATATATAATGTTTTATAACATGTGATTATTACCATTTATTGAAAATTTACTTTAAGTAAAAATAGAAGTCATATAACAATTGTATAATAATTTTTATCTCACATATTTCTTTAATATACTGTTTATAAAACAAATTAAAAAGAACATGTTAATAAGATTGTTCATTTCATGTTTATGTTAAGAAATTATTACTTGCACCTGGTGAAAGATACTATACTCTACACCACAATATTTTGGAATATATGGAATATATGGAATTTTGTTTGCTTTTTGTATTCTTTGGTGTATTGGGAACACATTAAACTTTCAGCAAATGAAAATAATAAAAAGGACACACTTCAGACACTTCTTAGGGTTTTCCCTAAATATGACTATGAATAGTGAGTTTGAGTATGTAATGAAATACAAATGAACCATGGTAAATACATACATTATTCCATATGCTTAGTCACCCTGATATAAATTGGTGTCAGCAAAAGCCAGACTTCTATTAACTTTGTTCTATTATTTCTACAATTAATTATAAAATGAAAGTCTGTTATTTGAAAGCTGAGAGATGTCTTCCCCTTCTTTCTTTTTTTATGGCTCCTCTTTAAAGAATTCTGTCAAGAGTATCAAGTCATTGATGGCAATTTTGTGCAAAAAAAAGTAAGAGTAATCAAAAAAACATTATTTTACTAATAAAATAAGTTTGTTGAATTTTCTTTTTAGGTAAAAATCCAACGGAGGACTATTTAGAAAACATGATGAATGAGGCACCAGGGCCTATTAACTTTACCATGTTCCTTACCCTTTTCGGTGAGCGTCTTCAAGGCACTGATCCAGAGGATGTAATTAAAAATGCATTTGGGTAAGTAGGTAACTTTAGTGATGATGAAAAGGCATTAAGGCTATTTTCAATACTTATACATTATATGGAGTCATGATAGCTCAGTGTCCGGGCGCTCGCCTTTAATTCAATACACTTGGCAACCTGAGTTCGATCCCGGTGCCGGCACTAATGAAGTTTTTAACTTTAAGTGCTGACTTATCACATGCTCCGCGGTGAGGCTGTCGGCATTGCTATTTCAAATGTAAATTTTTATAGTGCTAATCTATGCACGCACATCAAAATTTAAAAAAAAAACATGGATAAAAAGCTTTTTGTTGCTGCGGCAATGGAACTGAACAGTCTGGTTCGTTACATTTAATCTTCATATAATTTTGACAGATGTTTTGATGAAGAAAACATGGGTGTTATTGCTGAGGAGCGTCTACGCGAACTGCTCACAACTATGGGTGACAGGTTTACTGATGATGATGTTGATGAAATGCTTCGCGAGGCACCAATCCGTGATGGGTTGTTTGACTATGTTGAATTTACTCGCATTTTGAAGCATGGTGCTAAGGACAAAGATGAACAGTAAGGTTGAAGCCATAAAAATAATGAAAAATCTTGTTTTATATTAATATGTATTTGATCATGAATATTATTTTCTAAGTCATGCTTAATATTTAGTCATAACAAAATTGACACATATTCTTTATTCTCGTTATTCACAAATATCAAATTGTTTGATAACTAATTAGTTATAATGTCAACGGAGTTAGTAATCCGTATCACCTATTTTAAAACCACATGTTACATTTTTACCTTATTAGGTTGATTTAAAACATAAATAATCCAAGTTCTGTACTTTTCTTATTAAGGATATAATCCATGTGGATGTGCATGGCATGCAATATTCAATTACTTTTACCCATAGTATATCCGCAGAAGTAAATTTGATAAGGAGTAATATAGCATAGATGGTATCAAAGTCTAATTATGAAATATACCTTGTGGTTATGGATTTATTGGTTGTTTCGTTAATTGTCATTTAAATATGTTCATAAAGGTCAAACTAATATATTGGAGGATAAAATATTTGGAAAAAAGTATTAACGGTGAGGACAACATACAATCTCTATAAACACAGAGGTGCTAATCAAACTGTAGTTTCTAAGGGATATTTTTTTGCATTTGTGATTGCATTTTTCGAAAACATTTCCAATTATATGACCAAATTTGGTTTATAAATTTACATCTGATTGTAATAAGCAAGTCTAGTGTTACACCATAAAAGTGAATAAGTTAAAAGTATTATTATCATTCCCATGTTAGTTTATAAAACACTAGGAAGCTGGTTCGTATTGTTTTGATGGCTATGCACTTCTTATATCTAAATATGAAATTGCCTGATGCACTTTACTGTAATAATAATATAATCTACTAAATATTGTGTGCAACATGTTTATAATCATGTATCTATTTATTAAAATAATTACATACTTATAAATTTTATCAATAATGTTTTGTTTTATTTAAATTTCATGAATATCCCAAACTTTATACGGACATGTTCCCATGTAGTTTCAACCTAATGGGGATTATTAAGGAGAGATTATTTAAGGCATGCCTTTGCCTATGGAAAGACAAGTGATACACAAGTGAAATACCGTTATTTCACTTGTGTATCAATACTTGTGTAGCAGAAACAGAAACGGAAGTGCAAATACTCTGTAAAAACACTGCTGTAAGTTATATTTTATGAAAAGAAGCCAGTTATTCGGAGCGTCTATACTACCCTAGTGCGAAAAGTAGTTGGTTGCAAGTAGCGGCCACACTTACACCTAGAAAACTGTAGAAAACTGCTTGTGTGTTCTTCATTATTTAGGTCCTAAACCCTGCACTAATAAAAAATATTTACGTCATAAAAGTTTCGGAATCATGAGCAGAAACGGCTGTAAAAAGCTTGTGAATTTTCCGCAGTTATTTGGCAACGTCGTCATCAAAGTCGTATAATCTGATTGATTGATTCAAAATTCTTTATTGTACCAAATTTTTTGTACAAAGGCGAATTTAATGCTCAATAGCATTTTCTTCCAGTTAACTTTATGTGATTGAGAGCAAGTTGAGGGAAGATGAGAGATCTGTCCATGTAAGTACCATGACCTGACAGAAAACCGGCGTGATTTAGCAGTGTTACACTTCTGCGTTTGGTCTGATGTGTGAGGTAGCCGGGGCACACTTTACTAAAAGATGTCAACGCATCTGCGACCCTACGTGTTGCAATTAAAGTCCATGGGCTGCGGTTCAAGTGAACCGCCAGCTCGTTTGCAACTTTCTCGCATAAAGAAAAGAATTGTCTTTTAAATGTAATCTCTAATGCCCTCATTAGCCAATGACGTCATTGAGGTAATCACCCCATATGACTAAATACCTACGTACCTAATGTCTTAACTAGTTAAGAGTAATTGGGATACACGTTAATAAAGTAATCAGTTCATTATTACATTAGATAATTAGGTATTCGTAATACCCACATTAGGCAATAATATAAGTACCTGGGTCGAATATACCTTAAGGTTTGATACACAGTTTTTCATATTTTCTAAGGTTTTTAAACAATCTTTTGCACATTACATTAATACGTATATATCTAGTTTTCATGTCTTAAGCAAGAATCTGGCAAATGTATCAAAAATTAAAAGTTATGTTCTCTTTTTTTTAAAAAGTGATAATGGCCGTATTTTCACCGGTGTAGGTTAATATGGACATTAGCATGGCCATATTCTCACTATTGCTATTTTAGCGGTCGAATATGGCCATTTTTGTACTTCCTATAAAAATGGCCATATTTACTATATAATATAGGCATAGTGTATCTAAACCTATAGGTTAATAGGATCTATTAACACACACTATGCCTATATTTGGATTTCAGGATAAGGAAAGAAAAAATATTTTTATTAATTTTTTTATGGCACATTTTGAGGTTAAGACTAGAATGTCACTTACAGTAAGAAATGACAATAATATAACAAAAAACGATCAATTTTTCACGAAAAAGAAGCTACGCATTAAATCAAATAAAAACGTTTTTATTAAATTAGGAGTTTTGTGTTAATTTAATTAACAATATTTTTCATCGATAAGTATTATAAATTCGTTCTGGTTTCTTCATTAAATCATATTTTTCTCAAAATCATATTAATTTCGCAAAATACTCAGATACTACTGCCTTATTAAGCTTTTGGGCTCTGGCAGGATTTACATGTTTGGCTTTACGTCGACTGATATTAGGGTGCCGTCTTAAAAAACCCCTTAACCAATCTCGTCCAATAATTACTCCTTAACTTTTTGCTAAAATGTTGTTTTCGTTACAGAACGTTTTAACACATGAACGTAATACACACTGTGTTAGTGGGTAACCAACGCTGCAAAGTCGGGATTTCAAATCATTTGCTTAATCTTAATGCTTAATATTTGGCAGAAAAAAAATAGAAAACCATTGTTAAATTCGAACAATGGTTTTCTATTTTTTTTCTGCCAAATATCGTCTCAGAGTCCCCCTTGGTACTATAGGCGACCGCCGAATTCTGCTTGTTGATAAATTCATTAGTGATTTGTCTCTATCGTTTAAAATTTATTTTAATCGAATTACGCCAGAGTTAAAGTTATTTACATTTACCAGAATTTCTACTGCTAACATCTAATACAATAGCACAGACTCATCTTGTCTCTTCACCGAGTTATTGTGAATAGTGGATATAATAATTAAAAACTTGGATTTTTTAAAACACGGACAAGCTGCGTGCAAGCGATTTGCTCATTCGAGAAAATATTTTTACTCAACGTCAACCATGACAAAAAGTTCTCGAAAGCCGTTTGAAGATCTAGGTAACAAGCAAAAGAAGAGACGATCTTTTTTATGTCAGAAGGTGGCAAACTAGCTAGAGGCTCACCTTATGTTAAGTGATAACCCTCTCCCCTTGACATTTGCATTTAGCTGTTGCCTCGTTAGTTAGCTGCCTGATCTTGCGTATAGCAAAGACGGCAGTGCATAATTTCTTAGCTAAGTTATCCCTATTGCAACTTTTGGAGTCAACGCATAGTCCAAGAAATCTCGTTGAATCCTGAAAGAGTAGAATTTTCTCACCAGTACAGATGCCTGGCTGGTTAGTCTACTTAGATTGAGTAAATCCGATATTTATTAAATGAAACTAGTTTACGGATTTTATCGCGTTGTAATTTTGATTTTATAATTCTTGACGTTTCGAACCCTTTCCAGCGTTCATGGTCACGAAACAGACTGAGTTGTTACACGTCTTGATGTCAAAGTTAAGCCCGGCTACCGTATATTATTTTGTAATTTACTTTTATTCCGATCTACGCAAAAGGAGCTTATGGTATCTTGAGGTCTAGCAGTGCTGGTGTGCTTGTTGACAGATGCTAAAAATTGACTATTTTCTTTTCTTCTTAGATGGCTTGAAATATCATTTTTTTTAAATGTTGGCGATTGAAATATGTTTTAATTGAAGCACGCTTCAAGATATAGTCAATCTTGTCAGTGACTAATCTGACATATGATAATACAACAGGCACTCGCTCAGTTGTAGCTGATTTCATTCGGTCACTGCGACGATTGTCACCTACTCACGTAAAAAAATAGTTTATGCTTTGGTATTTACACAGAGTTATATCGTATGGTGTTTTACTTAGGAGTTCCGCATCCGGCTTAGACATTTGTATTGCAAAAGCTGGCTATACGAGCTGTATATGGCCTGGGTCCACGTGAGTAACTATCACCGTATCACGGCACCTTTTTATGCAAATAAACGCTATACATACATACATCGAGAACATCATGTATACGTACGTAATAATAACCACCTTCGTACAAAAATAAACATACTAGGTGCATCTTAAATTTTGTATACAGTTAAAGCTTATGTATACATTCGCTGGGAATCGATTTCGTAAATATGCCACGAATATAGTATCCGTGAATGGAATGGTAATTTATATGGGATTATAGGGGATAAGTTCTCAGGCGGCAATGTAAAAAACCAAAATTAAAAAAAAATAATTGAAGTTTTTGACAATATTGATTATTTCGTTGTCGTTAGGCTTATGCAAGTAAGTTAAGAACCCAATAATTTTTTCTTGTTTTTGCAGTTTTTAAAAGCTCCTTCAATTTAGTCTGATATTCAGCAATGTCATAGCCAATATGCCTCTTAAAACTAAGACTTTGTTTCATAGACTGATTATGGATCAGTTTTTGTGAAGAAATCACAAATATCATTTACCTTTCATCTCAGATTTTTCAAATTAAATGTCACGTTTCCACTATTGCTGATTTATCTTTTCCTCCGAGTCGGTTTCAGTCAAATATTCATCTTGTGATTCAAGCAACTCCTGAATGTCACTTGATTGCATTGATTCAGATTGCCGAACTATTTACGGAACACCCAGTGCATATTATGCTAAAACTTATTCCATTAAGGATAATTTTAACTACTAGTTAGTTGTCAAGTGTGCCGAGTGATATATCTATAAATAATATCAGTCAGGTGTTATTAATTATCCGTTATTAAAATTTCCCTTTGGCACATCATAGCTTGATGATTGAAAGTTGTTAATTAAGTGGTGGGGTATTTAACGGTGATAATAGATAATTATTATAAAGTTTTTAACACCACTAAAATAGAAGAGGAATTTAATTTGTCATCGTTATCGGGGAAAAAAACTTGCTAAAAGAAAACAATTCTCGCCAATAAAATATTTGAAAGAAATTCGAAAGAACTATTAGTTATTCCGAACCGTCCCAACGGCAAACGCTTAGCAACCGAATCCAATGTTATCGTTTGCAAACGTCGCGTTCGGAATGTCCTCTTTTTTATGTGGCAAACTAGCAAGCGATCTGGCGGTTCACCTGATATGATAAGCGTCACATTTTAATAGGGAGCTCTGTCTATCGCATTCACCAGACGAGACGCAAAAGTTAACACTTCTACTTTACGCCGGTCTTCTATGCGGTCGTGGTACTAACCCGGGCGGACCGGCTCATTCATGCAACAGCGAAAACTGTTGCGTGGCCCTTCCACAGTAAAAACAACCTCGTCCTCAACGGCTCATTCGAGGAAATGGCGTAGGAGCCGGTTCCAACGCGGTCGTTTTGAAAACATTACCAAACTTAGTAGTAGTGTAGATTTTGACGGTTGTAGGGCCACGCAGCAGCCTCAGCTGTTGCACGAATGGGCAGGCTCGTCCGGGTAAGTATCACGACCTCACAGAAGACCGGGGTAAAGGGGAAGTATAATACTTCCGCGTTTCGTCTGGTGAGTGAGGTAGCCGGAGCCCAATTTTCAAAAGGTTCTCAACACATCTGCAACCCTCGAGTGTAGCGGATGTCCATTGGAGGAGGTATTCACTTAACATCAGGTGAACCGTCTGCTCGCTTGGCAACTTTTCGCATTAAAAAAAAGATGAATGTATGAATGAAGATTCTTATTCTTAAGCTTCCAGCTGATTATTAACTAAAATTGACGGCAGCTCGCGATCTGAATACCCAGATAGGAAGACATTCAGAAAACTTTGTCCCTGACAAAGCATGTATGTAGTGAATAAATAAAATAAATAAATGTTTCTAGACATACTTTTACATAACTTTATCTAGTAGTAGTTAGACCAAAACAAGCTTATGGCATGAGAACTAGGTTACTGATAAACATACGAGTACTTAAAACATACTTTATTTTCTAAATAAGTACATATATTTTTTTTTTTTTATGCGAAAAGTTGTCAAACGAGCAGACGGTTCACCTGATGTTAAGTGAATACCGCCGCCCATGGACATCTGCTACACTCGAGGGTTACAGATGCGTTGACAACCTTTTGAAAATTGGGCTCCGGCTACCTCACTCACCAGACGAAACGCGAAAGTATTTGTCATACTTCCACTTTACGCCGGTCTTCTGTGAGGTCGTGGTACTTACCCGGACGGGCCTGCCCATTCGTGCAACAGCCGAGGCTGCTGCGTGGCCCTACCACCGTAAAACAACATAGATACTATATATATATTTAAACACTAAGACAATGGAAAAACATTATATTCATTACACAATATATCCCAGTAGTGGGGATAGAACCCACATCCTCGGGCGTAAGTTACAGGTACACTATCCTCTTGTATCTTGTATTAACTGATGTTTTTGCTTTCAGTCCCGAGACTATTAAAGCTTCATCTGACGCAGAACCGGTGGGCTAGCCAGAACCCACGGGTTTGGGCCCTCCGCTGTGGGTAGGGCCACGCATGTGCTCATGCGTGCGTTTAACTATGGTACGTCATCTAAGGGCCATCGAGGTCGTGGTTCGGACCGAAACCCCGATGGCCGTCGACTGTGCAACTAGCTAATCGGTGGCTGGGGGCGGTGAGAACCGCCCCGGAACTCGGGTGTACCTTGTGTACGCGTTGTGTTGTGTCTCGCCGTGCTCGGAGGCGAGGGCGAAGTAGTGTGTTTGTTGTTGCACTAACTGTGGGTGTAGTGTTGTCCGGCGGGACCCCCGGCAGTGGGTCCGGCGTGTCTAAGTCCCCTTCCTCGACCGGGTCGATTAGGACGTTTCGCGGGCGACGCTTGTTGACGTTCGCGTTTTGGTCGGGTTGGTAATTTGCTGCGCTTACCACCAGAGGGTTGGGATGATGTTCGGCTCTATCGAAGAACCGTTTGGTCAGGTCTTTAAAATATTCGCGAATCGTCGGGAGTCTGCAATCGCTGTGCAGGTCGACGTTGCGTTGATACCACTGCGCACCGGTTACGCGGCGGATGAACTTATTTTGTACTATTTGCAACTTGTACAAGCGAGTAGGGTGCGTGTGGGCGAAGGTCATGCATGCGTAAGACATAATAGGTCGTACGCAGGTCTTATATAATAATAATTTGTGCCTTAAGGGCATTTTACTTTTAGCGTTAGTTAAATTGTGTAGCCGGCCGGAGACGAACGCGGCTCTATTGCGAACGTTATTAATGTGCGTAGTAAATGACATACGCGAGTCGAAAGTGACTCCTAAGTATTTGACCTTTTTCTCCCAGGGGAGCGGTTGGCCATAAAGGGATATTTGCCCCAACTTTCTGCATTGACGAGGGCCATTATAAAGATTTGACGGGTAAGTACTTCGTGTGAAGTGAATCGCCACACTCTTTTCGGGATTTATTTCTATTCTCCATTTGCGGAACCAATCGCCGAGGCGGTCGGCAGCGCTTTGGAGTCGAGCGGTTAGTTGTCTAAGGTTGCGGTCTGAATAAAAGAGCGCCGTGTCATCCGCGAAAAGCGCGAGATTGACGTGGAGGTCTTTAGGTACGGTACACTATCCGCTACACCAATCGGCGTATGGTACGTACTATTGGTTATACGTTGGCCTAAAATTATTAATTTTATAAACAGTGTCACACGGTCGATACAGTAGTTATGATAATCAGTCAGTTGCAGTTGTATAGGATATTACAAATCTTGTTTCTTTTTACTTAATTAGTTTGAAAAATATTTTTTTTAATTATGGATTTTGTTTAACGTTAATATTTTTTATGATTATTGGTAAGTAGCATTAGACGTGTGTTCATTTATTGTCGCGATGGTTACGACACGCTGTATCTATATTAGTTTTACTACCAAAGCTTTAGTCCGATAAACAAGTTTATAAAAGTGCATAATATCTGAAATCAATGTATATTTCATTTTGTTGTTAATAAAGTAAAGATGTTGTTGGATTATGGATTTATCATAATGTAAAGTCATGTGACAAACTGTGCTAGAGGGAACTTGTATATTGGCGATGAATAAGTAGTTTCAGAAGAGCTTACACGACGACGATGATAGTTTTTCTGTGGTCTGAAAAATACTATTGACTAACATTTTGACCTTAGGACAACTGTCATTTTAAACATATTTAGGAAACTGAAAAGCGTCTTAAAGTTATAAATAATATAAGGTTCATTAATATCCCAATTATCTAGTTTGAACTATATTAATAAATACTAAAGAGAAAATAATTCCTCTTTATTATTAGTAGTAAAACAATTACAGTTATATTGTTTTACAACTTATTTGCAATTATTACTTATAAGGTAATAGGTTTAATGTAGATTAGTAGATAGTAATGATAGATTACTAAAAAAAAATAACGTATAGGTACTTAGGTTGTTTTATTTCTGCTTTTATGTACACATCGATACAAAACATGGCTTTACTAAGTCATTATAACTATAATCTATAGATGATTGAAAGTAATAATTTATTTCATCTCTTAGAATGTTTTAATTTATTCCATGAACATGGTAACAGAATTCTGATATTTTCTAAGAACTATAATATAATAATAAATACCATATAGATTTACATTGTATTGGGATATGTAATCTTTCCACAGATTAGGTATTACATAGGTATATTTTCGATATTTTCGGCGCGGAGTCTTGTTTCAAATTCTTTACTTCTTATTTCTTGGATGGAATATTACTTATTCATTATATACTCCATAAATATATTTTTTAGTTATACTTCTTAAGGCGCGTTTAGGAAAACAGATCAGAGTGTAATTTGGATTGTGAAGAAGTTGCGTTCGCAAAAGTAACAGCTAATAATTTACTCTGTATAAAGCGCCCAAAGTTGTTTGTAATTTTTGATAATGAAAAGTTTTATTTATGAATAGAACATTACGTTTCCAAGAGATGGCAACATAGTAAAATTTATGATGAAAATTTTATTTATATAAATTGTTTTCTTAATAACGCCCAAGAAGTACACGAGTAGACACACTGTTTATACACAAATAAGTGGAATTCGTGGACGTCCTTTAGTGCAAGAAACAACAATTTACAATAACGAGATCATATAGTTCAAATATTGCACACAGTGTTTAGCATAACCTAGGAATAGTATATTGAATAGTTTAAAAAAGGCGAATCGGCATTTACAAATTTGTTTCACATGACACTGAGGTAGGAAGCCACTCATAGATTACTAAGAAATAATTCGGGAATAGACAAAATATGTACTAGTGAAAACATATCATGACCATCGGGCATAGACAAAGTCCATTCTAGCGGAGTAGCGTGTATGACGACCAGTACTGCTTGATGAAATCAGCGCCCTTTTCAGCAACCATCATAATCGCGCCCTGTGGGTTGCCAGTGGTCTGGGTCGGCATTGCAGACGCGTCGATCACTCGCAGGCCTGTTTGTGGGCGTGGTTTAATATCACGTTTTAAACACGAACTTATACAAATCAGTGAGACAATTAGACATGGTAATGATAGATTTGAATGATAGATTTATTTAAAAAAAAAAATATATATATATACCTATTTATTTATTTATTTTATGCATTTTTTTGTGTATAGTAGTGTTGTGTATCTATAATACCTATATTTACAATAGCGTATACCTCAAACCCTTCTCACTGATCATTGTATCCTCAGTAACATGGTTGCCTGGAAGAAATCGCTTCTAAGCGATAATGCCGCCAATTGTACCTTTATGTAATTGTTTGTTACTTTTGTAATTTTGTCTGGTGTACAATAAAGCATATTTCATTCATTCATTCATTTTCAGTCCAACTTTTATTTTCATATTGAAATTATTTTATTAATAAGATTTAATCATAATAACAAAATAACTTCGATATTTATCATATTATCCAAAATTGGCCTCTACAATATCGGGTGCTGCTAACATAGTGTTTAACTTAGCTAACATAGTTTTAAGATAATTTATTAGAGTTGTTGGACGCTTGGAGGTTTTACCGGGCGATGTTGTCGCAAGCCCTTCAATTAAATTTAAAAAAATCTATGACTGCTGCGAAGTTGTTGACATGTTGGAAATTCAAATTTAAGTTCGATATAATGCGCCGGTAATCATTACAACCGCCCGTGGACATACACAACACTAGTTAGGTTGCAGTTAAATTGTCCAGTGTGGCATTAAAAAAAAAAAGAAGAAAGTAGTCGAAAAAGTTTCTGCCAACGTGAAAAGCGCGACATTACCATAGCAAGTGTGAAGCGTTGAAAAAAAAAAAAGAAGTGGAATAACTTCTGCCAACGTGAAAGGCGCGGGAAAATCATACGAGTAGCAAGTGTGAGGCATTGGAAAAAAAAGAAGTTGTGAGATCACCATACCTTGGACGCCGTACACGCGCAGCTCTTCGTCGACCACGTGCCCTATGGCGGCGGTGCCGAGCTGGTGGTTCTGGGGGTCGGTGGCCACGCGCGCCACGCACTCCAGCCACTCGTCCGACCACGCCGGTGCGTTCGAGCATTGGGGCGCGAAGTCCGACTTCAGCTTGATACCGTACTTGTTCTTCAGCAGCTGTGGAGTTACAGTGATTTCGGTTTTTTTTACGTGAAAAAATGTCAAGCGTGCAGGCGGTACACGTGATATCAAACGAATACGATGGTCATCTACAACACCCGGCGGCTTGCTAATGCGTTAACAACCTTTAAAAAAGTGGGCCCCAGTTGCCACAATCACCAGACGAAACGCGAAAGTTTGATACTTCGCTAGTAGTAGTATTTTAGGGCTAGTATGTACTGCATTCTTATATGAGCAAGGTTACAGTATGACGACAATTTGTAATAACATTTTAAAATTAATATGACGATTATTAACATACAGTTTAAATAACATACAGCATCGGTATGGTGTAGAGTTACTATTGTAGATTAACTATTGTAGTGTATGTGTAATATACAAGAACTGTTTTCGGTTCTAATGGATATTTACAACTGTCTCAGTCTCTAGATCTCAACTAAAGCAGAGAAAAACAACTAGATCTTTAATTTAGCAATAGGGCTTGTTTAGTTAGACTGATATCTGGTCAATACTAGAGAGCTTAAGTACATAGTTATAAGGTCCCAAATGTACTTTGGCAATGGAAAAGCTTCACTTGAAATTATCTGTGGTAATGTCAATTGGTTTCTTTTGGTAATTAATACAACCACAATTCACCGTGTCCCTAAAGTTATAAAACTTGTAAATGTGAAAAGGTAAATAAATGAATATACCTACTGTTTATCTATGAAAAATTATGTAATTATTTATTTTCATAAAGTAACGAAAAATATTTTTCGTTAATTTGCTTTGAGGCTTTAGCGGTGCTGTTGTGCTTGAGATTAATTTTATAAATTATGGGATCATCCCATTGCCTGTGACCATGAACTCTGGATGGAGTTCAAAACGTCGGGAATTAAAAATCAAAATTAAAACACGATAAAATCCGTAAAATAGTTTCATTTAACATGTTTAATATTCGCGTAAAATCAAGAAACCTACTTGGAACTATTGGTAAATGCTAAAAAGTTGTTATTGGTTGCCAAGATTAAATTACCAATCATCATGTCGATTTTTGAGGGTCGGTGTGCGTATGCGCGTATCGTAAAAATTTTACTGGCATAAACTTCAAAAAAGCACGTCTTTAATAGTAAGGATACTTTGATCTATAGCAGGGTAATCCATTACCCTGCTATAGATCTAAGGATAAAAGCCACAGGCAAATGCTCACATCACTGTTGATTATTCTCTCAATGTATCTGGCGCCGTCCTTCACCATCACCATGTCCTCTGGGTGAGAGAAGTACTCCGGATAGAACAGCGGCGGCACCATCGGGTCGCTGGAGTTGACCGTTATGAAGCCGACGCTACGCGGTAGCAACGAGACGGCGTTTACGCTAAAAAATATTAAATCTATTGGTACACGCTATTCCTTTTTCCAAACATCGATTTGCAATATTCACCGAATAGTCTATCGGCCAGCGCGTCTTTAATTTTTAACAATGCCCGTTTTACCAACTGAAGCAGGTGTTCGCTTTTGAGAAGGTGGCAACCGAGCTTGCGTACAACAGTGAATACTGTTGCGTGGCCATATAACAGTAAAAACGTGTTCAATAAATGTTTTTTGACGGACGGTCCTTGTACAGACAACGTCCGTCCAGCTGGATACAGATCCAGCTTATACGAAACATGCGTCAGTAGGGCCACATCTTGAGGTGCTTTTTCGTAACCTCTTAAAGTTTCGATGCTACACACCCGAATATTAGCCAGATATAGAAGGCATGTACTGAGCGCAAGGGTTATTTGTTGACAGCATACCACTTTCAGCGTTTTATTGAACGATACTAGATCTATTTCGGGTTATAACCTTATTCCGATACTACATTAGCAGTAGCACCGAGCTATTTGTATCATCGATCCCGCACTCTTGTAAGCCAATGGCCTAGCAACGTCGGCACCGAGTGATTAAGGACGAAGGGCGGATTTATATCTTATCCTTAAATTATATATATATATAATCGGAATCTTGGAATCGGCTCCAGCGATTTTCATGAAATTTAGTATGTGCGTAGATTGGGGGGCGAATGAAAAATATCATTCGAATATGACAGTAAATTTCGCCGCAAAATAAAATGTTATAATTGCTCGGTCGGTAATCGGGCGGCCCCAAAACAGACGGCCGTGGTTCATATCACGATCATTTACACACTTATTGTTTAAATTGTTTATAGTGCTAATCTTTGCACTTAAGATTGAACATTAAAATATGTAGAAAAAGTGCGAAAAGATTGTCGCCGCTGTGGGAATCGAACCCACGTCTTCGGCATTCGCGGCCTGACGCTCTAGCCACTGAGCTAAACGGCTGATTACCACACCGACGAAAATCTTAACGCATTCTTCCACATTGTTTTCTTAGCATTTGAAGCAATGCTTGGGGCGCCATCTATTGTTATATCCTTTCCAGCATACAAACAACTTCGAATATCGTTTTACAACGATAATTCGAACGAGAGATGTCGCCATTGCTTTTTTTTAGAAATTTAAATTGTTTATAGTGCTAATCTTTGCACTTAAGATTGAACATTAAAATATGTAGAAAAAGAATGCGTTAAGATTTTCGTCGGTGTGGTAATCTGGTAATCAGCCGTTTAGCTCAGTGGCTAGAGCGTCAGGCCGCGAATGCCGAAGACGTGGGTTCGATTCCCACAGCGGCGACAATCTTTTCGCACTTTTTCTACATATTTTAACACTTATTGTTTTTTACTTTTTTTTCTATACCAGATCATTTTCTTTATTTTTAATTCCAAAATACATAATTTACCAAAAAAAACCTGTCCTCCAGGTACTATAAATATATATATTGTTAAACGTACGAAACATTGGTCCCCTTGTGCGAACAGCTCCCCACTGACTCGCCGATCATGCCCGTTTCCGAACATTCCGCGTAGAAGCCGTTGAAGAAGAACTGAAGATCCGGCTGATTCAGGCTCCGATCCGCCAAGCTTGAATACAACAGCCCCGTTAACTGCGAATGACATACGAGTATAAGTCACATTATAAGAATATTATAATATTACGGTATTAGCTGTAAGGGTGGGATGTTGAGATCTGGTCTTAGTGGAAATCATGAATAAGTTACAGCCCCTATCAACCGAATCAAACCATGCCAGACTCTCGCTAGCGGACTAGAATACAGCGACCTAACCACCTACTGGTCCGAAAACAAACCATCCAATAAATCGAAACCGTACAAAACCGGATTGAATACAATTTTTTTCTAGATACAATTTTCTAATACTAGAAAGATAAGTAATTGTGATATAAATTATTTCTTTTATTTTGTTTTGTAAAGCAAAGTTCTCGTCAAAACATCACCTACCTGAGTAATTCCCGTAGAGCTCATCGGACCGTCCCGATTGAGCAAGTACTCCGTCAATGCGCTCCAATCCAACTGGTGTACGTTCTCGAGCTTGGTCAGCATGAACTCAATCGTGACGCCGAGATGGTTCCTCAAGTTCTGGCCGACCGGCAAATCCACCAGGACTGGTAGACCGACCGCCTCGAGTATGTCGCGGGGCCCGATACCCGAATGGAACAGTATGTGGGGACTGTTGAGAGCACCAGCGCTCAATATGACCTGGAATAGTGGTCCAGTTTCTAAATTCAAAAAATTTTGGAAAGAAAGTTTGTGTGTTAGAGGTTATTACGATGTTAGTGATTATTAAAATGAATTGATCGCTCCAGGCCCTTTCAAGTGAACTATATATGTATATAGTAAACATATTTAATTGTAATATCACTGTTAAAAAAATGTCCTGCCGAGTTTTATTCGCCGGTTCTTCTCAGATCAGGTTTCCATACCAGTGTGTTTTGACAGTCGATAAGTAAATCTAACCCTTCTTTATTTAAATTTGAAATTCTTATAGCGCCATTTCCCATATTTAGTGGTCGTACGGTGATTTGACATTCTTGTGTGATTAGTGTTCATATAGGCTACATACAACTATCAAAATACTTCCTAATCCTTCGTTGTAATGTTTCTAGAAATAAAATAAGAGGGATAATAAATAAATAGGAAGTAAGTCTTTTTACGGACGAACAGTTTGTTACGTATATTTGTTACATAATGCCGCTGAAACGTTACTTAATAGAAGCACTCTTAAACGTTGAGAGATAGGAGGGTATATTGTTAGCATTTAACTTCGAATTTTGATTACGTCAAGACAGTATTAAATATTTTACATATTTTTTCAGGACTGGGCATACTTTCATAAAACTTTATCTATTCTCAAAATAAGCAAAGGTTGTACTATGACAGCTATATGATATAAACAAAGATGAAAATATAGAACCTATCATAAATAAGTACTCAGATACTAGAATAATTATCTAAATAATCGTAACATAACGATTTTCCTGCCATGGGGAACAAACCCATACTATTTGGCGCTAGAGACAGCTAAGAATCCACTACGACACGGGTCGTCTTATATATATTTTTTGACAGGGTTGTAACTCACTTCCTTTGCGGCGAAAACGGTTTTGACATTGCCAGCTTCGTCGAAATACTGCACGCCGTATGCGCGTGAGCCCTCTATCAGCACTTTGGTCACGTGCACGTTCAGCTTCACATGCAGATTCGGCCGCTCCGACCGCGGCTTCAAGAAGACCCTGGCCGTTGTGAACCTTTGTCCGTCACTAAAACGAAACGTTTCTATAGAAAAATTCGTTTATAACAAGACGGATCTCGCTATTAAACCATTCGTTTTACCACCGTGTAAAATATCGCGTGATGTTCTTTCTATAACGAAAGTCATTTATACTAAAACGCATCTGGTTACTGAACCATTCGTTTTACCACCGTCTAAAAATACCGAGGGATGTTCTTTCGATAACGAAAGTCGTTTGTAACAAAACGCATCTCAACATACTTGTTTTTTTTAATGTTTTGTGATTTATACTCACTCATTAAAGGCCTGCGCAATAGCGAATCCTTCTGGGGTGTTTGGGTCGTTCATGTCTTCGATGATGGGCAGGCCGACCTCGTCTACGGCGCGCAACAATTCGTACAAGAACGGTGGCTGGTAACGGAACTGTGAACAAATATGTGGACATTGAAATGTTGATTAAAGTGAATGTCATAAAAAGGAAAGGTAAAATCGAACGGAAATGTTGTATTGTCCATTTTTAGATGCGACGATTGCAGTTTGTACGATTATTGCAATTTTAATGGATGAAAGTCGAAATAATGTGAATGATCGCAGGTATTCAAGGCGGTTATTAAAATAACACAGCACAATTAATTGTGCACACGTTAAAAAAAACTGTATTATTTTATCTGATGATATCTCCCGATGTCATGCACACTACGGATTTGTTTGCGCCTAATAATTTATGGTAAAATATTGTCGCCTATTCGAATTGGCGAAGGTTGATAATACTTTTTTGCAGATAGCAGAAAGCCATAGCATCAGTGGGGGTGCAGTAGCGTTCTTAACTTTTAAGAGACTGGTGACTACATAATATGTATATGTGTTTTTGTATATATTATATATTCTAATTTCCGTCCTTCTTCTGCGCTTCTATGGTACACCCCATTTTCAATAGAACCTGCTGGTCCCACTACAGAATAGTAGTACGCGAGTACTGCGTGTCTTCAATACAGTAGTTGTATTTATGAACGCCTGGGCGATCGCTTTTTATTTAATATACCCGAGCAACCTCAGTTCAATTCCCGGTGCCGGTACCAATAAAATTTTAAATACATAGATATGCAAAATCTGCCAATCCGCAGTGAGGCCGCATGGTGCACTAGCAATAGTCTATGCTAGTCCACTATGCGGCTATAAAGCCTTGGCTCAGCCAGTGGGACACATATAGGCTGCTACTTTACTATTTTCGATCAGATTTAGATTCAGATATACAAGGATCGTTTTGTAGTCGAAATGCGTATTCATAGCTCACTCGTTGAACTGGCATCGGCCCGCTGTCCGAATGGCACTCTCCGCTGACGGAGATTCCGATCTCCCTGTTTCCCTCTGTCATGTCGAAGAATGGCAAGTTGCTCTCCCAAGACCACTTCTCGCCCCATGTCGCGTAGTCTGCGGCGTGGCCCCGACTGTACATCATCCCGTTTAGCACACTGGTGCCACCTGAAAAGCGGTATCGATAACAATGAAAACTCTAATTGACTTCTTTAACTTTTTGATTTCCCGCTTGATGCCAGTTGCCGAGATCGTTAAAGGACTTGGACGATTAATTCTTTTGATAGCCGTGTTCGGTTTGAATAAAGCTTTTTCGTGATCTCAATTAACCCAAGAGACATTATTGCAATTGTATGTTATTACAAACATTAATATTATGTCTGTAATAATAGCACATACAGTCAATAAATATGTTCCTAACTTCGAAAAACTTACAATGTTTAAAATTAAATTAAGTAATTATAAAATTTAAATTATTTAATGTATTTTCGATATATTTGCTAATATCTCTTTTTGTCTGTTAGTCCCTAAGCGTTCCGTAAATAACGCTATTATCCACAATATTTACGACATATGTTTTTATTTAATATTAAAGACAAAGAAGAAAGGATTAACCGATATTGTTGTGATACTTTAAAAAATTAATTGGGGACTAAATGTTTGAATTATAAATCATATTATGTAACCTGAGTTCACGTACCGTTGATAGCGTCAATGAAACTGTTAATTGCAATATTAAGTACTGACTTACCACGTGTTCAGCGGTGAAGGAAAACATAGTGAGTTCTGCATATTTTTGAAACAATAACAAAAAATTATATTATTTCGAGAATGTGAAATCTGCCATTATTTGGTATTCAATAGTTACCTAACACCTTTCCTCGAGGCCATTGGCATCCTTTATCGCCTTGGTCAAGGCAGTAGTTGCCCACAACGGTGCGGTACTTCCAATCAACTTCATCATTCGACCAGAAGTTTCTGTAGAACGATGGCGGCCGCGCGCCGATGGGTTCCTGTCTACCCGCTTCTAAAACCAGCACCTAAATTCCGTGATTACCCATTATAGTGTGTTGCAAGATTCTTTTGTCAATAAAATGGTTGACTTGCATTTTCTCAATGCAAGTTAACCATTTTGTTACCAAAAAAAAAAAATTGTTCTATGATTTGTCTTGCGTGTTTTAAATACAGATGTGTCATATAATTTATCTAATATCCAAAGCAAATTTCATTCAAATCCTTTCTGACGATGGAGCGTAATGAATAAAAAAACCTATATAAGATTCACAAGTAGGTACTTTTGCAATACGTCATCTTGTGATGTGATTATCCACCCATCCTCCCATATCCCAGATAGGTGAGTTCAGCACTTACAATATGTGAATCGATCATGTGGGTTTTGCTTGGCCACCTTGGAAACAAATACCCATATCCGAAACAATTATCTGTGGGTCACACAAATACTTGTCCCTTATGGGAATTTTACAGGTGGAAATTTACCATACAACTCGGTTGTACGAATGGGCAGGTCCGCCCGGGTAAGTACCACGACCTCACAGAAGACCGGCATAAGGTAGAAGTGTTACACTTGTCGTTTTGTCTGGTGAGTGAGGTAGCCAGGATCTACTTTATTTAAAGGTGGTAACGCATTTGCAACTCTACGGGTATTTCAAATGTCCATGGGCGGCGGTTATCACTTAACGTAAGGTGAACTGCCAGCTCGATTGCCACTTTCTCAAATAAAAAAAAAATTGAACCCACGATCCCCGGCGCCGAAGCCAATAGTTTAGCAACAGCTGCGTAGTGCCAACCCAAAATAGTTTACTTTTCCGGTAACACGGTTTTTCGATATAGCCTATTTAAATGTCGTAAAATTTGGAAAAAGAAGCTATCAAAGATATTTTAAAGTTTATTCCTGAATTTGACTAAGCATACTGACGTTTATGCACGGCTGTACTCTTCTAAGAGCAGGATCAGTTAATCGTAATTATAATGTTGCTAATATAAATTAATTGCAGTTAAGCAACAATGATCAACACCGATTAACAATTGCAAACAGCCTCATTAACTTATAATGCACAGTCCATGATCAATGCTTAAGAAATTAAATAAAATTATATAAGATTAACCCCACCCCCCTTAATTATGGGAAAGCCCTATTTTCAGTAGTGGATTCAAAGGCTGAATATCCATACTTAAGACTAGTTAGTGAAGTCCACTCATCACGCCATATGTGGAAAATTTTAAAGGAGGTAAACTACGTAATTGATATCAGATTACGATAGCGCTTGATCAGTGAAAATCATATAAAAATAAGTCATTATCGCGTAAACGGCAATAAACAAAAATTGATGTTCTGATTGCAAGAGATAAATGTTATTTAACAAATTTAAAGTAGATATGAAGAGTTGTAATCTTAGGCGTTAGAAAAATAAGTTGTAACCACATACTATTATATACTGTTCAATATTAAAAATATCTACTTTAACAAATTTACTGTACTATATTATATATATAGGTATTCAATGTTTGTATTTATGTAAGCACGTAAAAAGTTATACTTCTAAGACATAAATGCAATTGATAACGGACTCAATAAATTGGAAATATTGGTAAATGTGAAAACTTTGGTATTTGTTGTGATGATAATTCAGTTACATTCCTAAATTAAAATAGAGTACACAGTATAGTTACTCCACAGACATTTATCGAATAAATTCATGTCACTGCGGGTACGTATTGTAATTAATATTTATTTTCTCTTTCATAATTTTTCACGACTTTGACTTGAGGTAGTAAGTGTTTGAGATGCTTAAATCAGAAAGAGTTTTTTTTTACAAAATAAAATGACCTGAAGATATTTTGTACCTTGTAGTCTTCTATTTCACTTAATCTGCCAGCTACGAGGGAGCCCGCTGAGCCCGCACCAACCACGATAAAGTCGTAAATCTCATCGGGATCTGCCATAGACTCTATTCTGCTGCAAGGCGTGGCGATGTCGCAACGGCCTCGCAAATAAGCCTCCAGCATTGCCATGAATAGGACTGCGGCGTTGCACACCGTGGAATTTGTGAGTGACGGTCCATAGTCCACTAAGGGACAGGAACACGGCTGCTCGGAAGATGAACGTGAATGTAAAATTTAACTGTTTTATGCATTTTATCGTTTGTAATTTGATTCTCAAACAAGTCACGACGTCACGAGTCTGTCCCGGGACCATGGACGCCGGAAACAATTTGAATCGTCGGGAATTTAAAAATCTAATTAAAACGCTATACAATCCGTAAAATGGTTTCTTTTATAAATTTATGACATTCGCGTAAAAAATAAATCACTATGTGAATTTGAGCTTAATACAAAAAATTACTAATCAAAGTTGTTACGTATTTTAAGACTAACGACATTTACGAATATTTCGAGAAAGAAAGCTTTTTATAGTTATTTTTGTACCTAAGTTTATAATTATTTCTTTCTCCTGAGAACATGCGAACCTACGCTTTTAGGAGATAACGTAGTGCAAAAATGAAAAGATACGAAGCCAACATCAGTGATTCTTTTTTTACGGTTTCGTAATATTGCACAATACTATATATATATAATCGGAATCTTGGAAACGGCTCCAGCGATTTGCACGAATGGGCAGGTCCGTCCGGGTTAGTACCACGACCTCACAGAAGAGCGGCGTAAATAATAATAATAATAATATTTCGTCTGGTGAGTGAGGTAGCCGGGGCCCACCTTATTAAAAGGTCACGGGACACGTCTGCAACCAGTGTTGCGATTGTCCGTGGGCGGTTATCACTGAACATCTGGTGAACCGCCAGCTCGTTTGCCACTTTTTCACATAAAAAAAAGAGTTTTACCCTGTTTTATGATTTCGTATAGTTATTTATTAATTAAAAACAATAACATATAATGACTAATGAGTAAATTTTGATTATAAATTTATATTTAACACATCGGAATACGAGCATCGATCGTATATATAATTATACACGTATATACGATCGATGCAATGATGATGAAAAATAAAAATAAGCACAAAAAATTAATTACTTCTTAAGGGTTTACCCTCTTTAATGATTCCATATTATTTTTTAATTAAAAACTAATAGAGTATTATATTTACCTCTGGCGCTAAAATCATTTTAAGTGTCAGCTTCCTGCTTTTTCACAGTTTTGTCCTGCAAATGGGTTGTTATCATGAAACACCAATCACAATCACAACAAACTAGTATTAATAAATAATAGAAGAAAACAAGTTAAACACACTTACAGTTATGTTTATTTAATTTATAAATTGTCAACCTAACTTGTGAAAATACAATGAATTAAGGGCGACTCGCGCGTTTTTATATATTTCCTGAAGCGCTGAAAGTTATCATGTACTTAATCTATTAGTGTATCTAAATGTCTGTTAAAATGTTTTCCATCGAATGTTATTTGTAATGTTCCAGATAAGACTATTAGTTAAAAGTCTAAAGAGTTGGCGGAATAAATTTTAAAACTTTTTTTTACAAATAAGGTTTGAACTATTATAAGAAATTATTCGCCATTGATGTTAATACCTCGTCCTTTCCAGCCCAGAAGCTTGAAAACATCTTCCAACGCAGCGGAGAAGAGTTTCGGGGATATGACAACACACTGCCTTACAGTTGGATACGTTTTGTACTTCGGGACTGTACTTGGACGGACATCGTAGTGTTGTTATACAAACACCTCAGCACCTCGATATACCGACAGTCAATTTGGCACCGCTAAAGAGCCTGGAGTACCACCCAAATTTTATATCACTTCTATAGTCGCCAATCCTTCGATTTGCCGACGATATAGTTATCATGGCAGAATCGCTGGAGTACCTTGGTACTATGCTCAATGACCTCAACAGTGTCTCCCTCCGGGTGGGCCTTAAGATGAACATGGACAAGACGAAGATCATGTCTAATGTCCATGTCACGCCTACACTGGTTGTTGTTGGGGAGCACGAAGTTGTTGACGAATACGTTTACCTAGGACAGTTAGTCCAGTTAGGTAGGTCCAACTTCGACGCAGAGGTCAATCGGCGAATCCAACTCGGATGAGCAGTGTTCGGGAAACTTCGAGATATCTTCTCGTCGAATATACTTCAATGTTTGCAAACTAAAGTCTTCAATCAATGTGTGTTGCCAGTGATAACCTATGGAACCGAGACGTTGTCCTTCACTGCAGGCCGTATGAGGAAGCTCAAAGTCGTTCAGCGAGCTATGGAGCGGGCTATGCTCGGTATTTCTCTGCGTGATAGAGTTCGTAACGAAGACATCCGCAGTAAAACCAAGGTAACCGATATAGCTTAAAGGATCAGCAAGCTGAAGTGGCGATGTGCCGGCCATAAAGCTCGTAGACCCGATAACCGTTGGGGAAGAAAGGTTCTGCAGTGGCAGCCTCGTACTACCCATCGCAGTGTAGGACGACCTCCACCACTAGATGGAGTGACGACCTGTGCAAATGTTCCGGAAGTCGTTGGATGCAGGTGGTTCAGGATCGTACTTCGTGGCAGTCTATGGGGGAGGTCTAATTTCAGTAGTGGACTCAAACAGGCTGAAATGATGATGATGAAGTAATTATTATCCGAATCATGTAGCTGACATACACATATAGCTGACATAAAACTTAGTAGATTGAACAAGTCTGCAGTATGTGAACACACCTTAAATCGGCCCAACCACTACATCAGGTTTAATAGACCACGGATCCTTGCAAAAGACACCGATTCCTCCCAAGGATGATTCGCGAGGCTATTGAGATGAAAAAAATAACACTATTTTCAATAGAGAAGAGGGTTGGGTGCTACTTTCAGATTGAGATCCTATCCTATCCTTACTTTACTATTACTTATTAATAATATTATAAAGGCCAAAGTTGGTATGTATGGATGGATGTTTGTTACTCTTTCACGCAAATACCACTCAATGGATTTTAATGAAACTTTACAATAACATAGCTTATACATCAGAATAAGACATATGCTACAATTTATATACATAGATTATGTATATCTGTCTTTCTGTCTGAATGTTACGCCTTCAGCCTATTCTATGCAGACGTAGTCGCGGGCAGCAGCTAGTATTATGAATGCGAAAGTAACTCTGACTGTCTCGCTTTCACGCCAAAACTACTGAACCGATTTAAATGAATTTTGGTACATAGATAGTCTAGAGTCTGAGAAAGGACATAGGCTATTTTTAATTGGAAAAATTTTTAAAGAAATATATTTATGTAAGGGCTTCAACGCGAGCGTAACCGCTGGCGAAAATCTATAAAATCTATAAATTAAATCTAGGCCCAAACTAACCACTACTGCAAAACAAGATACAATTAGCTCCCTCTGCATAGATCGGACACAGAATTAATAATTCAAAAACTGACGGTAGCCCGGGTTAACTATGACAATCAGACGTCCAACACCTTAGTCTGCCCCGTGACCATGAACGCTGTAAAGGGTTCGAAACGTCGGGAATTAAAATTAAAAATAAACGCGATAAATCGGTTAAATTCGCGTAAAAATTAGTTTCATTTATAATGTGTAATAGTAATGTAACTAATTTTATGTGCTGAATTATCACGTACTCGGCGGTGAAGGAAAACATCGTGAGGAAACCTGCATATTTTCGGAAAACAAAAATGTGTGTGTGTGTGTGCTTACGTACATGCGTTGGAAGTTATATTTCTTTGGCGTAACAAGATAAAAATATTTTCCAAAATTTTATCTTTCGCCTTATTCTACGTTTGTAGAAAGAATGACACTATCAATAGAAAAAAAAAATTAAATGAAGTTTATTTAAATATCACAAAATAGATACCGTGAATACAGTTGTCAGCTCTCACGCAGGCATATGTAGATATCTAGCTTACTTCAGGGTGTCGGTTTTTCGTGACGGTGTGCGTGGGCATCGTAAAAATTTACTCTCATCATGTTTTTCTTAAGGCGCCAAAAGAAGTCTTTAACTTTTAGTCTACTTAACTCTTTCATTTAAAAATTGTCAATTGTTCATAACTTTCAATCTTGTCAATTGTTGTTTAACATTGTGACACATTCTTTATTCAATCATTTTTAAATTATTTTTAATGAAACAACTTTAATCTACTTGTTTATCGTTTCATTGTAAAGTATCATTTTCCTCAATAGCAACTAACATAAGATTTGAAATGAGTATTGATAAAGATTTAAGGAAGTTATGGCGTATCGACAAAAACAAAACACCTTTGGGAAATAATATACAGAGGTAGAGGCGTTGCTAAGGAAAAAAAAAAACAAGACAAAAGACTGATAAATTAAAGCTAGATAATACAAATCTTTTAAATGATACAGTTTGCGTAAAGCGTGATATAATCTGGTAAAAGCCTTTTATCTTGATTAAATTATAACAATTTGCTACGCTATTTTATAATCAATAATATAACTTGTATATTTTTTATCATATTACAACCGCGATGATGCAAATGCCCATAAAAATGAACTTAGTTTCAAAAGCTTTTCTGTTCAGAGAACTCATCGCACCGTCTCATGTTTGATAATTTTTTTTATATGAATTCCTTTCTAATTTGAATGTTTATCGTCGATTAAACTCTGTTTTTAAAATTTTATTTGTGAAAAAAAAACAACGCAAAATTTAAAACGAATACTGCAGTAAATCGATTATCACTTGATGTAATTGAAATGCATATATTTCAGTTTTTCGTTCAGATACAAATAAGGTTCTCCGTAAAGGTAAAGGCAGAGTAGGATGGTATTACAGACCTCAAAGTCCGTTTGAACAGTGTCCACATTTATAAATATAGTGAAAAGTTAAAAAAAGAAAAATATAATGTACAAAATGTTAATAATTGCTGAAGGCTACCCGCAGTTTATAACAATTTTTAATGTTTATAGCAAAATTAGAAATTTTTTTTTTATTTTTTTTTATGTGAAAAGCTGCCAAACGAGCAGACGGTTCACCTGATGGTAAGTGACTACCGCCGCCCATGGACATCTGCTACACCCGAGGGTTACA